TTAGACTCTTGGCACTCTTAGGTGAGCAGACTTAGTCAGCCTGTGTTGCCCTAACAGGCGAGTACCAGCCTTGTCCCAATATATGCACATATGCATCTCCAAAATACCCTGCTTTTTTTCTGCTCATATTCTCATGGAAGGATCTGTACCATCTGGTATGGACTGATGCCTCATATATTTCTATCTCCTCCACTGATAGTGCAATGTTCTCATGCTCAGTCTGAACCTTTATGTCTGTTTATCTAGTGTTCTTGTGGAGGGTCTGATACCATCTGGTACAGAATGTGCCCAACTTATCCCTCATGTCCTTTTTTTCTGTCTGCTCAGCCATTTACCTCTCCTGGCTTGAACTGCCTCTTCTCATACATACTGTACTTAAAGGATAGGAAAGGAATAAACTCTCCTGTATTCATGTTTTGTCAATACAATGATTGTTGCAGCACAAATTTGGTCCCTGTATGTGTTTAGTGTTGATATGATGACTTACTCTTCCCGTGTTTTGGATATCATACCACTTGCATAACAAACTGATCAATACATAAAGGTATCTTGTCCCAACATAAATGGGCAATATATGATGGTATGTACTGCTACCATATCAGGCTGCAATTGGATCTACCATACCTGCTTGTTCTACAAATGGGATACAGTATGGGCACTGTACCCAATACTCCTGCCCCTGATTTGAGGGTGGGGAGAGCTCTTCATGCACAGCATTCCAGCTCCATTGCTTTGATGGTGGCTGTGGTTCTTTCAGCAATTGAGGTACCAGGTCTGCGAGACTCTGGCCATGGAGAGTCTGGATCAATGAAATATCACAACAGGGATGGTAAATGCACATTGGCCTCATAGATCTCATCCTCAAGTTCCACCAAAATTGAACCAAAAAGGTTCACAAGTGTGCGGTTATTCTTGAACATGTTGTATGGATATTTGAGCCACTCCAGTACTTGTGTCACAGCTACAGGTACTCCATTGATGAGTATGGTGTTGTCATTTGGGCAGGCATCATTATCCATGAGACCAAGATGTACCATGATGGCCTTGATCACATGCCCTCACTGGAACTTGGCAATTGTAGGGGCACACCTATTTTCAGTACAAGCCATTTGGAGAAGCTGAGACGAATTGGGTATGTGGTGCAAATAATTGGAGAGAATGGTCAAATACTGACTATCTGACCCTGTTGGGGGCTGGCCCAATGAGGCCAAATTGAATGCATGATTGGTATGGACCAGTGCTTGATCAAAGGGGGGAGTACTAGGCCTGAGTGAGGAAGAAGGTGGGAGGACCACCATGGAAGTAGGGGAATCAGAGGGGGTAAGGGAGGGAGAAAAGACTGTGAGTGAAGTGGCACTGGCAGAGGAAGCAGCCAAGTTATTTGACACCAATGAAACCATGAGATGGAACATTGGGCCGGTCTTGATGCTTCAAACAAGGAGTACTGCCTGCAGATTGGGTCAGTGTGATTGGAGCAGTGAGTGTTGTATTTGATGGTGTGAGGGTGGCATTGGATGGTGCACTGGCAGTATTCAATGGTATGATGGCAGGATTCTGTGTTGGCCAGATGGTATTGGGGTGGATGACAGGGGCACCTGCATCAGGCATAAGTAATGAAGTGTCTTCATCGAGTTCAGGCCTGACAGGCATAGGACTGGATGAGATCATTGAAGTTGAGGTCAAGACTGGTATGGGATCACCACCTAGATAAGGTGATTCCTGGCAACATCAGGTTAGAAATCATAGGATGGTAAGGAGAGAAACAATACCTTCAAGAGCTCAAAGCATAAGACAAACATAGATTTGTCAAGGTGAGCAAGTTGCAGTTGGAAAATGCAGAACTGTCAAGGAATAGGGGATGTGGGCAATTGGAGACAATACCCCAGGCAGTAATGAACTGGCAGTTGACAGCATCGAAGGCAGAAGACAGCCACCAACCTCCATGATTAAGTGCATCAACTGAATGAATGGCCATTGGTATGTGTGATAACCAGAGCTGATGATGAGAGTGGTATGCCTCCCAACCACTCATGGGTGTGACATGGCAGAGAACAATAGGCATGACCACATCTATGGTGGTGCACATTACTCCCTCTTGAACTTGGTAACCAGACAGATCTAGTTCAGCATGACAAACAAGATGTGCTTCAGGAAGTGCTGACAAGTTGTTACTGAACAGCACAAGAATAGAACAAGGTCTGTCCATTGCCTGATATGGTGAGACAGAGGCTTGTACAACCTGCATGCTCGAAAATGACTCATTGTGGAACAGATGATCAGAAACATGTGGTGGAGGGGAAGACAAGATTGGTGCTTTGTACATGTTGATGAAAGAAGGAACAATGTCAGCCAATGCTGGCTTTTTGGTGGTATCCAGAGGAGACATGATTGTTGAGGTAGAACTAGAGGTGGCTGTGCACAAGACCAAGGAGTACCATAGATCAGAGGTTACCAATGGCCCTTCAGTCTGCAAGATACTGCTGTCTGGCAGGCTGGTTGAGCTCAAATGGATGTGATGCTCAGATACAGGATTGACTGGATTGTCACATGCCAGATTGAGGAGAGGATCAATGTGTGTCTACAACATTAGAGATCAATTATGGATATTGGACATTTGATAAAATATGCACAGTGGATGGCACTTGAAAGTCCACACTTGTGGGAGGAATGTGGTGCATCATGGGGATGGGACTGGGTGTGAAGAGTCAGTTAATTTTGGCTGGGGTTGCAGATGGCTGAATATGCTGAGGTGAATTGTGGCCATCAGGTCACACAGTAACTCCTTTGTTGTTGGCATTGTGGATAACATTGGTGTCACTGAATGAAGGCAGTTGTTTGTATTGGTTGGCAGGTGGTTGTAACACATTGAAGGAGACAGCTGGGTCTATGGGGTGGGTTGGTGTAGGGGGGGGGGCTGAGTTTCATCAGCTTGTCGATGCTTCCTGAGGCAAGGGAAAGAATCTGTAGCAGGAGAGGGGAGGACTCGATTCTGTAGTTGGATAGGCATTACAAGACAAGGGCGGCGAAAGGTATGTATGAAGGACAATGGTGTGGTGAAGGACAAACACAATGGTTGTGAGAGCACCATTCGCTCCCATCAGATACAGGGGAATACCAAACAATACCAAAGTATACTGTAATATACCACATCATACAATATCATACCACATCAATTTGAGATAAGAGAAATTATGCTCAGACATATTATGTCCAATGTTTGTGAGTAACAACCCACACCAATGGCTTTGCCTACTGCTGCAGCAATACAGTCAGCTCTTCAATTTAGGGCTGCACTTGCACAAGTAGGGATTCATGTTCAAAGAGGGCTGGAAGGTCACATGGGAGATCAAGCCTACTGGGAGTAAACACAAGCAGAAGTGGTGTGGCTCTTGGGTGTCTTGGGAGAGGTCAGGGAAGGGCTCAGAGTATGAGGTGTACAATGCTGATGGTCATCCTAGGTATGGAAGCTACTACCAGAAGAAGAATCTTATAGTGCCAAAGAACAACTTCATGCCTTGCAATGGGATGTGGAGAAGGGCCTTGAAGCAGAGGATAGATCAATAATGGCATGGGGTTGTCCAGCAACCTGGGTATCATGCAGGAACCAGGGAGGCCAAAGGAAGTTTGTGATCAACAAAGATTTCTTGACTGCTGCTTTGTGTGTGGTACCTTGCTTGTCAGTTCTTGCAAAGCTGCTTGAGGTCTCTCCAAGAACTCTAAGGCAGTGTATAGTGGACCTGGGACTACAACCCAAGGAAGAACCAGTCTATGTGGCACACATGGCAGGATCTGGAGTCATACATGTGCAACATGCACCAAGACAATCCCGCTTGTCATGGTCTGAGAATGAACTGGATACTGAGGTATCTAGAGTGCTGGATACCTTTTCATGTATGGGATGATCTATGGTTCAGGGGTACTTCCTGGCCTTGGGGGTACAGGTACTGCTAAAGAAGATACAAGGATCTCTTCACCAAGTGGCACCACACCATCAATTTGGAGATCAGATTCCTGTGGAACAGAGACCATACAAAGTGGCCAGTCCAAATGCTCTATGGCATCTCGATGCAAATGTAGGTGAGCTGATGTACCATCAACACTAGAACCCAAAAGATGCTAATTGATATGAGTAGCAGATGTTTGACATGGAATAGTGTACATGCATTCATAGATGGTCATTCACATCTATGTACTGGTATTCATGCATCTACAAACAACTGCAAGGATACAGTGTTCACCATGTTTCAGGACATGTGTATGTGGCATGGAACTCCCTCTTGCATTCATGGAGATCATGGGCTCAAAAACCTTGATGTTGCATCATGGATGATACACAAACATGGCATGAACCAGGGGTCATTCATTTGGGGGCAGTGAGTTTTTGATACACTATGCTGGGAGATGGATGCTAACAAATACACTTGCATGTCACCATCAGCTCCATACATAATGTGCACATTGAATGAATGTGGTGAGACGTCACAAAGGATTTTGGCTCCAAATGGAAGAATATTTTCATCCACATGGAGACATACCTTGAGCTGGATATTGCACTGAACAGCCATATGTGGCTGTTGCATTATCTATTCCTCAGAGATATCAATCAAGATGCAGAACTATGGCAACAAATGTGGAACTTCCACCCATTACAGAGTCACAAAGGACAGATGAAATCACCAAATGAGAGGTGGATGGTTGGTATGCTGGGGAAGGGCTGTTGAGGGCTTTATGATGGTACTCTGTGGAACTGGTCTGGGGACAGCAGGAGGGATATGTTTGGTATCAATTGGCAGGGCCTGCAAGACGAGGCATTGATGCAACATCACGTTGGTGCCCAGCCAACAGGATTCACACAGTTTTGGGTGGATGACGCTGCATGTCCTATGAGCCAAGAAGAGCTGTTCTACTTCAACTCACAAGTTGAGGGGGATAGGTGGGGAATAACACTGGCAGATTACTATAGCTGGTGGGAGCATGCTCTGCAAGTGTACCATGCCATTGAGTATGCGCATCTATTAGGGCCACAGGATATGTAGCTATAGCCTCAAATACAATTATGGTATTCTGCCATATTTTGTAGTAAGATTGAAATGAAGAGGGATTCTGGCAGGGGCAGGTGATTGTGGCAGAAACCATGGAGGCTGAGTAGGTGTACCCAAGGAGGGTTGCCTGAGTAGTGCATTTCCAGTACTCCCCTGCTGTATGGCAGTGGAATGATAGGAGGGGAACAAAATAGAGTTTGACAATGGAGTAATGGGAAACAGTAGTATGATGAACTTTTGGACCCCAGTGAGGAGAGAGATGTGGGTAAACATTCTGGTAAAGAGAAGGCCACACAGAGTGTCATGGGGTCCCTCTTGCACACTACTACATAACGTTGGGAATGATTGGTTGAATACAGTATGAGTACAAGACAGTATGAAAGATATACCATGAAATGGTAATACTGAAGAATACCATACCTATACCAAAGATTACAATACTGATCCCGAGTCATGTATACTGGGGAATACTTGTATACACTGTCAGTATGGTACAAATACAGGTTAATACTGACATTTTGCCTCAGTATAGCTCTGTATGGTACTGTATACATGGGATCGTTGATGAAAGCAAGAGTTTTGTCCCATTTGCTCCGCCATATGCTCAGCATCTCTAACACCGGTGGTCACACGGTTGCTTCTTCCATCAGTTCGGTCCATTCTATCTAAACTTTGTCAAGTAAAAATAATCAAGGTTATGCCACAATATAATTACTTGATCGGAACTTGCATGTTCGTTACTTATCCCTTTTGTTCTTTACAAAATGCGGAAAATGCCAGCCGGGGCTTGTGCTGACCCGTGACCATCCTCGTGCGGACACCGCAAAGTTCCGTTGGGAAATAAATTATATTGTGAATGATACATGTGGGGATATATGAAGGAACACGCATGAAAGGGCTGCGAGGAAGGGAATGTGTTGAGTGAACAGGTGATGCGATTATGGCGTTTGCTTGGAAGGGAAAAAAAAGTATATAAAGCGCTGCCCTTTGCATATTCTTCTCCCCTTCATACAATGTCACCCACTCCAACTGACATATCCTCAGGCGCCCGTCTACCTACAGACGTTCTTACTCACATTGCTCATCATGTTCATTCTCATCTCTTACCACCACCATCAAATCTAGCATCCCTCGACCCTCTCCCAACTCTCGCTTTTCCTCCTTCAACATCAACACATGACATTCCAATAGCTTTACCATCCACAATTCCATCACCACAATGGCCTCAATGGCTCGTATTCCACACCTTGCTCTCTCTCACCCGCACATCATCAGCATGGCGCACCGCTGCCCTCCCAGCCCTCTTCTCAAGTCTCCAAATCACCTACCCTCGAAGCTGGCTAGGTCTCCTTGCAATCGTCTGCGGAGCAGAGCCTTCCCCGACATACGATTCCCACCCTGAACTGGACCCAGACTCGGACCAAGCCCTGCTCGCCCAGCACTTGGCACACGCAGCATCCGCAGCGTTCCTCATTACCGAGCGCAGAGCCCGCTCTCCATCGAGGGAGGACACACTGCGTCTCTCGGCTCTAGCTGCAAGTATTAGGGAAGCACTGGTGCGGGGAAGCCCGGGGTATCATATCCCTCCCGAACTGCTCAGTCCCCCAGAGAGCAGGGAATCAAGCCCCTCAATTCCAAGAGGAAGGCGGCCCCTGACAGCAGAAGACGACTCCCATCCCCCGCGCTCGCCCTCATCCTCCACCCGCTCTCGCTCCCGCTGGCGTCTCTCCCGCCGAGTATCCGACGCGCTACAGGATGTCCTCCGCCCTCGGGGAGTGTACGTCCCCGCTCTGCCTGATACGCACCCTGGTCGCTTCATCCGGGAAGTGAGCTTTGCACATTTCCGGACGATCCATATGCGCTTACCGGCGAGTACGAAGCACACCGGTGCTGGGGGTCCGCCGAGGTTCGTCACTCCCGAGAGACTGTTGCGGCTGTTGAGGGAAGTCCCCGAGGTAAGAGCGTTCGGAGCGACAGAGTATATGGACTCGGCGCTTGAGCTGGCTGTGTTGGAAGAACTGCTCTTGCGTGGTTTGGGCGAGAAGAGCAGGACGGGCAACGCGGGTGCGAGTGGAGGAGCGGAGGATAGAGGAAGGAGTGGAGAGACAAAGGATTTACGCGCTAGGGAAAAGGGTAGGGAGAGGACGCACAGGCGGAGGATTGGGCCTCGGGGTGGGAGTGGGTTGCACCGGGAAGCAGAGGAGGAACAGGAGGCTGAAGTGCCAGCGAACGGGCCGACCACTCTGGAAAACAATACCAATCCGGACGGGAGGGCCGACAAGCAGCCTGAAGATACTGGAGCGAAGCCGGACCAGGAAGATATTGACCGATGGGCGGAATGTGCGCCGCTGGAGGCGCTCGATCTTTGTGGGTGTGTGAGTAGGGTATGTGGGAGGGCTTTGGGAGACTTTGTCAGGCGATATCCTGCCAAGGAGGGTGCTGTTCTTCCTGGAGCGTCGTTTGGTGCGGTACCTGGAGCACCGGCTGGAGCTGCATTACCCGCAGAAGTTGGATTAATTGGAGAAGACGCCCAAACGAGCACGAATCCGAAATCAAGAAAGCCCGTCTCGCTCCCCCTCCAGCGGCTAGGGATGGCAGGCATGTCCGCCCTCCCTCCTGCCACACTACACAGTTTCGTCCTCCTCTTTCCGAACCTAACGATGCTAGATATCTCCGGTACACTCGCACCGCCCTCTCTCCTCTACGCTCTAGCGCAGAGCAGCACCGTCCGCCTTCTCGCGCTCTCTCTCGCTCGCTGCCCACGCTTAACAGGGCAGTCGATCCTTGCCCTCCTCCTCAGCCCCAAATGTGCAAGACTAGACCAGCTCAACCTCTTCGGGGACGATAGCTTTCCCTCTCCCCTCCTCCCTGGAGAACTACACACGCTCCTCACATCTTCCCTCTTCCTCTCAGCCCGGCTAACGTTCCTAGACCTCTCCAGCGCACCCCTCTCTCCCTCTCACCTAGCTCTCCTCCCGTCACAGCCAAACCTGCGCACACTTGGCCTAGCGCACCTACCCGACCTACCCCTCCCCGCTATCCGCCAGTTCCTGGAAACCCGCGCTCCGAACTGCGAGGTCCTATCCCTCGCGCACAGCTGCCACCAAGAACTAGGACCAGCGATGCGTCCCGGAGAACTGTCGATGACCCTACACGTGCAGTTCCTCTCCCCTCTCTGCACCCCGCCATTCTCCTTCAGCGCCAAGCCCAAACAGGCGAAAACGAGACTGAGAGTCCTGGAGCTCGCTCCGGAAGTCCTGGCCCTACTGGGGGAGGGAGGGGAGCCCTGGTGTCCCGTGAGGAGCAGGGGCAGGAGAGCGTGGTATGTTGACAAGAGCGCGTTCTGGGCCCAGGGCAGGTTTTGTAGGGTTTCACCTGGGTTTGGGTCTGCTTTTGCTTTTGGTTTTGGGTCTGGGGTGGGGGTGGGGCAGGAGGGCACGGCCGAGGAGCGGGAAGAAAGGGAAAGGGAATTGGCACGGGAGAGGGACGAAGCGCTGGCCGCGAAGCTCTGGAAAGCCCAGGTCGAGGAATGGGCCTTGGCGAGGGGGAACGTCCCTACCGGTGTGGGCTGGGGAGGCAGGAAGATGGAGGTCGTTCGAGGGGAAGGGATGGTAGGCCGGGAAGAGGGACTGTATGGTATGGTTAGTTATGCTTATGCGGGGTAGGAGAACAGTAGCGGGCTAAGATAGTGATTGAATTTAAATGGGATTGTTTGTTTGAAATGACAGCGGGGATGCGAGAACATTGAATAATTCTGTAAATTGTCCCAGTGACGTTGTTCTGGTTCATAAATTGGAGAATAACTATATATGAAGACTCGGCAGGCAGGATTGCGCGGCGCTCAGGCTAACAAAGCATCAGATTTGGGGATTGTCCAAGCCTGTCAGTCCCTTTAGCAATGGTATGGTCCCCTGACAGTCTTAGGGCACCGAATCTCCATCATCTACCGTGATGGCACTGCAGTTATTCAAACGAGTGATGAATTGTAGGCTGTTATTCTGGAAGCTTCAGATCTTGGATTAATCTCCATACCTATGCTCGGGTTATCTCATTTAGTAGTTTCGACCTCTATTTGATTATGGACCGAAGGATGTCCGTGGTACAGCATTACCTGATTGTTGTTGAACAAATTAATGCTGGTCTTAGTACTTTGCGGGAAGAAGGCGGCGTTAAGGAACAGAAGCACGCGAGTGCACTGCCACTTAATTTAGGTCTCCGCTCCAATGTCGAATTGAGTGAACAATTGATAGTTAAGCAACCGTCGTCGACTCATTCACCACTGGCAGTCGACGTAAACTTGTTGTATTTTATCCTCAATAGGATAATCAAAGTTGTCAGTAAAGGTGGATTGAATATGACGATGAGCGAATTTGAGGAAACGTTCGTGATCGATCCGGCGCTTAAAGAGTCACCTATCAAGGCAAAGGTAAGGGGAGAGATCACGTTACCCTCAGCTATCACTCACTTAATACAGAAACAAACGCGCCAGTCTTCCTCTTTCCAACCTGCGCCTCATACACCTTCACCCATGCAGCTTAGGCGACATGATCCCCCTCCGCCCGTATCCCCCTCCTTGCTCATCAACCACCACCATCAACCAGCCCCGGCAGAGTCGTCCACCAACACACCGCGCGTTCCCGCAAAGGGCATTCGGCGTTCGCGCCCCCGGGCAAAACACACCCAAGCGAGAGAAGATGAATGCGGTCATTGTCACGGAAGTGACGGGTGCAACCCTGCCGGGGTGCCGGAGATCATGCTCACCTGTTCTGTGTGCGGGAGGAGCGTACACCCGAGTTGTGCAAAACTCGACGGGATGGCAGAAACGTGTCGGACGTACGACTGGGAGTGCTTCAAGTGCAAAGTCTGCATTGTATGTGGGAAAGTGACAGAGAACGACGGGGTGAGTCTGACTTCTCTCCCCCCTGCTTTCCGCACCAATAACCTTGCTCAGAATCGCATGATATTCTGCGACTCGTGCGATCGCGGATGGCATCAGTACTGCATGGACCCGCCGCTCGTACCCCTCCCTCGACCGAAGGAGGAATGGTTCTGCCCCGTGTGTAATGGGGTGCCTCTTTCCGTGCTCGAGGAGGGTTCTGGGGCAGGTTCAGGTGTGGGTTCAGGGGAGGGGGAGCAACTAGATCCGGAGGAGATGCAGATGCCAGGTGATGGGGATGTACCAGAGGAAGCGGGGGAAGCTGTGGAAGATGGAGATGAAGGGGAACAAGGGGAGGAGGAGGAAGACGCTGAAGGAGAACCTGATCCGGCTGCTGAAGAACCTGCCGATGACCCGGAAGAAGACCCCGATGCAGAAGGGGAGGATGACGGGGACGAAGACGAGAAGGACAACGACTACGACCCAGGGACAGACGAGCCCGCCGACGATCCGGAAGAGGCGGAGTCCTACGTCCCGAGCGAGGTCTCCCGACCTCGCGGCGGGGCGAGGCAGCGTTCGAGCTCTCGCAACCGCAAGGCTTCCACGCCTTCCAGGACACCTGGAGGGAAGGGGAAGAACCCCAACGGAAAGCGGAGGATGAAAGGTCTCGTCCTACCTGAAGCTCGATCTGCTCAACGCAAGTCTGTACGAAGAGACGATGTCGCCTCCCCCCCTCCGCAGAGGAGACCGCGGTCGTCCAAGCGTGCAGGGATTTTCTCCCCCACACCTGCACCTTCACCCACCCCCGCGCCTATCCCAGCTATCAACCGTATTCGTGTTCGTATCAAGCCCCTTACAACGCCCAAAGGTACGCCTACCCCATCCCCCGAACAAACCCCTACGCCCAGTACCAGTGCAGCTGCTGCCCTGGCCTCCGCCGCACAGCACCCCTATTCCCAGGGAAGGAACATCATCAAGCTCCCAGCACGAGTAATCACCAAGGAATTGCTAAAGCAGCAGCAGGCCTTCGAGCGCGCACAGTTTGGAGACGTGCTGGACGACATGCAGGCTAGTTGCGAAGCCACGAGGATCGATTTTGCGGATAAGAGGCGGTGGGAGGCTGCGAGACGCAAGGCAGAGGAAAAGATGTTGGGCGCTGCTGCTGCTGCCGCTGCGGGGCAGGCAAAACAGGGCATGTCAAGAGCGGAGAGCACGACTGTTGGGACACCTCGTCAGGAATCCCCGTTCAACCTACCGCCCTTACGCAGCACCCGCTCAACGCTCTTCCTCCCCCAAACTCCGGCGGTCTCCTCCCCTGCTCCAGGTGGTACGGAGACCCCTCGCCCTGCACCCCCTCCCGCAGGCCCACAGCGCATCCGCACGATCCGTTTCGGAAGGTTCGACATTGATACGTGGTATGACGCGCCGTTCCCCGAGGAGTACGCGAATGTGCCTGATGGAAAGATGTGGCTCTGCGAGTTTTGCTTGAGGTATGGGAAGAGCTCATTTGGGAACCTCAGGCATCGGGTGAGTCTCTTCACCGTGCGGAGGATGACCACTGATGTATGCGTAGATGAAATGCAAGGCACGGCACCCGCCAGGAGATGAGATCTACCGAGCTGGCAACGTCTCTGTGTTCGAAGTGGACGGACGGAAGAACAAGATCTACTGCCAAAACCTGTGCCTGCTTGCTAAGATGTTCCTGGACCATAAGACGCTCTTCTACGACGTCGAGCCGTTCTTATTCTATGTTATGACGGAGATGACCGACGTCGGGGCTCGGTTTGTGGGGTATTTTAGCAAGGAGAAGAGGTGCCCCAGCGGGTATAACGTCTCGTGTATTATGACCCTTCCGGCGATGCAGAGGCGCGGCTGGGGCAATCTGCTCATTGGCTTCAGTATGTTCCAAGCTTACTTTCCGCATATATGCTCATGCGTCCCTAGGCTACCTCCTGTCGAAGAAAGAAGGTCGGCTTGGCACGCCCGAACGACCTCTTTCCGGTCTCGGAGAAGTGGCTTACCGTAACTACTGGACGCTCACCATCAACCAATTTCTCAACGCGACCCCTCCTGGTACCAACGTCCGATTTGAGCACATCAGCGCTGCGACAGCAATGATCGTGCCTGACATCATCCGCACGCTCACTGAGCAGAATATGCTCGAAGTACACGATTCTGGCCCACGCTCCTGGGCGTCCACCCCAAATGCTCGTTTTCAGAAGAAGGGCCGCGGCCGGCCCTCGGTGAACCGCCCATCCTCGAAGCGGGAAGAGGAGGCTGCAATACCTATCTCGTACACGATCCGGTGGGACTCTGTCAAGGTTCGCGAAGCATGCGAGAAGTGGGAGACGAAGGGCTACCTTCAGCTACAGACGGACAAACTCAAGTGGAGTCCGTTCATTATGGACCGCACGAAGAAGACGGACACGGTCGGAATGTCGGGTATCGGTGCTGCCAACTTAGGCGCTCTGATGCTTCCCCAAATCAATGGACTTCCGAATTCGCAGGCCGAGACACCATCTCAAATGAGCAACAAGGGGCCAACATCGACACACGAAGACGATGCTGAAATGAGCGAGCCTGCATCTTTGCACGTTCCGCCGCACAATGTCCACGAAGCTGAAGAGGCTCTCGAGACTGTTCTTGAACAAGCCACGGAGGATCTGCGTGAATTCGAGACACCTAAGCGGCGCGGCCGGCCACCAAAGTCTGCGTTGGTCAACGGTCATTCCGGCGACATCACGCCCAACTCGGCTCGGCGCACACGCTCCTCGATGAACAACTTGCACGAGAGTGAAGCCGTCTTCGAATCATTACCCCAACCACCACATCGAAAGCGAAAGCGTGATGAGCCCTCGCGGCATCCCGCACCCCCTCATCCTGAACCTGAACCTAAACCGGAACGTGAAATCGTCCCTGATTCCACTCAACCGTCTCCGCCAGTCAGAGAGCTGTCTCCGGACCTAGTGGGAAAGCCCATAGAACCGGAGCCAGTCGAACAGCCCATGCAACTGATCCTTGCGCAGAAACGTCGCTTTCTGGATTCGCGAACTGAGTCGCCCGAACTTGGTGCATCTGAGTCTCTCGAGATAGCCGCCTTATCCCCTGAGCTGGGTATGGAGACAGCCCCGAAGTCTGTCACCAAATCCCCTGAGACGTCGTCTAGTTCAATAGATCCCCTCAATTTGCTTCTCGATGTTCCCCAGCCTATGGCCAAACGGGGCCGTGGCCGGCCACCAGGAGCGAAAAACAACGCCAGGTACGGCATGCAGATGACCTCTTTGTCTGCTGCAACTTCCCTACGACGCACGCGAAGTGGGGCGCAATATACATCTGAGCCGCGTCCGGATACCCGGAAACGTGCGAGAACTCCGGCGAGCTCGCCGTTGAAACACGCTGTGAGGACACGACCAGGGAGGAAGAGGGCGAGTACCAGCCAGGTAGTTCACATCGACGAGACTGTTTTCGTCTCCGATGATGACGACGATGATGACGACCAGCCTGCGGAGAACCTCATCCCTATCAGACCCACTACACGGTCTGCGACCAAGGTGACACCTGCCAAGGCTGTACCTCATGCGCATCCCACGAGCGCGGACATTAACACGGACGACGGGCTGGGTGATGAAGATGCGGATGGAGAAGACGACGAAGACATGGATGCGGATGGAGAACCGGACCCGGATGCGTAACTTGCTTGTGCTATCAACAAACCCATCAACAGTTCCTTGGCTGTTTACAGTTTCTCAAATTTCTTGTTCCTTTTTGGGCAATTCAACCTGTAACTCTCACAATGTACTATACCCTCGCTGAACATAATACATCGACCTGTAGAACGGGTCCTCGGCTCGGATGATTCATGGCAGACGCACACAATGAACTTTTGTTAATAAATACGCGACTGTGATTGTACGATCCCAGTCCATCTAAGCACAACAGATAGACATAGAATTGAAGCAAACGTAGTTTTCATGTTTCACATACCTAAGTTACACCCAAACACCGACCAAAAGAAAACACGACAGGGAAGACAACAACACACTTTAAACAAGATTTGAACAGAGGAAGAAGAAGATGTACGCTCCATTGTCACTTAACAGTAGAGCACAGAAAGAAGACGTTGTTAACAGAAAACGGACGACAATTGTCCATGAGGTTACGCCTCCGGCAAACCAGTATACCTCCCCGCGGTGGCCTGGCTTCCCCCAAAGGTGGACTGCGGTCCTCCGTAGCCAGGCTGGGCGCCATACCCCTCTCCGAACGCTGGCTGGGCGTAATATCCCCCCGGCGCAACGGGCGGGGGGCTGCCAGTATAGCTCGTCGGAGCAGTCCCGTCGTACCCTCCTGATGTGCTTGGCTGGTAGGGGAAGGGACTGGGGGTGCTGCCGGGTGGGAAGGGAGAGGTAGGAGGAGGACCGTATGGCTCGCCTTGGGGTGGAGGGTACTGTGCCATCTGGGGTGTGGTGGGTGCGGGCCCATAAGCCCCGCCTGCTGCTGCAGCCGCGGCCGTGCCAGCCCGGTTGCGCCTGACGAAGTACCAGATTGCGAGGGCGATTATGATAAGAAGTGCGATTCCCCCCACGACACCACCGACGATAGCGCCGGTATTGGAGTGACTTGAACCGCTCGACCCGCCAGATCCTACAACTCCGGCAGCAGAGTTGGTCGCCGTAGAGCTGGAGGACGATGTCGTCGGGGAAGTAGAAGCAGAGGGGCTCGTGGACGTCGAGTGCGACGTGGTAGTCGCGGTCAGGGAGGCGTTGTATGCTGCCTCTGCGGTATCGGGGTCCCAGGTAGCGCCGTTATCTGGCAAATACGCCCAGGAGGGGATACCGATGGCATTGACGTTCTCCCCCGTGATACCCGTGGAGTCGTAATTCGTGCAACCCTGTTTCCATTGGGCTTCCGTGACCCACTATATAGTGCGTTTAATAGGGTTTGGAGGTGATTTCGCGAAAGCGAACGCACGTTGTTAGTGAAAATGTTGGGTTGACACCAGGAGCAAGCAGCCATGAGGTTGTATGATACGACATTGCAGTTGCAGTCGTTTACCTGACCACTCAAACTCGGTGGGGAATATTGATAACTGCGAATCAGGTCACCGCCTATTTTTTTATCACTGATGTTAATAAGAACGCACCTAGCATTAAGTAGAGGAGTAACGGTCAATCCTCCCGTGATGCACAAGCTCTGCACCTGTCCCCATACAAAACAAGGCGATTGACCAGCGGCGTTAAATTCCCAGAAAGCGTATGTGCACGTGACGTTTGACCCGCCTGTGCCCTGTGCAAGAGCGGTTGCTAGGAGGAGAAGGGATATGGCGAGGGAGAGCATGTTGGGAGGAGGAGGAGATGGTGGACGCGTGAGAAAAGCGCCTCTTAGAGTGTTGTGGGTATAAGACGGTCTTTGTAATATTGGTCAGACCCTAGGTGTCGGCGCTCAATGTATACATCTGGGGGGTCTTACTTAATGTGCCGGCACATGCGCCGCCTTTTTCCCTCATGGAATGCGGAAATCCACGACACCGCCACACTCAGGGACAGAGCCGATCCACAGTCGTTCAGGCACAGCTTTCACTTATAGCTCATCACTTGCCTTTATTGGTGTTCAGCAGACAAGATCAACCAACATACACCGCTTTCATTCGTATTCGGTAAACCGCGATTTATCCGTGAATCCGAATTACACAAAAGTAAGTCATACCGATACGCCCGCGCCCAGCAAAGTGGGACCACCTGTGGCGCTCAGCCACAGACCCAAAATCGGGCTTCCGCGTCTTCTTACCCTTAAGCTCGCTGTAGGCGCGACTCGGGAGGCTCAAGCTGTGAGCGCCTATTGGAGATATCCTCCCACTAGCATATGCTGGAAGCTGTGAACATACTTGGCCCGTTGGGTCGGCCGCAAGAATCGGACGTGCCAGCAATTTGATTGTTGCCAAAACAAGAACACAGAGAAGATCTGGGCACGTGACCCTAACGTATTCAGGGATGTGGTCCGGCCCCCCCCCCAATCAACGGGAATAAGCGCCTCTCAAGAAACCAGTTTTTTCTGGTGTTTGACAGGTTCATAAGGTTATAAATATTCCAGGTATCCATGAATAGTAACATATAGCTGCCCAAATAAGCACAACAACCGTCTAATCCAGAAAGTTTGTTCACCGACCCGCGCTCTGCGGCCTCTTCCGATCCCCACTAGGACGCAACAACGGCGTCGCTCCACCACTCCTACTCCCCTCCGCACTCACCTGCTCATAAGTTGGCAGCGCGGGTGTCCTCACTTCCTCCCTCACCGGTGAATGACCCGTAGTCGCGTTAGGTGTCGATGTCCCCGAGGCGCCCGAAAACCCCGAGTGCCCCGAGGACGGAGTAGGAGGAAGCAGCGGTGCACTCCTCGGTGCGCCTAGGCCGTCCCCACGTTCCACGCTCGGCCCACTACTGCTTCCTGAGGGAGTCAGCTCCCACCCCGTGCTCACGGGCTGGTAAGCGTGTCCCCACCCTCCGAGGGGAGGCTTATATATCCCCAGCCTTGATGGCGCGCGCGGGAGAGCGGTGAGGAAATAGGGAGACGGGTCGGGAGGTGCTGGTGTGTCAGACAAGTCGATCGGACTTCGGGGCTCGGCCTGCCGGTACCGGCGCAGGAGGTAGTACGCCGCCAGCACGAGGAGCAGGAGGAGCACTACCCCTCCCCCGGCTGCGCCGGCGATTACCCCTCCTTGGACTGAGCTCGTCGCACCTGGTGCGGTGCTCGCGCTTGGGGCTCCGGTGGGTAAAGAAGTGGGGGTCACTGCGCCAGTGGCTACGGCCTGCGCGCTCTGGGGATTCCAGGAACTCCCATTGTCCGGCAGGAAGGCCCACGAGGGGATGTGGATGGATGAGGCTTCCACAGAGGAAGGGATAGACGTGGGATTGTACGATGGGCAACCTGATGCCCATGCTGGGAGGTGTGAGAGGATGAAGTTAGGGTTGCTTTGTGGGCTCACTGGATTCGGTGACCCACTGTGGCGTAGGTCAGTCATTGCGGGAAAAGGAAGAGCGAGGCGGTGTAGAGAGGAGAAAGGAGCACATACATCGTCAAGTTGGATACCGGTCTGACACCAACTACAGGCCGCCATCAAGTTGTAAGACACTACATTGCAGGTGCAGTCGTCGGTCTGACCTGTGATTGAGGGCTGCAGACGGTCAGTGCTAGATAAATCCCAAGGGAGCGAAGAGCTTACGGGGTAGTATTGGAATCTGTTGATGGTAGTAGTGTTAGGAGTCAGAGTGCTAATATGTGGGTGACGTACCCGGTATTTGGGAGAGCGGTAACCATCATCTCTGGGTTGTCTCAGCACCGGTATGCGGACGACTCAGGAGACTCACGTTTTAAGCATACAGCCTGCAGCTGTGCCCATACGAGACACGTAGACTGGCCTTGATTGTTATATTCCCTAATCTTATCGTATGCATATCACGGAACATAGTGGGAAACGCACCAGAAGTTTCGGGTACAGGTCGCGTTCGTCGTCCCCTGCGCACTCGACGTCTCCAACCAGGCAAAAGAAGTCAGAACACAGAGAGACAACGTAGATCTTAGAGGAAACATCATGATAGAGCATTAAGGTCGTAAGGGTAGGAGGTTGAAAGCATGTTGTCTGCCACCCCTCGCCAGGTGACTCGTCCCCTGCCCAGAGTCCCTAGCCCAAAACTGAAACCCATCCCAAGGCCTCGTCCATATTCCGAACCCAAAAAAAGGCGCCGGGCGCTACCCAGTACTAGGGGTCAGGTTCCTAGCGTGGGCTTGGCATGTTGCAGAAACATGGGGGCTTGCCAGGGTCTGGAGAGGCAAAAAGGCTGGGCTGTGATTGACCAGCATGTGATCATCATATTCTGTACAGTATTATCGATGCTCGAATTTCTCAGTGATGAAGGCGTGAGAGGGTCTGTATTTTTTAAATAAGAAGGGATAAAGCTCTGAAAGAAGAGGTGATGGTAGGAAGAAGGCACTTCTTCGTCTATTTTTAGACAGAGTGCTTGGTAACGTGGAGGACCCTTGGACGCGTTATCACCGCCTCTTCCATGGATCAACGTTCTCTTCTTGCAACCTTTCTAAATTTATATCTGAGCTTTGATATGTCGTGGACATGGCTAGCCTGATGAATGCCAAATATTCTGCGTCGACTGTTTTGTTGGTTAGTAAGAAATAGAGTTGCCGGAACGGGACTCTAGGCCTGTCCCTTGGACATGCAACAAGCGGATACTTTGCTGTCAGGTCCTCGCTTTGCACAGATTTATACTTCAAACATGAAAGTAAGTCCGTCACCCCTCTCGCGCTAATTATCATCATGAGTTGCGTAACAGACGATACATGCTCTGCGGTGCTCTCCTGAGGAATATCCTTCCTACCCTTCCAAGTGGCAAAGAATCGCAACAGCATCCAGCAACCGTCCCCTTTCTCTTCAAACCCCTGCCTCCGGAAGGCCCGAGTATCCACCCACGGCAAGCTGGCTGCCATAATTTTGACCAGCTGGTAGCCCACCATGGAAAACTCCCGGAGGTGGAGAACTCGAATAGCTCGTGGCTGGTGCCGACCCGTCGTAGCCCATGCCGGTCGTTGTTCCAGGTTGATATAAAAGGTATAGTGCAGCGGTTGCGCCCGACGGCATTGGTGATGCTGTTGAGAATGACGTGGCTTGCTGCAACATTGGACGGTCGGAGCCTTTGCCGGTCATACCTAATGCAGCATCTCCAGGGCCTGCAAAACCAGGGCCTGTAGTATTGTTCCTTCGGAAGATGAAGATTGCGAGCAACACGATCAGGGCCAAGCCCACAACACCTCCGACGACACCTCCCACGATCGCCCCGGTATTGCTGCTGCTGGTAGATCCTCCGGTCTGCCCTCCAGAGGACGACCCTGGAGACGAAGCGCTGGAAGTGGTTGTGCTGCTGCCACCGTTGCTAGTACTACTTGATGTGGTTGTTATCGACGTCGACTGAGCAGCGGTCGATGATACCGAAATTGCGGCTTCGTACGCTTGTGCCTGGCTGGGATCCCACGACTCCCCATTACCGGGTTCGTAAGTCCAGGCGGGGATATGAACATCGGCAAGGGATACCCCAGTGACACCTGTGGGATTGTAGGTTGGGCAACCACGAATCCAAGTCGTTTCATTGAGCCACTGAGTAGGAAAACGAGAGCTCGTCAGCATGCACTTCTGTGAAGAAATATGGCAACCGAGGGGGATAACGACCGGTTTACGTGCCAAGCAGCCGTCAGAGAAGTGGACGCACCGTGTAAGAGGTGGTTTGAGGTTGGCACCAACAACATGCTTCCATAAGGTTGTATGACACGATATTACAGTTGCAGTCATTTGGCTGCCAGTTATCGCCAGGAGCAAGGTAATAACTACGACAGGGGAGCATACAACCTGGTCAGTGTCGATTGGGTCTCTCAGCGGAAGGAACCTCACCTGTTGTTCGGCAGTGGTTGCACGTTAACGGGACCGCTTTGACACAAGGTCAAGAGCTGCGCCCAGACCAAGCATGGGTTCTCCCCCTGATCATTGAGCTCCCATGAAGGTGGGTAGCAGGTTGCATTGGAGGTGCCTCCCTGAGCCTGAACGACACGTGGTGACCACGTGATAAGGATGAAGGTGATCGCGAAGACTGACAGCATCGCACCTCTCGACAAAGGAAAGGTCAACACAGATGGTCGCAACGCTAAGAGATGTCCTCTGTCTGGGCGTCTTTTCAAGTCCAACACTGGCCCTGCCCTGGGAAGTGCCCGGAATTTCAGGAGGTAAAGGCGGTCTCTGATTGGCTGTCGGTACCTCGTGCGGATCATGATTATCAGGGACGCATCAATGCATCCTGCATTGCATTTCCGAAGGCCATGCTCTGTCTTCCGTCCAACAACGGACTTACCCTGTATTGGACAGACGCTGAACGCTGGATTTAGACGTGCCATACCCGGAACGCATTTGCGCGGTTTCTACCCTGTCGTGTTGTTTCCTGTAAGTGACAGGGTGTTTAGCGCACATGGGTACAACGAAATCTTGCCGGAATGTTTTCCACGAAAACCCGACCAGCGGTTATGCTGTGGGGGATAGAATGCCGTCCGACGTCCGAACAAGTAGCAAGCTTCAAGAGGCACCAGGGAAAGATAGTCACGGAAGTGTACATTTCAGCGTAGCTCAAGTCAGCGTCGTTCACTTTCACTCGAAGCAGGTCAGCTCTGGTCCTTACCAATGTATTAAGAAAAGCAATATTAGATGAACAGATCATGATGCACATCACCTCAAACACCCTTCCTCAATATAAATCTCTTCACAGTGCCACACAGCACGCCAACAACCCTCGTCATGATGTGCTCGGAAGGCCAGCATGCCATGGTCGTTTCCCTTGCCCTCTTTCCCTCTCAGCCCGTCTCCGCTCCATCCTCGCCCTCCTCTCTGCCGCCCTTGCCTGCTCATACGTCGGCAGCGTAGGACTGCGCAGTACCTCTCCAGATGTGTCGTACGAATATCGGTTAGGGTTAACACCGGCCTCAGAAGGTAAAAGTGGGTACTCGCTTCGCGGTGGAGAGGTACTGGTAGCCCCACTCCCCGTGGCGCTCCCTGCTCTGCTTCCAGAAGAGGGGGAGGAGATGAGAGGTGAAGACCAGGGGACCGGGGTGGCTTCGTCTGGTGGCTGAGGCGGAGAGGAACGCAGAATCCCCAGCGCATCGGGGGTAGTCAGCTCCCCGCGTGAGCCGTAGCCGTTCCCGCTGTTGGTGGAGACAGGCGTGCCTTCCCACGGCATAAGGGGTGTGGGTGTGTACGCCAACCTAGGGTTTCTCGGCGGTGGTGCGGAGGCCATCTTGAACGGCGTACCTGCATTCTGGGTGCTCAGTCGTCCTCCTAGCATGGGACCGCCACCGATCATGAACGGGACGGGTGCTGGCGGGTCCATCTCGGATATGTCGAGCGTGGTACGCAGTTCTGATTGGGAGCGTCGCCGGCGGAGGAGGAAGAACAACAATAGCCCGAGGAGGGCAAGAATGGCCACGCCACCAACGACACCACCGACTATTACTCCAACTGGGGTAGGAGAAGTAGGCTGGGTGCTGGGAGAAGCCGTATTGCCACCTGATGGTGCCGCGCCTGTAAGATTTGACGTGTTAGTGGTGTGTGATGGCGTGTCAGAGGATTGTGATCCGCCCGAAGAGGTAACCAACCCCCCCACAGGTGTTCCTGAAGACGTAGACGTCGAGCTCGTCCCCGTTTGCGACACCGTGCTTGAAGTAGTCGTACCTCCGCTCGGGGTATTCGTTGGGGAGCTGATTAACCCTGGCTGGGAAGAAGAAGCTGATCCACTGACAAGCGCCTCTGCGATGGTCGGGTTCCAGTAAGTGCCGTTCGCGGGCACGTACGCCCAGGAGGGGATCTCGATGGCCCCTAGGCTGACGGAGGAAGGGAGGCCAGTGGCATCATAGTCCTGACATCCATTTTTCCATGCTGCAGATTACTTAGGCGGGTCAGGGGAGAAAGGGGACGAAAGGGGCGTACTGTCTTCTGGAACCCACTAAGAGGATATGAGCGCGTGCCATAGGAGCAGGGAGAAGAGGACGTACGCTGTCTAGGGTGATCCCGGTTTGACACCAGGAGCATGCAGCCATGAGGTTGTACGAAACGACGTTGCATGTGCACGGATTTATTTGGTCGGTGAGGAAGGGCTGTATGGGGCACCTGAAGATCACCAAATGATGGTATATTGGGGAGAAGAGCGGCTCACAGGCTCGTACTGTCTGTGGAAATTCGTCAGTACGATGAGAGGTAAAAACGGGATACGACGTACTCTCCAGGCGGTACGTTGATTAAGACATATACTACCCGTGTTCAACCTTGATTTGAAAAATGTCAAAACGGACAGAACATACCCACAGTCGAATTTAGACACAACGATTGTAGTTGTGCCCAGACAAGGCAGGGCGACTGGCCCTCGAGATTCGCTGTCCTGCATTCATTGAGTTATCGCTGTCTCTCTTCAGATTAGGAGGTGAAAAACGTACCAGAGGTTCTGTGTACAAGTCGCGTTCGTCACTCCTACCGCGCTTGCGCGGTACACCAGTCCAGTCAAAATGAGAAGCGCTCGAAGAACGGGTATCAGGCATGCCATAGACTACCAGCAGCAGGGCACCAAGAGCGACACAGAAAGAGGAAAGAGGTCAAGCAGTGGGTATGAGTAGACATCAGGCAGCACAATAAGATCTTGTGGAGTAGCATCTGGCCAATGCTGTCAGGTACGGTGCCGCCCGGCAGAGGGGAACGGGGCAGAGTTCCTAACGCCGCCAAAGGCCACCGGGCCATTCTTTGTTCACTTCTCACGCAATGTTCGTGGTGGTCTTCGACAGACCCTGATTGATCCGGAAGACAGAGAATTCAGTCACTGTTGATACGGGAGTTACGCAAAGCACCGCCACGCATAACATATCATTAGTTCAAATCGATGGGAACATGAGGCTGCCGTATACTCACAATCAAGGATATGTGCATGGCACCAATCAGCTGGCATGAAGGTCACGGTTATTCCTATGATTCCCTTCTCACGCTTGAGGCTAGCTTGAGGCTACTTTCTTCCATCAGAACAACAGTAGCGGGTGTAGATCAGACAATCGAAGTGCTCAAATCGATCTATTATCTTCTTTACTTGCTCAGCGCACAATCTCGCCCCTACGGATCGCCATGATCAGTATCCCCCGGTGAGCATTTCCAAAAACTCCTCGGCGAGCGTCTTCGCCCCCGTAAAGTTGCCAGCAGTGACAAGCTCCCGATCATGTGTGATCTCGCCCATTTCCCGCTGGTCCTTCTCGCTCACTAGCGTCGCCCCGGCGGCTTTGAGCGCATCCTCCATATTGGAGATCAGGGGTCCGCTGTTGGGAGCGTTGGACTTCTCATCGGGGTTGGAGAAGGTAGTTATGCGGTATCCAGGGTATGCGAAGCCCGAATACTCGGACGCATGGAGTGTGGAGAGCAACGCGTAAACACCATGGTAGAGCGCAGCTAGTGCATACATTCATCAGCCATCATATTATAAGGACCAAAATACAACGAACCTGTGGGCTTTCCCAAATTATGGAATCCCCACAACAGCCTCCCCAGCTCCGCATCCTCCCCCAGCTCCATCATGGGCGTCTTCCCTCCCGGTACGAACACGCCCTCAAAGTTGTCGACCTCTTCGTCCGTCACGCTCGCGAATGAGCGGGGGGAAGCGAGCGCAGACTCGGCGCGCTGTTTCTGGAGTTGGGAGAGTGTTGGCTTGCGGGCGTAGTATGCGAGAAGGTGAGAGAGGAGGGAGTTGCTGAGTGGAGAGAGAGAGGGTTTCCGCCCAGAAGGTGAAGCGAACTGCGCAACATCATCAATCGCGCCCACATCAGATCACGTCCTGAAGAGGGGGGGGGAGAATGACGCACAGTAACCTCATAGCCCGCGTCAAGTAGCTGTTCGAGGGGCTTCGCAAGCTCTGCAACGAACGTGGCTGTCTCTTCGTGCACTACATCGCCGTCCTTCCTCTCCAACGGCGAGGACGCATCCGAGAGGACGACAAGGATGGTACCAGTAGGCTCGGCGGGTGCTTCTGTTTCCATGATGTACTGAGTGCGGGGCAGAGATGGGATTTGACTTTCACTTCGAAGGTTGCTGCCTCGCATAATCCAACAGAAGAGGCATGCTGGCGTATTTATGCCCCCTCGTGGTCGTACCTCGAGAACCTTGACACATGGCATAATCAATAGCAGCCTAGAGATTCTACCGCGGGAGGGGGAGGATGCACTGATGAAGCCGCGGGCGGTGGGTGGGCAGAATCAGCTGCGCCGAAGAAGATGGCGTATTTGCACTCCGAGGAAATCGCACGAAGTCGCCGTGGCCATCCAGAAGCTGGATGGTATGTTCTTGAGGAGAGTCGATCGAGTTCGACTCTAGTGCGAGAAGCGAAGCTTGCAAGATTGTATAGATGGGCGGGGTGGTGGTACGAGAATAAGATGAAGAAATAGGTCTTGTCCTTCTCAAGCTCTATCAAGCCTACATCACATTCCTGAGACGATATCCCAAAATCCTCTTCATTCCCTAGAATCCCTCTACATCTCTTGCAGTTGTACAGAACCAATGTGTGATCTATGACTATAAGTAATAGCAAAATGATAAAGCACAACAAACAAATCTAATAAATAATCCAAACTCAATGTCAGATCAAGGACCCCCACCGTGTTCTCGTTCTATCGCTCCCTCCTCTGCCCGGTGCTTGTCTTCTTTGCTCAGCCGCACGGTAGTGAGACAGAAGCATGCGACGGCAAGAAGCCCAGCAGCAACGACAAATATCGCCTTGGGGAAGCTGTAGACGCTAATGCTGTACAGTGCGCCAAACATCAACGGCTAGACACTCAGTCAGTAAGTGCACCTCCAAGCTTTCAAAGTACTCACCCCGAGCAAGATCTGCGACGTCGCCTGTACGAGGCCAAATGCTCCAAACAGTCTTCCTGCATGATTCACTTCTACAGAAACTCCACTTCCTGCCGCTTCCGCCTCTTCTTTCTCCTGCGCTGTCAGTATCCCCAAGGCAAGGGCATGCATCGCGGGCAGCGCTCCGCCCGCAAAGCTCGACATAGATGTGAAGAGGACGAACGCCCACATTGCCGAGGGTGGGGAGAGGGAGGTGAGCGTGTAGGCTAGGACGTCGAGTGCTACGGAAAAGGTTGCTAGCCGGTGGTCGGTGGAGAGGGAGTGCGTGCCATAGTAGTGTCTTATGAGGCGGATGACGGCGGGCAACAGGAGCAGGAGGTGGACGGCACGAGCAGAGCCGATGTATGCCAGGTAGTAGCCGAGCTGGAGCGATGGTCAGTAATGGTCATCGGCACGCCTGTGAGCTCAACTAACCTGTTCTGACCCCCACGCGTATGTGAACTGATTCGAAATGAGTAGAATACCATAGAGGAAAGAAGGACTTACGATAGCATACTGGAACTTCATATGATAGATCCCCTGCGATCCGTCAGCCGCATTTCCCAGAAACACTCGCCCGACTCACATAAACCAGCAGCATCGTAAACGCCGCCGTGCCAACAGCAAGCAAGTTCCAGTCCCTGCGGAACCGGCCCACCCTCTTCTTCGGAACGAATATCGCCAGCGGAGCAGCAAAGTCCCACCATCTGCCTGTCCTGGCAAGCCTCTTATGCTCCCTCTCTACCCGCTTCTTGTCCCTCGTCTCTATCGATAGGCTCTCTGGCAGTGCTACGGCGCACAGGAGCGCGAGGAGCAACCAACTACTAGCGCTGAGGTAAAACACGCTGATCAGGTTGTTCGTCATCTTCACCAGGAACCCGGAGATCGTCGGGCCCAATGCGACACCAATGTATATCAAACCGAAGAAGCGGGAGAAGATCTTGGCTCGGTTGTGAGGGTCAATCGTATCGCTTGCATAGGCGTTGATCGCGGCCTGCATTGCTGTCCATCCGCCCATGAGGCCCTCGACAGTCGGACCGAGAACGAGGATCCACCGGGAGACAGAGAATCGAAAGCGGCAGACAAGGAGGAAGACAAGGTCTGTTGTAAGCAGGCCGAGGGCGCAGAAGGTGAGGATCCGCGTGCGGCCATACGTGTCGGCCAGGGTGCCCCAGTAAGGTGTTGTGAGTGCAGAGAGGAGACCCATGGTGATCGATATTGCGGTCTGGAGGCGAGCGGCTGATGACTGAACAGAAGGGGATTTGGAGCATTCTTTAGTCGGCTCGGGCAACTGCGAGGGGTCGGTCTCCTGGGGCACTTCAACCTCAGCATCTGCTGTAGTACTGACCGGGTCATACAAGCCATAATCGGCAAATGGCTCGATAGCACGGATGTACAGAGGTGGGAAGACGTCAAACGACCAGTCGAGGCTACGAGCAGATAACGAGTTTGAGTCTGATACGCTGGCGTTGGGGAATACGGCGTCCGGCTTGAGTGCTAAGCAGGTCAACGCGGTGTACACTTCGACGCGGGGTGCTAGTGTCATCCCTCGCTGGACAAGAGTGAGAGAAGCCCGACGATGGGATCTGTGCGACGCACACATATAGCAGCGAACAGCGCGAAGGGTGCCAGCCTATATATGGATAAGTTAGCAGAAGCATGTGCGGCGTTGGAGAACGCACCAGTGAATCGATGGCCTCTTCCATGCCGGCGTCGTATCCCGCGGTGGGGAGAACTCGTCGTCCACAGCATCGTCCCTCTCTATCCCTCTTTCCTCGTTTTCAAGGAAAGGCGCCCTCTCGTGATTACGCTCCTCCTCATCCGCGTCCTTTACCCTATGCACGGACATACTGATGTCGTCGTGGTGCGCCTTATCCTCGTCGTGGTCTTGCGCAGGTGGAGGCTCGTAAACCGGCCGCCTGTGCCACGTCTTTGTGTCGCTCAGGGGTGTGTCGGGTGACGGAGGAATGGGAGAGTCGTGTGCGTTCTGCATGATAGACGATCAGGAGAGACTTTGGGAATGCTCCTAACACAGATAGCGCACGGAAGTGTAGTTGACGAGCGTGTGCTCGCTGGCACGGGTGATAGAAGCCCAATGGTAGGGGCCAATAATGCTTCTTTGATGACAGGCTCTAAATGGAGGGAAAGATGATTAGGCGCTGTTCACCACCGACAACGACGGCGACGCGTCCTTTTATTTATTTCGAGCTCGTCGTCTATCCACACGGCCTCCGTACACCTCTTGACCTCGGAATTTACCTTACCATTTCCGCACATTCACTTTGCCCTTATGAAGCAAACGCCTCCCTCCGATTCAAAGCAATTTATCTTCGGCAAGCAATATTTCCGCACACTCCGAATTGTACCGATCGGCATAACATTCCCACTCTTGGCCCGTGCTGTACACGTTCACGTCACATCTATTCGACCTCGTTATCCATCATCGCACATCATTCATCCGTTTCCTCATCCTCACAGACCACCGCGACGAACTCCATTGCTTGCTTCGATCTTCAACGGCGTTTGCGATTCTGACAAATAATCAGTCAGCTCTGCTGCGGAAAGGTTTCATCGCAGCTATAGCCGGAACGGTACCTTCGCAGAGCCATATTGTGTAGTGTTGCTGCTGGCCTAGGGAGAACCAGTAGGTCAGCCCCAATTATTTGCATACCGTGGCAGGGTGCTCACAGGTGGCTTGGCTGCTTTGGTCGGCCGGTCCTGCCCCGGCTCTTCTGCCCTGGGCCTTTTTTTACGCACTGGTTGAACAGTCACAGGGTTCACACTCTTCACAGGAGGGCCATGGTCAGAAGATTCTTCAATGCTGCTCAGGCTCGACGGTGACCGCCTATGGTTTTGTGCTGCAGTCCTGGTAACGGCTCCGAGTTGAGGTAACGGTGGGTCCGGCAACTTTACTTTCAACGGTTCGAGTGCAACGGCTGGCAAATGCTGCGAAGGAGCCCTAGAGGATTGAGATGGAGCTAAAGTCTGTTTTTCCAGATCAGCCGGCACGAGTCAATGGCAGGGATTCACGCGCCTTGGCCATTTCGATCTTGAGCGATCGTTCAAGGTCCGCAATCTTAACAATGTGTTTCTCGTTCTCGCTCTGGAGCTGCCAAAGAAAGGTGTTCAAGTACAGCGGTGTCCCGATCTGATCTTGCTGACCTTTTTTATTGCGTTCCTAGTCCGTGTCCCCTCAAGTTCATGGGCTTTCTCGATATCGTCTTTGATGACTTCAACAAACTCCATCTCTGCCGATGTCTTCGGGTATGAGCAATGCCAAACCCACCGTGGCGATCTAGCTTACTAGGTCCTTGGTCCAATATCTCTCACGCATGGTAGTTGATCGTCTAAGAAGCTCGTCTCGTTGTTTTTCACAAGCATCCATTCGCTCTGCATAGTTTGTCTGGTACTCAGTCTTCTGTTGCTGCAGTTCTTCTCGACGGTGGCTGAGTTCGTTTTCCACTTCAGCGAGCTTTATCGCCTCTTCAGACCTTTGCTTGTCGAGCTGTTTCTGCAATTCATCAAGCTTATTATGGGCCACATCCTGAAATCGGCTTAGCTGTAGCTCAAGTCAGGTCAAAATCGACAAACCAGCTTGTGGGTAAGGTCCTGGACCACCAACTGGAGTTCCATTGCCCTGCGGTTTGAGAGGTCCTCGTCTGCAATCGCACCAGCATCACGGAGATCGAATTGATCCTGAACGAACAGTATGGTCAGACACGCTAAAGTCTACCACTTTACATACACTCATCGCCTGCAACAACTCCTCGGCCTTTTGCTTTGCAGCCTCAGAGGTCTTACGACGTTCCGTGAGTGACTGTACAGATGGACATCAGACGAGGGCAAGAGCAGGTGAATGTCGACTTACCGCGATCTCATCTTGCAATCTCGTGTATCTATACAAACAAATGTTACTTGTGTTTCGGGTGATTGACTGCTCACTCAACTGAAGTTTCACTTGTTGAGACGTCTCTTCGTAGCTTCTTATCTCGGACTCGAGTTGCAATACTCTCCTTTCCTTGTCTAGGATTGCGTCATTTTTGCCTTGACGTTCCCTCCTTTCACTGGCGCGAATGACTTTGAACTCTTCCTTCCAGCGCTCAGCCGATTGCTCGAGCTCTCTTTGGCCCTCTTTGATCTGAAATTCGTTGCGAAGCAGTCTATGAAGGGGCGGGTTAATGAGACATGAAGCGTGAATAATTCGTGGTCTTACTGCTGCTGCTGTTCGAGTAGCTTGGTTTCCTGCCTCGTAATGACAAGTTTGAGATCGTCCTCGGCTATCTTCTGCAGTGCACGGAGTGTTTCGATCCTGTAACCAAAGAGCTTAGTATGATAATCCGTCCTTGGAGGAGGTGTTGAACCTACTCTTCTTCCAGGTTTTTGTTGGTTAACTCGAGTTCGGCTCCCTTCAACAGCGTGTCTATAATTTTTTGTTCCTGCTTCTTCCGCACTTCCAAATCGTGTTCTATAATTTTTTCTGGTGACAAGCGTGAGCATAGCGCTATAATGATGCAGTAAGTGATCATACCACGAAGAGCTTTTACTTCCTGGACTGCCCCATTGTCTTCTCCCTGGAGGCGGATCAAGTTCTGAAAAGACTCTTCCATAGACGCGAGCATGCACTTGTCATGCGCCATCTCATCACGAAGTAAACCGATCGTCGATTTAGCTGAGATATTTTAACAACAAGGCGTGTAGAAATCTGAGAGCGTACCTTCCATGTAATCGTGGTCAACCATTTCTTTTGCGTTCTTGAGTTCAGCAAGGAGTATTTTCGTCTTCAGTTTCTGTTCAGTCAGAGAATTCTCTCCCGTCTCAATATAAGGAGATATGACTGTGGTACATATTAGAGGAAGTCAAGCTCAGGGGGAGAGGGAAGCTTTGCGCACCGTCAAGGCTGTCCTTTATCTGTCTTCGCAAATCCTGGAGTTCGGGCATAATGCTGTGCGTCTTCCTAAAGTCAGACTCCACCAAGTTACTGATCGTTTTGTAGTTGTCCAGGTCCTTTTTCATGTCATTGAACCTGTGGATGGCTTTAGTCACCCATGTCGTGATTCCTACGAGTACACTCACAGTTGACTTCCTCGCTTCATCTTTTCATTAGCCTTCAGTTTCGTGTCCGCCAGGTCTTGAGTTGCCTTCTCCAGTTTCTTCTCAAGGTCGTCGCGCTCCAGTTGAAGCTTGGCGAGGCGCGTATTCTTGTCCCTGTTAGTCTTATCACGTGTTGCAACAAACTGATTTACTTACCACAGAACGCAGTTCCTTCTCGCGACGCTTAGCAGCGCGCAGAGCGGGAATCAGATACGACAAGGGATCTTTGGCAGGCATGATTTCTGTCAGATCTCGTGGGTTATCCTCGAAGCTTATGTCCGAAGTGAAGGAAGGCGAGCGGGCCCGTGGAGAGAGGGGCAGATCAGAGGGAACAGGATTAGCCCTTGACTGGTCTGCACGCGGCAGAGCAAACGGGACGGGGCCAGATGTCTGAATGGGAGAATCAGGATAAGCAGTCGCAGAAGACCTTGTAGTGGTATGAGAGGGCATATTGTCATTGTGTGAACGAACAGGATCAGATCGAACATCAGAGCGACGACCCGCTGGCTGTTGATGGGCGCTAGAAGCGTGCTGGGTAACGTGGGGCTCTCTCGTGCTGTCGCCTGAGTTACGACGCGTCTGCACAAGGGAGCCATCTCTCAAGTACCTGGGATCCGAATAGTCTCTCGTATGGGAATTTCTCTCAGAGGTATCATTATTGGTGTGTTCATCAATGTTCGAATGCCGTGAATGGTCTGGTTCTTCTTCATAGTCAGCTTCTCTTGAGTTGCGTCCGTTCCGCCTATCGTCATAAGGTCCATCAGCTTTTGGATGATTCTCACGACCAGAAGTAGCAGGATTCGACTGAAAAGGCTGAGGAGGCGGTCGAGCATAAGACACATCGCCGGAACGATTGATGCCAGAAAGAAGGAACTGGGATGCAGCAGGGAACCGGTCCATGCCCTCCGTATACGTGGTGGTAAATGAGTACCCAGAGCCAGGAAAGTCAGGAATTGCACCAGAGCCCTCGAACTCAGATGTATGCACGACCTGCGCCCGATGAGTGGGGGAACCAGGAGAGGGTCGCGCATACATCGCATGATTACTCACAGGAGGATTTGGACGAGGCGTCTCCGCCACCCTCTGCTCACGTCCACGGGCATAATCACCCAATCCTTTTCCAGGTGGAACGCGTGGAGGAGGAGGTTTGGGGGCAGGAGGTACATTGGAGTGTGTTCCAGAGTGAGCAGGACGAACAGGGGGCTGAAGAGGCCGACCACCTCCGTTCAGTGCACTTGAATTGTTCGGATTCCAAGGCACAGGAGCGTGACGACGCGTCTTTTCCCATGACAGATCTTCGTTGTCAATCTCAAGGATGTCATCCATCGCAGTTGAGCGATGATATAGAAATTGGCTTTATAGGTTAGAATAGACAGTCAGTCAGTGGCAGTGATGAACAACAGAGGCCTTCTGTTTGTCCGAAGATGGTGGTGGAACGGAAAGAAGGCGTGGGGACACGGGAGCAAACGCGCCGCCTTTTGTATCAAACAACAATCGAGGAATGCTAGATGTATGCTGAATGACTGTAGGGTATCTCTCCGACTAGGTAATCGTACAATAGAGAAGGGGAAATGCGCATGACAAGCTCCCAGAGCCCACTGAAATCGACTAATACGAAGTGCCGACTTCAACACCCAACCACTGCCCAACGCGTCCCGCGACGTGCTAGGTGTATGCGTACAGTTATCTGCGGAAGTTCCCTGTGTATATGCACCAGATAATACCCTCCGCCGCCGCTTCTGTAGAGATCAAGTATGACTGGCTCTTTACTAGCACGTGAGGCCCAGCGTAGATGACGGGTTAAAGCCAGGCTGTGGGAGAAGAATCAATTTGAAGGTCAAAGTGGAGACAAGAAAAGGGCTGACGTAGAACCAGAAAGCGACGGCTACAATTGCGTATAGATCTGAGCCAAGGTTAGGCAAGTTCCTTGCAAACATAACTAGAACGGACTCATGAGAATCATCCCCTCCAGCCAGTTACTCCGACCATCGGCAACGACGTAGTTAACTGTTAACACAGCGAGGAACAACACCTGCACTATGGATGAGCAATCTCATATGAATGAGCTCCAACGCAGTACGTACCACACTCTCGAAAGGATCAAACAACATAGTCAGTGGCTTACCCATAATCCATGCGAGGACCACGATGAACGGGATAACGAAAAGAGCAATCTGGATGCTAGATCCGACTGCGACACCCATAGAGAGATCGAGCTTGTTCTTCACCGATACTGTCACTGCCGTGACATGTTCTGCTGCGTTGCCGACAATCGGGAGGAGGATCAAGCCGACCCATTCTTCGCTGATGTGTCCAGTAGCTGTCACACCGTCGATGGAATCCACGAGGAACTCGGCCGTGACGCCAACGAGCTAAACAACTATGAGCGAGATCGGAAGGAAGGAAAGACAGCCACAAACCACAGTAACAACGATCAGGAGGATGACACAAGTGGCGAAGTTCATCGTAGGATACTCGGGTTCTTCTCCTGCTTCCGAAGTTTCTTCATGAGCCTCAGCCCTTTCCACTGCCCCAGGTGTCTTCTCAGCAGACTCTACTGGTACACGCTGTCGCGCACCCGACTGCTGCTCATGGCTCGTAGTTGAGGCAGTTGCTGCTCCCGGCTCGCTCTGAACCTCCTCGTCATCCTTGCTGCGCTGCCGGCCAATCTTCTGCAGCCTCTTGCCCATCTTCTTGTATTGATATTTCAGATTGATATTTTCTGGATATGCGGTGGACTTGGAGGCAGCCTCATTCAGGACATTCGCATGTGACCAGAGTTGGAAGATCAGGTTGCAGGCGTAGATTATGAGAAGGATGACAGCTACCTATCAGTTGTGTCAGAAGCAATATTAAAAAGGCAACTATTGTGCTCACTCCATGACTCATCTGAAGAATATCATGTCCTTCCTTTTGGGGACTGACATCATTGCTGGTATTGTTGTCCGCGTTGTTGCTCGCGGTGATCGCCATGTTGAACGCAGCGGGCAGAAGAACAGCAATCACACTCAAAACGAGCAAGGATGAGTTCAGCTGCGCTGGCGCAACCAAGAATCCTTGTTCGGAATATTTAGTCCCACCTGCGAAAACTGAAGATACTTTAGTAGCTATATGCTGCAGCGATTTGGCACTACTTACAGCACATGCCGAGAACCAGGAGCAGGTTGCTAAGAATAGAGCCCACCAGCGATGACTGTACGATCGTGAGCTTGCATTGTGCCAGCGCGATGATCGCAACAATTAGTTCGACAGCATTGCCAAGAGTAGCGTTTAATAATCCTCCTAGAGTTTGTCTAATTGCATCTTCAGAACAAACTGATGGTTTGAACAGGGCAAACGTACCCAACCCGAAGCGAAATCTCCTCCGTTGCGAAGGCTAGCAGTTTCGCAAGTGGAATGATAGAAAGGAACGTGACTGCATGGAGGGTCAATAGGAACTCGGGATTCGATGCACAGGAATATCAACTCACATATGAAAACGATAATGGGAGTGACACTTGTGAAATGGAGAGCCCAGCCGACGGGGATACAAACGAGCAAAACGTTGAGCCCTGTTCCAGCTTCAGGAAGGGAAGACTGCTACGTTTTGGGAAGACGTACAACTGGCAGTTACAACGGCTTTCAAGCTTCCTGCCCAAGTCGGCTTGGGGTGATCCGGAGGCGGCGGATTCTGCGGCTTGAGCAACATAGATGTGTGCTCCCTCACGACTTCTAGAGTCGTCTTGCCCCTCCGCGGCACCCTCGATTCGATCGCCTGGATTGGCACTCCTTTCATATTCACATTCCTTTCAATGTCTTTGGACTCCTTTCTGGAGGGGTACGAGTGGCGGCGAGCTATTGTGGTCGGGGAGTCAGGGAGTGGTTCGGTCCCATCAGGAAACGGGCCAGTCTCGTCCTGTGGTGCTGTTTGCGGTAACCGGGATAAGTCATCCCAGTAAGCCAAGAGAGCGCGACCGCACTCACAAGCCCAGACCTGCCCAGCGGGGTTAGCCTCTACGTTGTTCTTGGTGCTGCCGCTCATTGGAGGCTTAGCAGTCAGCTGTTGTCGATGCCGAGCAGTTGCAGTTATAGCTGGTGGAATGAAAGAGAGCGTGAGAGGCCCTTAGGGGCGGGGAAACGAGTGGGGTGATATTGGCTAGAATGACCGCAGCTGGTGTGTGTGGCAAGAGGTTTCCTGTGCGCGTGCCCAGAGGGGTCGATCGGCTTGGGTGCCAACTACGCTTCTGAAAAGCTCTTGGCACCGTCCCATTTCGCCCTCTCTGTTTTGTACCCCAGACATCCGCAACAGTACTCTCTTTCATTTACTCATTCATCAACACTGATGTGCTGTGCCCTGTCTAGCTTTGTTTTTCTGCGCTCTGGTAAACGTTTTCTGATGATGATCAAGTGTATGTTTTGCGATGTAATCACCGACTTGGCTTGTCCGACGTGACAGATCCCGCCCGTCCGGGTTTGCGGAGTTCCAAAAGGACAGCACTAACCAAGACTCTTGGTATTTATAATGTGCTTTATTCACAAAATGAACGCAGACACGCGTCACTATGACCTCGGGGTGGACTTCAAGCTGCAATTCATCCTCTCATCAACCATCTCAGGCGATGCTAATTGTTATACTCGGCACATCAGATATCAGACAATCTTGATCTTGACCAACTCCGGCCCGAATGTTGATCCTTCCAGCTCGGGCGTATGTCGTAGCGGACGGTTGTTATCGGCTGTCTTTACGGCTCGCTTCTCTCAATCGCCGCTTTCCAAACCCTCCGTTACATCCGGCAAGGCGGAAACGTGCACTTTGTTGACTGATGCATGCTCCTGAGTCTTGGCAACATCCATCAGAACCGAGGAAGAAGAAAAACCGACCCCGGACGCCACAGCTTCTTTTCCGCTCCTTGCGCGATCATACCCCGCTGCGGTGCTGAAAGAGCAGCTTCTTGCTACTCCTGGACCTGGGTGTGCTGGCAACGGGCCTAGAGATGGCCTTGCGCTGTGCAGACAACAATGGACATCACTTTGTCAAGCGGCGACAATCGTACCGGCCTCCAGCGAACAAAGCCAGACGCTGGCTGGGGACGGATTTCAATCCAGAATTGGATGGTATCTGGCCCGTGGCCTTGTCTACCCCCATCGTTCGTCCCTCTTCTGGCGTACGTCCGACCAACCCTGGGCCCATTGTTATCAGTTCCCCTCAACCGCGAAAACATTGCCAAAGTGAGTACGACGTTGTTCTGCCACCCTAAAGGTCAATATCATTGATCTTCGATAATCTGAATCGACGATGTCACGATCGCGCCTGCCCCTTGCCTCGCTGGTAGCTCTCATCAGATCTGCGGCAGATCGATTCATCCCTGATTCCCCTGCTCTCTTTGATGTTCCCCCGGCCTATAGAACCTTTCGCCCGGCGCACGGACCTCCAGCAAACTCCAGCAGCATGTAACGGACATAGATTGTTGCCCGAGGAATAACAGGGCCATTGGGAAGTCGCCTAGCCCGGGCGTGCCAGCGAATCTAATCTTCTGTCCCCGACTGCAAGCGGCCGTGGAGTTGAATGCGTTGGCAGGGGCAGGCGCATCGTTCATTCCCGGGCAGTTCGGGATAACAAGGCACCGCAGTGATCTGTAGGGTAAGAAACCTAGCACCAACATCTAGAATCTGCAAGTACAAATCCTCCCTTATCAGCAAACCTCAGCGCGCGGCTTAGAAACAACCTGCGACTTGTACCATCGGTGAATGGACAATCGCTTGGACCCGATTAATATCGGTATCTGATACCCGGTTTCGAAATTCTGTAAGATTCAAGGTGATACGAGGTGACTGAAGTAACTGCGGTGGTGAAACGCGAGTTTGTGACAATATGCAATAGGATTTGTATATCTGTCAAGGGGCTAATGATGTTATTCCAGTGCTGTGTATTGTATATTGTCATGCCTATGTGGGCACAGTGGCTTCTTGCTTCATAAGCCGATAAACTCATACCGTCGAGGCCATCGGGAGGGTCCAGGATTGACCGACCGGCAACCACGGGATACCCACGGCACGCAAGCCCAGCGAGTCGCTACGGACTCACGCAGTCTTAGCAAGCGCCTGATGACGAATCGTCCTCTCACGCGGGCGTTTAGGGATACGTGTATGGACGGGTGTACGTCGTATCCGGTCGGGACGGCGTGGTTCCCACAAGGCCTGGCGCACAGGTTACCTCCATCGTGAAGGGAAGGACTAGACAGGGCATCACGTGATGCAGGGGCATGGATGAGACTGACAGATGAGCCGAACAGAGAAAAAGGACCCGAACACGGAGCAGGCGTGGGGCTTGCTGACAGAAACGAAGACGGTAGGGCACGGGATTGGCTAGAGCTAAGGGTTTTGAGGAGACCAGGGACGAGAGGCATTCAAGCTGAATGGGGATGCCGTGCTAATACGTTATTTCAGTGGTTGTACGTATTTACTTGAGGTGATGTGGAAAGAGGGGGGTGTTATAGAGGGAAATGGAGGCCGAGGAGCGGAAGGTGATTGGAGGAGGAAGGGGGGGCAATGGGGCTAACACGTAAAGGGATTGATTGACAGGATCATCGGGTGTATGGATGGTCCGTGCGCAGGAAGGAAGAGAAATGGGAAGAGTCTGAAGGGGGCTATTTGCCGTCATTGGCCTGTCGCTGGCGACCACTTCAGACTCGTCTCTCCTCCCCCCCTTCCTTCTCCCCCCTTTTTTTCATCTACAACCAGTTACTTACTCTCGGTGAACACCATCATCAGTCCGGTGCGCGTGGTGACCGCTCAGTTCGCTAGACTAGACCCATACACGCGGACCAAACTCGCTGTCCTCTTTTTATCAATCAAATCACAGCGCAGATCATTATCCCCTCTAGCTTACTAGCACATCGTCATATACATCTACAGTAGAAAAAAAAACAGCAAACACGGGTAAAAGACAGGTCGATATTAGCCACATGATACACATAACCCGTCATTTGATGGGCGGGGTGGTCTTGTAAAGGGTGGGAAGTATACGCAGCCCACAGGCGAACCGGGACCAGGCTAGGGCAGGTCTCCCCCTACACCCGCATAGCCCAATCCCTCCTCCGTTCTCTTTCTTCACCCTCTCCTCCTCCCTTTCTCCTCCTTCCTCATTTCAACCCCATCACCTTGTCACTTCTCTCTCGACAACGTCCACCTCGGTCCGCATTCATCCCCCACCTCATCGTCCTTGACACTGCAACTCGTCGTCCTCCTCGTCGATGCATGTTCAAGTTCGCCAGCCAGTACTCCCCATCCATCTTCCCGCCCCCTATCCCACCCACCAACCACAATCACCCCGCTATCGTAACATAGGCCAACCCTACTCTAACGCCTACACAGACCCGTACGGAACACCGTACTACATTCAACCCCAGTTACAGTTCATACCCACCCCGGTTGCAACCACGGGAAGCTCCATTAGCGCGCCGCAGGTCTCTGACCACCCTCTCCAGCACCAGCAATACGCTGCCTCCCACCAATACGGAACGACGTCGGGGAGTGTGTATCATCCAGCCTCCAGCTCGGGCAGTGCATATTCGAACTACGACCGTGACGGGGACCGGTCTAGCATAAGGAGTCGCGGGGACGACTATCGGGATCAGCTTGATAGCACACCTACGTACTCCCGTCCGTACAACGAGCATCATTACCAACCAGCGTCGACAGCACACCCGCTCTCCGCTGTCAGCAACTACGATTCGCCGAGTCACACGTCGCAGCGTCTGTACGGGCAGACGTCGGCACTCACACCCATCAACACATCTTCGTCCGCTCTGTCACATACCTCCCGCGCATCACTGCAAAACATCCTGAATCCCTCCCCTGTCGAACCCGTTCCCCAAACCCAGTATCCAGGATTCGCCGTTCCCCCTCCATACCCAAATTCATACGACGGCATGGCCCCCGTGACCGCGGCAACGACGGTCTACACGAACGGCAACAGCTCAGGCGCTGTTGCTAGGAAGCGAAAACGGGTACTCCAGCACCAGCAATTCAGCTGGACAACAGAAGAGCAAGTTGATAACAGTGGCAAGCGACGAGAAGTCATTGTCTTGGGTGACACGCCCTCACCTGCGCCAGATGGCCTTGGACTTAGCGGCACGAATGAATATTTGGATCCATACTACTCCAACGAGCATGCATCTGAGCCACGCGAGGTCAAGACACTCCCTCGTCGTGCAGTACGGACTACACGAACGCAAGCCGAGTCGTCTAACGGGTGCCTCAAGGTCGAAAGAGAGGAACCCGTGCTTCAGCCTGCTAAACGACGACGAGTAGGCGCTGCTGGTGAGGCAATTGTGAGCAAGAAGGGCAAAGGGCAAGAAGACGATCCTTGGAAGGAGCGGAAAGATGTGAGTGCGTTCGCATCGCTATGTTTTCATATGCTGACAAGTTTTCAGCCTGCCGTACCGGCGTCTTGCGACGATAAGGAAGGTCACTACATTATCCTTCCTGGGGATTGTATTGGGAACGATCATCGATGTACGCTATCTTCCCGAATGTTCCTTGATGCGGCTTACACATTCTCTTAGATAAAATTGTGCGTTTGCTTGGTCAAGGCACATTTGGCAAGGTTGTCGAAGCTCAGGACCTGCACTCACCACGACGAGAGCGCAAGGTGGCCGTTAAGATCATTCGGGCTGTTCAAAAGTACCGCGATGCGAGCAAGATCGAGGTGCGCGTTCTGGAGCGGCTAAAGTTGGCGGACCCGCAAAACATCCAGTGAGCATATAATCGCCTCCTTCATCATATATGCTGCTGACCAGTGCATCAGCCAATGTATCCATGCAGAGCAGGTGTTCGATTTTAGGAATCACGTCTGTATCGTCTCCGAGCTGCTCGGGATGTGCGTATACGACTTCTTGAAAGAGAACGAGTTCCAGGCGTTCCCGAGGGATCATATATGGGCTTTTGCCCGTCAATTGCTGGATAGCGTAGCTTGTGAGTGCAATATGCTCAGCATGATGGCTCTTACTAACTCGCGACAGTCCTGCACTCACAAGGGTTAGTGCACACAGATTTGAAGCCGGAGAACATCCTGCTTGTTAACGACACATACAAGCAGATTTCCATACCAGGATCATCAAGAGTGAGCGACAGCCTCGTATCTCATGGTTCATTTGCTGACTTGGCACGCAGCGGCAACCCGCACAACACCAGAAGATCCTGTTGGACACTCGGATCCGCCTAATCGACTTTGGCAGTGCAACCTTCGAGACCGAGTATCACAGCTCCGTAGTATGTACAAGGCACTACCGTGCGCCGGAGATCATCCTGGGCATGGGCTGGTCCTACCCATGCGACGCGTACTCGATCGGCTGCATCTTGGTCGAGTTCTACACAGGGACAGCACTCTTCCAGACGCACGACAACGTAGAACACCTAGCCATGATGGAGGTTGTCATGGGCCTCATGCCTACTGCTTTCAAGAATGTCGGCAGGTGAGGAGAACTCTCGACTGATGAGTATAGACGCTTACATGATGGGTAGGAAAAACAAGCCAGAATTCTTCAAGTCCACTGGTTTACTGGACTGGCCAAAGACGCGTGCATCGAAAGCGTCCAAGCGAGACATTTCCAAAATGAAGCCGCTAGAGGTTCGTCTCCTCTCTATCCTTCCCCACATACCTGACTCTGGTGTAGCACATCATCGACCCGAACAAGGACGATGCGAACAAGCGGTTCTGCGAGTTGGTCAAGGAACTGCTGGCATTCGATCCCAAGCAACGTATACGAGTGCGGGACGCACTCTCCTCACCCTTCATACGGATGAACATCCCGCCCGAATCGAGCAAGCTCCTCACGCGGTGGAACGGCCTCTAACGTCCAGTCTCCAGCGTCCAGCTTCTTGAGCGTGCGTGCGCGCGTGTCTGGTGCCGAGCACAGCTGGCTCGGTTAACGGTTATCAACTCTGTATTCTCTTGCATTTGGCTTATGTAGGCATCCCATCATCCTTGGTCGTTAAACAATCTTCGCACACCTTCTCCATCTCCGTCTCCATCTCCTCATCCTCCACCTCATCCTCGTCCGCTTGTTCCTCTCACTCCCATTCGTATTCGTTGTGTCCAATCTACCGCTCAGGTACATACCACGCAAAAAACGTACCCCCTTACCCCCGCTTTTTTTCATCTTCCTCTGTGTTATCGTACTAGAAAAAAAACAGCTTCGCTGGTGCCTGCCTTCCTATGCTTGTGCTAGCCAGGGCGAGCGGGTTAGCGGCACGTTGATGGTCGACGGTCGACGGTCGATGTTGGTGGAGCCGCGCTGCTGTGTGTAACATAGGCGTGGAGAGTATAGAATGTATGATACGAATATTACCCACCCAAGCCAGGCCAATCCAACCCCGTATGACCTATCCGCGTACTAGTCTGACCGAGTCTGGGGCATATGCGGGTAACAGGATGACGCCCTGACAACTGGTGTGGATTCTGGAAAACTGTACGCGCTTGCTGACGGGGGGCAACGGGAGAGGTTCTGTATGTCATCATGGGCTTTGACTGACTGAACTGAGAACTGATCGTACATCTTCCTTGTTACAGTATATCTACCACTATAACTCCAATTCCAGGCATCTAGTTGCCCACATCTATCCAACTCCAACATCCAACATACAACGTCCAACGTCCAGCGCCCACCTCCCCTTTAGCTCACCCACTCCCCCAAGCCCAACCCCCTCACCCACCCCTCTCCTGCCCAAGCCAGCAACACGACCCCCGTCGTCAGCCCCGCACTGGAGGGCAAGACGACCCTTAGGCCGAAGCCGGCTGAGAAGCCTCCGAGGAGGTGGCGGATCAGCTGAGTGCGGGAGGTTTCTGGCCATGAGAAGGGGAAGGGGAAGTGGGGTAGGAAGGATGAGGGCGAGGAGTTGGAGTTTGAGTTGGGGGGGGTGGAAGTGGAAGTGGAAGTGGAGATGGACCAGATGGAAAGAAGGAGTAAGAGAAAGAGTTTCGTAAGTGAGGAATAGAGCAACGATAGTGATATACGCGTGCAGCTGGCGCTATGCTGTTAGACCTGGACAGGGGCTAGGATAGAGGAAGGGGGGACATACGTCGGTTCCGTACCGGGGTTTGAAGGCGTACGACGGAGGAAGAGTACCCCCCAGCTACCGAGGATAACAAGCAAGTGGAAAGTGATCGTTTCTGTTCCCCAACCCCTATGAGCTCCATCCCCCAAAAGCAAAAAAAGGCGCACCAAGTAGACAGGCGAGGAACGTCCGGCCCAGAGAGAACGCTCCCGAGGTCGTCCATTCGTAGCCTGCCAATGTGTATGGCCTGCGGTCTTCGGTCCATCCTTGGGGCGAGGAATGGCGTATGAACGCGTCTACCAGTGTTAGGCAGAGCCCTAGGCTCCAGAGTATCGCTCCCTCCGTCTGCCCTCCATGAATGATCCATATGCAGAAAGAGTAAAAGCAGGACACACGAGTTCCTCCCCCTTCTGCACCTCTACCTCCCTGCCCTCCCTGTCTAGCCGCCTAGGGAGTGCCCCGTGGTTGAAGAGCAAATGCCGGTATACTCCTCGCTTGAGCAGGATGAGGTCGAGCAGTACGATGAGGGGGTCGTGTTCTACGTAAGGGTCTGCGAAGGAGTGACAGTTTGGCTGCAGAATGGGTTAGTTAGAGGGGGGAGGAAGAGAGGTGGTGAGGAGGAGGATGAGGACGCACACATTGTTCTAGCCTGAGGTTATACTTTGAAGGATAGAGCGTGTATAGATGTGGTACTGTGTGTGTACAGTTTGTACATATCGGCATGGCACAGTTGTATACCATGCGTAATGTCATCACTCACGCTGTCGATCACTCAGGAATGAACCGTAATCACGTGCTATATTCACGTGCTCTTCCCCACAAAATAGCGCAGCCTCCCATTCCGCCTTTCCCGCACTAGAGACCGCTGACGTCGGCCACTCGGGTGCGGGCGTCTGACCGGGACAACGGAGGGAGAGGCGCATATGACCGTCTGTACGCCTGTTGTTCATCCTCGACTTGTTACTTCTCCTCCTCCTCCTACTTCTACTACTTCAACTACTTCGATTACTACTACGTTAACATGGCATGGGATTACACTACAGAGTCAGCCTAATCCTACCCTTTCTCTCACACGCTCACAGAACACAGCCAACCCCTGCTCCAAGATCATCCAACAACAGTAACAAGCACAACAATAACGAGCCATCATCGGTGCGCCCCCTCACCCATCACTCCTCCAAAACGCTGCTGACGAGAATAGGGAACTGCGAGATCTGCTCGTTTGCCCGCATACGAGGGGTCAGGTGTTTTATATTAGGAACACATCCCTCTTTTACCAGGATATACTCGCTTCACACGCGGAGGGCGCTGTACCCGCTGCTGCTCACTCAGAGGGAGAGCGGGATGCAGAGGGAGAGGGAGAAGAAGGGGAGGAAGACCCCCCCGGAAGCCCGGAACAGGTCTGCGACGTCCGCTTTCATCCTGTGTGTTTGTCTTACGGGTATGCTCTCCCTCCCTGTTCCTGCTTCCCTCAGCCGTAGATAAGCTCACATCCTACAGCGCCGGCCTCCTAGCCGCCGGAGGACTGCATTCCGAGCTCGCCCTCCGACCTTTGCACGGCAGTCGCTGGTCCGCCCTTCCCCCTCCCTTAGTATATCAACACTCACGCTTGGTTACAGGACATACACGACCTCCCTCTCTAAATCGATCAACAATTCCCTGCTGGTGACGTCCCTCTCCCTTCCCTGTGACGAGAGCGGGAGCACGAGGACAAGACTCTTTGTGAGCAATAATGACCGCACGGTGACGGCTTACGAGGTTGGGATCGACGAGGACCTGGGGCTGGAGGCGCCGCAGGAAGGGGGAGAAGGTGCGGACGGGGAGGGGGAAGGGGAAGGAGGATGTAGGATGGAGTTGAGCGGGAGTGTGAGGCTTAACACCGCGCTGAATCATGGTGCGCTCGCCCCTTATACGCTTCTGCTTGCCTTTGGCGCTCAATGTTATGTGGATACAGCATCACTTTCCCCCGATGGGAGGACGCTCCTCGCCGTAGGCGATACGCCAGACGTGTTCGTGTTGAATGTCACCGGAGGTCGGGGAACCGAGATGCAGCTAACGACAGTACTTGAAGGTCCGCCGTCCCCTGCCCTTATTATCAGGATGTCTAAAGCTTGACCGACATAGCTGCCGACGCATCATTCTCCACCTCCTGGAGTCCCGACGGACGCAAGTTCGCCGTCTCTTCCCAGAGTGCGCCGCTCCTTCTGTTTATCTAACGTTTCTCACACACCCCAGATGGGGAAGTGCGAGTCTGGGACGTAAGGTCCACCAAGCCCCTCGCAAAGTTCTTCGCTCTCAAACCGGGCGCATCGACGAGAGCAGTCAAGTTCTCCCCCCCAGGAGCGCGTGAACTGCTCGCTTTCGCAGAAGTACGCTCGCCTAGCCTCCTCTTATTTCCCGTTCGGTTCGCGCTAACGTCCTGCAGGGATCGAGCAACCTGCATATCGTCGACGCGCGCACTTTTGCGGGACACAAGACGTACACCGTTCCCCCTACCACCCCCGTGCGGCAGGGCACGCGCACAAAACGTTTTCAAGGAACACCACGTTCTCTCTCTCCCGTCCCTTCCTCCACTAGCAGCACATCAGCAGCAGCAGCAGCAGCATACATGCATCTCCCACCCCCGATCCCGATCCACCGTTCCCTTCCCCTCGCGCTCACTCTCTCTCTCCCCCTACTCCAAAGTCTACAGGACTACAAGCCTCCCCTGCCCTGGTACGCCTCTGGGTACGGCAGCAACACGGATCCGGAGATTACGGGTCTCGTGTGGGACCCGACGGGCAGATGGGTCTATGTGGGCACGGAGGGGAGCGTCGCAGAGTGGGAGGCGGGGGGAGGGAGGGGGTGGTGTGACGCTGTTGAGTTTGCGTAGGGGCTTTGGTGGGGTGTCTTTGGATGAGAGGTCGAGCAGGTTGGTGGATTGGGTTGGGTTTTGGGTTGGGATCTTGGGTACGGTTAAGGACCTTGGGCAAGGCTGCGCAGGGATGTACAACACCAACACTGGCATGCAAGTATTACTTAACACCAATCACGAACATCGAACATCGAACGAATCGCAAAGACAAAGGCATAAGGCCGAGAATATCAGTATCTATGTATGAACAGTATCTAGCATCACACACTAAATGAATGGGATTGGTTGTATTGTATCTCTTGCTTGCGTTGCTGCGAGGAAGGGCAAGGGACGGAGGAATGGTGTGTAGGGTAGGTTGAGCGGGCGGTTGGGCAGGACTACCGACACCTGACAGGAACGAATTAATTGCAGAGATAGTACAGTCGAACCCGCAATAGTGAATAGCGTTGGGAGGGAGGGTGTATGATGCAGTATGGCGGGTCATGCACGATGGGAGGTGGGGGGGAACAGGGGTGAATTAGCGGAGATCTTGCTATGCAAAGTACTCTGAAACAGTGCGCTGTTGTAATGATAGACTCTGCTGGTGACGGAGTGTCCTGATTGCAGATGGTAGGGATGAGAGGAGCGTTCGAAGGTCTGGTTCAGCTCTTGCACGAAGTGCTCGCTCGAGCTCTGTGCAAGCGGCAAGCATCTTCTGGTCTGACCAGATCGGGAGCTCAATGATCTCTTCGTCCTCTTCTGGCTGTGATACACCTTGTGCCGCTTGTATCTCATCCTGCGCTTGTTGAAGAAGCTCTTCATCTGTCCACATCTCCGGTACCTCTAGCTCTTCCTGTACAGTAACCAGCTCCTCAACAGACATCATAGCAGCCGGTGCTATGATTCCTCGTTCTTGAAGTGCTTTGAGAGAGGACTGAAGTTCCTGGATCGCATCTTGCATACCTTCTTCTTGCTCAATCAGTGTCGGAGGTGTCTCTACAATGAGTGGCTCGTCGAGACCAGTTGGCATGACTGTTCCAGCTGCTGTTCCAAGGGAAAGGATACCGGAATGCCGCCAACAGTTCTGAATTGTCTTTTCGCTCACTTCCCACCATGCTTGCTCCGCAAGATTCAGTGCTTCGAGCTGGTTGATCTCATACATATGCTGCATGTCAGCTCCTCCTGACTCTCGCTCAATAGCACGGTGGATTGTTTTGCTGCGATAATGAGCCTTGAAGCATCGGATAATGCCTTGATCAAGAGGCTGGATATGCGACGTCATGTTGGGTGGTAGGATCTCAACCCGCACATTGGTGAACTTTGATGCATCGATCTTGTGTGCAGAGAAGCCATCGACCAGTAGGAGTGCATGGCGACCAAGCTCCTTCTGATAATGATCGAACTCGCTAAGGTACTGTTCGAATATGTCGCTCTTCATCCATGATTTCCGGTTCCAGAAGTAGTTATGACCGAGATCTTGCCCTTCCTGACCATGAAAACATCGAGGGTGTTGATAACGACCAATGATCAGAGGCCACAGCCGGTCAGGCCATCGGCATTCACTGTGAATGCATAAGAGAGTCACCATTTGTTGCCTTTCAGACCGGAAAGCTGCTTGGTTGCAAGTGTGCGATCTGGTGGCATGCGACCAAACAGTCCAGTCTCATCCATGTTCCAGATATCACGAAGCACATACTGGTCTGTTATCTGTCGGAGGTGGATTTGTGCAGCCTCAACAGTATCAGAGGGGATCGAGCACCTTCTGCTTGCCGGACCCATTCTGCAAGAGCATGCTCGACCTCTGGGAACTCGACTTGGCGCTGTCGTTTATCATTCAACCGAGCTGGGTCTTTTGCCCTCTCTCGGAGGATCACTTCATCTCGAATGAGGCGGGACACAGTTCCTTGAGAGAATGGAACACTGCGAGCAGTGTAATATTTGGCGACATCAAGCTGTGAGAAAATCGGATTCGCTTTGATGTAGTCAAGAATCTCGAGGCGTTGTGCAAGGGTGAGATTCTCCTTCCATGGCTTCTTCCCTTTCCCAGCAGAAGCTGGTGCGCTTCGAGCCTTGCGCTTTGTTGTCATAGACCGCAAAAGGCAAATGTGAAGAATTTTCACACACTTGACCCTGTCAAAAACCCTCGGAATCTACAAAGGCAATTCAATATTCACTTTAACGGGTCATTCATTATCTCCCTCATTTCCCCTTCCCCAGAGCGGAAATTGGGCACACTATGCACTATCTCGAGTTATGCATTATAGGCGGATTCATTATTGCGGGTTCGACTGTACATGCAGTCTTACAAGGATCTACTGACGGGCACACGTTCTACGTTCTCTCCGTAAAGACGGTTCCAAGACCGGGCGTACGAGTACAATACGAACCGACATGCTCCGAATCAGGCCAGCTTCGCGAGCTGGATAGTATTCGCGCGAAAATCCAGCGACATGTCTACCAACCGTACCCTCAGCGTGATCCCATCATATACAAGGCATAAAATACACACAGACGTTCCTCAGGAACACGTCTCCCATAACCCACGACGCCGGACCATATTCCAGCGCCTGAATTCCGCTCAAACAGAGCCCCTCTTCGCCCGTTTCCTCCCACGGCAAGTCCTCGCTCTGCAGCGAGAACCCCTGTCCGCCAAAGTTGAACACTACAGATGCGTTCGGATTACACGGTACGACGAAGTTGCCCTGGGCGGAAGAGGAGCCCGGGATCTGGGAGTGGAGGGCGGAGATGTCCGCATAGGGACCGTAGAGGAGCGTCGTGCCCGTGTCGAATATCACATCTTGGGCGCTAAGCTTCACAGCATGGCCATTGACGGACAATGCCCGGATGGAAGCTGCCCAGAAGTCGGAGCCCTCGGAGGGGAGAGTCACTAGCGTGCTGCGGATATAGGCGCTGGGATCAAGGGCCCCGAAGGTTAGCTCTCCACCAGAGGGGGGGGAGAGTTTGAGGGATATGATCGGGGCTGGGATGAGGCCGGCGGTGTGCAGTGCTTCTACGGGGTTGGGGGCGCCTATGGACGAGAGACCCTACACGAGGTTAGCAGGTTCCAGCAACAGCAGCAGGCGCTCACACTTGGGGACAAGCCTAATAGCCCCCCTCCGCTGGATTCCGATGCGAGCCCAAAGTCGGCCGTCGCGTACTCCACCACCCCGAATTTGAGGTTAGACAGCGTCAGCCCCGCCAGGGTGACATCGTCTGATACCACCCAGCCCTGGACGGCGCCGTCCCCGTAAGTCTCTACGAAGTCCTTGGTCGTGTTCACCAGTGTGCGGGAGCTGCGGCCAACGCCTCCCAGGCTGGTGGAACAGGCTTGCCCAGTTTTGTAGGCTGAGGAGCCCTGAAGGACTATGATCTTGCAGTAGGTGGAGAGAACCCAGAAGTCCGGACTGCCGGTATCAATGTCCACTTCAAACTGCTGGGGCGGTGTACCGATGGAGATAGATGCAACGTAAGAGGCGTCGTTGGCCCTGAGAGTCGTCAGTCCAGGACATAAAGTGAGGGGGAAAGACATACGTGATATCAAGCCCCTCCGAATGCGCGTTCGAGTCCCCCTTGGACGAGATAGGAACGATCTTCCCAGTAGTGGAATTATAGGAATACCCATCCCAGTACCCAACCCTATTCCCGATCTCACCGAGCGCCTCCGCCTGCTGGGTATCGTGCGGAACAGCACCCGTCTTCGCATATCGCCGGGAATCGTAGTTCATCTTTTGCCTCAGAGCCTGTACCTAATTAGCCTCAATATGCACAAGATATCGGGGAAGTACCATTTCGGAAGGAATGCTGATGTCCCTGTGGGAAACCTGCTGCAGTGGGAGGGCAATGGACGAGTGCGACAACGGGGTAGCCGTCGTCACTAGAGGCAAGGCAAAGACAAGCGAGAGAAGGTTCAAGGCCGCAGTCATCTTGTTCCAGCCTTCGCAGCTTAAATATTCCTGTGATTGCCGAGATTGCTGAACAACTAGAGTGCACTTTCCGAGCTCAGGTCAAGCCCCAGAGAGCGGTTATCAGAAACTCGAGAAGCGAACACAGAGCTCCGTAATAGCAACTAACAGCGCATCCTCCAGTGTGGAAGTCCAACCCTCTCAAAGTTCTGTGTGATCTGACATCGTATAATGACAAGACCTATAAATAGACTGTTGATGTTGCCCTGTTGGGAGGCGCGGTGAGGTATCGCTACAGTTGGTTGTCCCGATCCTCGGAAGTACCCAGGTGATCGAACAAACGTTCCGATCCAGAGCTTGTGTAGACGTGATTTTGATAGACATAGAGTATTATATGATCTGCTCGCAATATGGGTAAAGATACAAAAGTGGTAGGAGGAAGAAGATAAGCGTATGCCGGCGCTCACGGTGGGGAGAGAATCCGAGACGTGTCGGCAAGTCATGTGATTAAGACGCACGTGGGCGTCAAGTGACTGAGAATTTGGCGCTGGAAGGACGTACACTACAGAAGTTCTGATATTTGGTTCTAGTCTATCCTCATAATGCTCATTATTAGAAAATGTTGGATAGGGGTTTAGTGCGTTTCATCCGCGAGCTCAAGGGCATGGAGGCAGGTGTGTACCCTCATTCATAGATCAATGACCTTAACAACCAACAGTCCTTATACGGGCAGTGTACGTTGCAGGTTCTGCAAACCCGAACACACGAGGAAACACTGCATCGTGGTCAAGAACACACTAGAAGGTCAGAGTCATGACGAATCTCATATCCCATCAGCTGCGCTTGGTAATAGCCTGCGCCCCCATATCAACTCGAGCTCAACATCGTCTTCCCTCCCCAATGAAATCTCGTGTTCTCTTCTTTCCCGCCAACTGGACCCACGTGGTTTCCACAAGTCCCTTTGCTGAGCTATGAGTCGCACGACACACGACACCATCGAGGCTGATCCTTTGTTACAACAGACCGGGCAGGTTTCGGCTTGTGGGTGCGGCCGCGTTCACTCAGCATACTAAGCTGACTTTGGGTGACCTCGGGCAGTAACTCAGGAGGAGACTGGTCTATCGGCTGATCGGCTGGAAGATGCCCTGCCTCGTCGCCACTCGTACCCGCCCAGAAAAGAGTCCCAACACGTTGGGAGGACGAGCGATGGTAACATGACAGGAGTGCCATTGCGGTCGGTTAGCTTGAGGGTGTCTCGGAAGGGCAAGACGACTTTGGAAGTCGTGAGGGAGCACACCGCTATGTTGCTCACGCCGGAGAATCCACCACCTCCGGCTCATCCCAAGCCGACTTGGAGAGCAAGTCTTAGGGCTGTCATAACTTTCAGTTGTACGTGTTTCCACACCATGGATGGCTTCCCTTCCGGACGCCTAAATAGGGGTCAATCTGTTACTCTTTGCCTCCCGGTCAGCTGGGCTTTCCATTTTATGACAAACGCCCACGCTTTCGTTGCCTTCATATGTGAGTTGATGCTCCTATGAATCGAATACTGAGTTTTTATTGACCGTGCATGCAGTCGCGTTCTTTTCTATTATACCCCTTGCAATGCTTTGGGAACTTGCAACAGAGGAGCTCGCCTTACGGGTCGGGTACGTCTTACCGTCACTGGATATGTCACAGCTCTGAACGAGCCCTCAGACGCGTTTTAGGAGGCTTGATAACCGTCACTCTTGGCAATGCTGTCGAGCTTATTTTTGCCATCATCGCACTTGAACAATGCAAACTCTCGATTGTGCAATCTTCCATGGTAGGCTCCATTCTTGGCAACATCCTCCTAGTCCTCGGCATGCGTTGTGAGCAGTGTCAGTTTATTACGCGATATGCCTCCTGATATCTATTTAGTTCTCTTGGGTGGAATCCATTACTCCGAACAAGAATTCTTGGTTGTCCCGGCCCAGATGAATTCATACTTGCTTGTCCTCAGTGTCATCGCAGTGTTACTACCTGCTGCGTTCAACATGGTGATTACTAGTGACACTAAGGTGGACAGCAATATAAACGATCCCGTCATCCCCCAAAAGGAAGGGCAGGACATTCTTCAGATGAGTCACGGTGTGAGTACAAAGGCTGCTTTCCCGGTATTGCTTATGATTCTGTTTGTTGGTAGCCGTCATTCTCTTGATAATTTATGCAGGAAACCTGGTTTTTCAACTCTGGTCGCACGCCAACCTACTGAACGAAGCTACCGCCAAGCCCACCGAATATCCCAAAAACATTAATCTGAAATACCAATACCAGAAGATGATGGGAAAGAGGCCGCAGAAGACTGGACAGCGCTTCAGCATGGAGTCAAGAAGTGTTGAGCGAGATCCAGAGACGACAACTCTCTCAGAGGAGAGGAATGAGCGACACTCGGGCGCGCGCCAGCCTAACCAGGAGGAACCTGCCAAGACACCTGGCGAAGTGGAGAGGGGTGAGATTCTATCCGAAGAAGAGGTAGAACAACCCGAGTATCCTAAGATGAACTTCCCCAGCTGTATAATGCTTCTAATCGTTGTTACTGGAGTATGTGAGCCTGCGACCCCCTCAGACCTCGCTCATCCTTGTGCAGCTCATTGGTGTCACGGCTGAGTTCCTGGTGGATTACATCGACAACCTAACAGCCAGCGGCAATGTTACCCAGGAATGGATTGGCCTGATCATCATCCCGATCCTTTCCAGTTCAGGAGAGCTCTTAACATCAGTGACAAACGGGCGGAAGAAGGACATCGATTTCACCCTAGGAGTCGTAGTGGGGACTGGCGTACAAATGGCTCTCTTTGTCATCCCCTTCATGGTCGTGCTCGGGTGGATTAGGGGAAAGCCACTGACGATGCTGTTCGATCCGCTCGAAAGCGTGGTATGTATTATATTCCAGACACATGTGACATGGCTCACACATAATATAGGTGCTGTTCCTCGCTGTGTTTCCCGTGCACTATGTCGTCACCAATGGTCGGAGTAATTGGCTGGAGGGCATGATACTCATCCGTCAGTATCGACTGTGTCTGTCCCTGCGGAGCTGGCTGGCCCTTGATACTTGGTACTAGACATCTATGCCATTATCGGTGTCGTCTTCTGGTTCTACGTGAGCAGAGCTCTCTCCCCACTGGGTATGTCTACTAACATGCAGCATCCAGCCTGGCGCGGACACTTTCCCGGCTCTGGGCTTGACATGCTCGTAAATGCCGTAGACAATTTTTCAGCTGTCTTCTTGATGTGGGATCCAGCGAAGTGGTCAGTTCCCCTGTCTTCAGATCACTACCTTCCCGAGGCGAATTACGTTTCCGTTTCCACTTGATGGTCCTTACGACAATAAATACCAAACAATAAATACCCCATACCAGATCCCCCTATCGTCCATCAGTCCACCCAGTCGAACCTCTCCGGCCAACCCCCAGCAGGGACATACCCCATCCTATCGCTTCTAACCTGCACACTCCAGTGCACCTTTGCTCCCTCCGGAATCCTTCTCGCCCGACCCCAATGGATCCCCCACCCATAGACGGCCTTCGCGTCCGTGCTCCGGCGCGTCGCCAGTAGAGCGGGGAGCGCTTCCAGGACCCACCAAATACTGCCCCAGGGGAGGGTGTTGTGCAGTGTCGAGCAGGCGCTGTAAGGGTCTTGAGTGCACATAGGGGAAGGGAGGAGAGAAGCGAGCGACTCGGGGTCGAGCAGCACTCCGGAGGCCTGCGCTTCTCGCGCCATCCACCGCAGGGGGAGGACGGACATCGTACACGGTCCCCTTCCCTGCGGGGGGTCAGCGAACGGCGAGCTCTCTGGTCCATTCTCTGCTGGGGCAGGGGCAGGGGACTGCGCAGCTGGGCTGGGGGAGGCGTCGTCCCCCCAGCCACCGCCGACATCAGAGTGCGTGCCGGCGAACCAGACTTCGAGGATGTCTGTTTCAACTGTGCTGTGCCTGCCTTGGACCGAGACGTGCCCGTCGTGCTCGTTGACCTGTTCTTCTTCGGCTATACTGCCGGACCAGAGGTTGTCCTGGAATCGCACTCTGCGCTCGTCGATGCTCTGTTCTCGTCAGCGGAAGAACGCGAGTAGAGAGAGGAGGGCGTACGACAGCATGCCTGAACTTCTTGATATGGGTGTTTCCGGACGTGAAGGGTAGTGTTTGCGGGACGAGAAGCCCGACACTCGAGACAGTGTCCCATACTCCGATGAACTCTACGTGCACGGAGCGGGAGAATGTGGTCTTGAATCCGTGGGCGATATGGTCGTTCGCGGGCGTACGGGGCTTGGAGAATATGCGGTAGGCGAAGGGGACGTTACTAGATGAGAGGCATGCGTTAGCGCCCATAGAAGAGGGAGGAAGACGCACTGGAAGTTCCCTGCACCGAGGAGTCCGACACGCTGGAGCATCCCAGCTAGCGCACGGCAGATATAGGACCCCCTTGAAAACCCGAACATGTAGATCTTATCCCCGTCTTGGTAGGCGTTCATAAGCCACTTATACGCGTCTGTGACCTGTACTTCCAGATGTCTGCTCAGCGTCAGCCAGTGTCAGCTGTTTCCCAAACACCACGATATGTGATAGACGCACGTCCCAATAGCGAAATCGACCCTCTTCTGGATGGCCACGCCCAGACTGTTGACGCCGTTCGCTTCTCCGGCGCCTATCCCCGGCTGGTAGTAGCATACCTGCGCCCCGGTCTGTTCTACCAGGATGCGGAAGAACTTGACCACGTTGGTGTTGCTGTCCGAGGGACCGTAGTGGTTCCCTGATCCGTCGATGCAGAGTACGAGGTTGCGAGCGGGTGGGTCTGGGTTGGCGGGTTGATCGAAAGGGACGGGGATGACGATGGGCTCAGCAGGGGCAGAGATGGGGATTATGTAGGGTGTTGGGGCCTCTACGGTGGGCGGCGTCTCGTATTGCCCTTGAGGCTCGGCAGGAAGGGGCACAAGGATCGGCTCTGAGCCGTTCGTGCTAGCCATTGATTATCCTTCCAGTTTAATTTGTTGGTGGTATGTTGTGTATGTTCCCTTTTTGCCTAGTCCCAGGTATGTCCTTAGTCCAGTCAAGATGTCCAATTGATCTTGGTATCCAAAAGAGAGATAGAAATGGAGAGATAAGAGAGAGAAGGAGAGAGAGATAAACGCCAGAACGCTGGCCGGACGCTGGCCAGACTAGCGCCCTCATCTTTCCAGTAGACGCCCAAGAGAATGATATCAGTACATGTACACAGGGTCTCCGTTTGTACTATTTGGAGAACATTACGTACGGCACCAGCTGATATCACAGAGTATAATAATAACAGTAGTAATTCGTGGCAATAGTTTACAACAATGATATTGATAGACTGGTAATTGGATGACATATTACACTTCTTCACTTTGTCATCTACCATTTCTAATTATAACTCGAGGCAAGCACGTGCCCTCAATCAGTCGCGACGTAACCTAACAACGACAGGGACATGGTATCATCATTCTGTAGCATGGTTACACTTCTTGGCTGGCGACTTGACTAATTTCTTTATATCTCTCGGGCTGCGCATCGTGCGCGTCGTCTTCCTGCTTAGCTGAGCTCCTCGGCATCTACAATATTGAGTGGTGCCCGAGAAGTCTCCGTTACCATGAGCCTTTAATCGTGCTTTTCTTAGTCTGGGCAACGCGGCGGAATGCTATTTTGAACCTGCGGAAAGCGGAATACCACGGGGAATGGAGGGGATATAAAGGCTCCAAAGAGGGATGCTTAACCCGCACACTCTTTCCCTCCCTCTCTCCTCCTCTCCCTCTGAAAGGCAGCGCCTTTCTCCACTCTTTCTTCCATTTTACTTTCTTTGGGATCTTCCTGGGCTGCTTGAAGCGAAGCACTGTATACTATCATAGCGCTGAGCGCGTACCCTCACTACCGCAAACGGGAGAATCCACCATCATTCTATCAACTGAAAACAAAGCAAGATGCAGCTCCTGCCCTCCCTGGCGAGCCTCCTCGCCCTCCTCCTGCTTACCTCCGCACACCCAGTGAAGAAAGCCGCGCCTATTACGCTGCCTCTTCGGCGTCTTCACAGCACCTCCGCAGAGCGGGGTTTACATCCTCAGATCGTACGTCCCGTCTTCTCTTCCCTCGTGCTCCCATCTCACGCTTGTAAAGGACCTGCAACAGCAGATGAACCGTGCCTTCATGCGGCACGCGAAGATGACTGGTCGGGCACCTCCCACTCCCGAAGAGCTCGCAGAGCCAATTGCGAAGCGCGCCGTGCACCTGGGATACATGCGTCCGGGCAAGCCGTCGTTCAATCCCACCACGCGGAAGGTGCACGAGATAGAGGATGCTAGGGAGAATAACGACGAGAACTTCCTGGGCGCTGTGGGCGCTGCGGCGGACGTGATTGGTGAGGCTGTCAAGGCTGCTCAGACGTCGAAGAGTAAGAATAATAAGGGCAAAGGTGGGAAGGGCGGGAACGCTGGCGGAGCCGCGGCTGGTGCAGGGGCTGGTGCCGGGGCGTCTGGCGCTGCTGCGCAAGGACTGGGGATTCCCGCGGTTGACGTACAGGCCGGGATTAACGGGGGGCTCACTATTGCCAACACCCCTACTGACGCTAACACCGTTGGACTTGACATCGAGTGCGTATCTTCCGTCTGCCTGGGACTATATATCCTGATGTACGAGCAGTGGGAACGATACCGGTTATGTCGCAACGGTGCAGGTCGGCACTCCCCCGTCCGACTTCCTCATCCTGATGGACTCTGGCTCCTCTGACTTCTGGGTTGGTGCAGCCGACTGCCAGACCCTCGCATCCGAGGGCGGCGGGGCGTGCGCACCGAACCACAAGACGCTCTCTGCAGCCACATCCTCCACATTCAAGGATACCAAGGCGCCGTTCAGCATTACATACGGGAGCGGCAGTGTAGCCGGAACGATCGTAACGGACAACGTTGTGCTCGCTGGGCTCTCCCTTCCCGCGCACACCTTTGGTGTCGCTCACGCCGAGAGCGTGGACTTCTCTGCCTCCTCGATCGATTTCGACGGTCTGATGGGTCTTGCTCAAAGCGGCTTGTCAGAACAGGGCGTGCCTACCCCAGTCGAGTCCCTCGCCGCGGCAGGCCAGATCCCGGCAGCCATCACCTCGTTCAAGCTCTCCCGCCTTGCGGACGGGCTCAACGACGGAGAAGTGACTTTCGGCGCTGTCGACCCGGCCAAGTTCCAGGCAAACACGCTCGTCACCCTGCCCAACGTGAACAAGCAAGGCTTCTGGGAGGCCGCGATGGACGCCGTCTCTGTTAATGGCGTGTCGGCCGCTTTGGCAGGCCGTACCGCCATCCTCGACACGGGAACTACGCTCATCGTCGCTCCCCCTAACGATGCCGCTGCTGTGCACGCGCTCATCCCTGGCTCAGCCTCCGATAGCCAGGGAGGGTTCACCATCCCATGCACTACGAACGCCAGTGTTGCGCTCACCTTCGGCGGTACGGCATTCAACATCGACACCCGTGACATACTGTTCGCCCCCGTAGACCCGAATAACGTCCAGGGCGACTGCGTGAGCGGGATCAGCTCTGGCGAGATTGGTGGCGCGAAGGAATGGCTCGTCGGAGATGTGTTTTTGAAGAATGCGTACTTTACTGTGGATGAGGGGAAGAATACGGTCGGCTTGGCTAAGCCTGCTTAGGATGGGAGGTGATTATGGCTTGATCGCCATGGACTATTTAGGGTATTTGGGTACTGCCTGTGGCAGGACGACGTCTGATAATTGATGAGCGTTATCCAAGATATTCTCTTCCTACTCATCACGTGCTCTTCCTACGATCTACTTCAGTCTCTCCAACACCCCTTCCTCACTCCCCGCCAGCCCCTTACCAACCAGCCAATCCCCCACCAAGCGCATGTGCACCCCGCGCTGCTCCACATGAGGCATATGACTCCCCTGCAGGAACTTGAATGCCACTGCACCGGGTATGAGCTCTGCAAATGGCTTGGTGCAGATCTCTTGGCCGACGTCGTACTTCCCCCAGTAGACAAGGGTTGGGGTGCTGATGAGCGGCAGGCGGGGGATGAGGGTGTAGGTGCTGAGCGTTCCGGTTATGTCGACGTTTGAGGGACCGATCCTGGGAGACGTTAGCGGAATGGACGAGAGGGTCACAGCATGGGGAAGGTGGCAGGAAAGCGAAACAAAAGAGGGGGGAGACTCACATCACCTCCCCCGCGTCGGGATTCTCGTCCAGAATCTCAAACGTCCTCCTCACATACTCCGGCATAGGCACGACTCTGCACTCATGCCTAGCGTTAAACTCCTCCGTCCAATGCTTAGACTCCTCGCTCCCCGTTGTCCCCTCCAACTCATGTTTCCTCATAATCGCACCACCGTTGTCCGGTAACTTGTCACGCCATAGCTGGGAGGCGACGCCCCAGTCCGTTGTGGTAGCGAGGGAGCAGGCGACGACCATGTGCTTCAGCCCTGCAGGGTGGGAGAGTGCGTGCTCAGCGACCAGCATACCACCGAAGGAATTCCCCAGCACGTCCCACTCTTTCACACCTAGGTGGTCCAGCAGCGCCTGGAGCTCCTCGACGTACAGGTCAAGCGTCCAGAACCCCACCCCGACATCCTTGTTCCTCAAGATCGTGGAGTTCCCACATCCGATAGAGTCGTACGTTATCACCGGGATGTTGTGTGTCTTAGACAGGTCGGACAGGGGCAAAAGATAGTTGTGCCCCGCGCCGGGTCCTCCGGGGACTACGAGCAGCGGGCGGGGTTGGGAGGGAGGAAGCGGGTAGGCCGACGGAGGGGGCAGGGTGCCCCAGATCGCATACCAGGTTTTGTACCCCCTGTAAGGGAGGTAGCCCGTCGAGGTAGGAGGGAGTATGAAGGATGGGTCGCTCATGTCGGCCATCGTCCGCTTTGTAGGAGTAAACACTGCAACAGGAGGCCTAGGAAGAGAGATAACATACGATGTTGTAACGAGAGAATACTTATGGAGTCGCTGGCGAGCCCCTGACCGGAATGGGAGGGTTATCAGCGGGTAAGGACCGGAGACTTGTAGTGTAGACATTCATTGTCATAGCCAGAGCCTACTATTCACCCAGAAGTTGTTCATTGTTGAGCAAGATACGCGAATCGAAGATATTATCATCAGATTTCATTGTCGTGAGAAGAAGAAGAAGTAAATGAAGAAGAAGAAGTAAATGACGAAGAAGGAATGATGTGCTTACCTAATTACATTACGGCATCGTCCCTCCTTTCTGTCACCAGGGATCTCTTCCCTCGTCTTCCCACCAAAAATGTCAGTCCTTACCCGTCTCTCTCCTGCTCTCAGGCGCTCCCTTCCTCGTACGTCTCCTCTTTCATTATGAATGTATTATTTATGAATTTACAGACACGTATGCATCCACTGCGGCCTACATCACACGCCGGCATGGGCATAAGGAGAGATGCACACGGGGAACACTAGACTTGGCGTTTGAGACTATGATGCCGCCTAATGCCCAGCCAGGGGGACCGGTCGTCGTACTACATGGTTTATTGTACGTCTCTCTTTCCTCCCCAATTGAACTCGCTGACAATATATTCTGCTTGTATTTGCCGCTGTCGTCGAATCGATCCTTTCGATTTTGTTCCTCCGGATTGCTCTGTGCAGCGGCTCCAAACAGAACTGGCGATCATTAATGAAGCTACTCGGCCATTCGCTCAAACGGCGCGTCTATACCGTCGACCTGCGAAACCACGGTGTCTCTCCCCAAAGCCCTCGCATGGACTACGAGATCATGGCTGCTGATGTGGTGCAGTTCTTCATCGAACATAGGCTGAAGAACGACATTACCCTTATTGGACATTCGATGTGCGTCCTTCTTCCCTTCCTCGCAAGTTTTTGATTTCGACTGCTCTTGGACCGCGGTTGCTGACATTCGATGCAGGGGTGGAAAAGTCGCCATGGCCACTGCGCTCTCCCCTCTCCTCGAGAAGAACCTTCCCAAGGCTCTCTCAACCCTCATCATAGTCGACATCGCCCCCGGCATCGGCAAGATCTCCGACGAGTTCGCCAGCTACGTAGATGCGATGCAAGACGTGCAAGACGCCGATGTGAAGACCAAGCGCGAGGCAGACGTCGTACTCGAGAAGTGGGAAAAGGTACCATTGCCCTCGTATGCCTTACCAGTGCCCAGCTGACGATTGATGGGTGTAGGACATCTCAATCCGCCAATTCCTCCTCACCAACCTCGTAGCGGACAAACACGGGTCCCACTTCCGCATCCCCCTCTCTCACCTGCGCGCCAACCTCGACCAAATTGGCAAGTTCCCTTACCCGCCCGACGGCACCCATACCTGGGAGGGGAGGACGCTGTTCGTCAAAGGCGAAAGGAGCAAGTACATCAACCGACGGAATCTGGGGCTGTGTTTCGACTATTTCCCGAATGCGAGGTTGGAGACTATGGACACTGGACACTGGGTGCATGCGGAGAGGTGCGTGTTTTTGCTTCTCTGTTGTTGGTATGGGCTGATAGGGGATGGGACAGACCGCAGGAATTTGTAGATCTGGTGACGAGGTTCGTTCATGGAGAAGACCCAAGCTGGATGAGCGAACAAGAGGCAGAGGAGGCACTTGCTACGGAGGGCCGAAAAGACGTGTCAGCGGTGGACACAACCACAGAACCACCACAACAGCCTGCGGCCCAGTCGGAAGCTGCTGTCAACGAGGCGCCGGAGTCTGCTGAGGGCCCGGAGCAGCGGGCGACGGGCGCTTAGATACTTAGACATCTAGAGTGCAGCCAATCTAGTCCAATTTAAATAATTGACGTGGGGTATACGATAGGTGTGGAACGAAACCGCCGAAAGCAAGAGTCCGAAAGGAGTGGTATGTCAAAACGAATGTGAGTATCTGCTTACAAAAGCCTACAGGAGCGCTACCACACCTCCGACAACAACAAGTGCGCTCACAAGGCCGCCTATTGTGGCCCTTCCAGCGCCAGACTTGGCCGCTAAAGTCGAAGGGAGACTGCCTGCAGCCCCTGAACTTCCCCCTCCAGCCGCGCTGCCCAAGTTGATCCCACCGGTATTGTCGTTCACGCTGCCACTCGCTTCAGGTACGGCGGCAGTGGTTGTGCCTACAGGCCCTGCCGCTCCTCCCCCTCCTGCGCCAGCGCCAGCACCTACAGCTCCACCCCCGCCCAGCTCAGCCGTGCACTGCTGCTGCACCTGTGCTTGCGTAGCTCCTAATGTCCCCAGAACACAGCTCAAGCATCCCGAGCTAAGCTGGTTCAGCCCCGTGCAAATACAGTTCGCGTCCGTAGGGTTGCAGCTGAGGATGGTGGTGAGGTCGTTCGAGTCTGACGCGGAGGAACAAGAACTGCCGCAGATGGTGTTAGAGCTTGACCCTGGGTCAGGGCTTTGTGCTGGTGAGGAGGTGGCTACGCCTGTCGGTTGGGAGTCGCCGAGCGAACCGGGGTCGGCGCATGTCGCGCCCCAGTCGGCCGCGGTGAGCCCGTCTACTTGAAGAAGACAAGCCTGGCAGTCGGAGCTGAGCGTGTTCATGCCACTGCAGACGCAGTCGACGGTTGTGCATTCCTAGTCGCAACGTAGTTAGAAGAGTAGCGATCAGGAGGATAGATAGAGAGACGTACAGATAGAGTGTTCAGCTGCGCTGTCTGCCCACTACACGGAGTCACGCATTGCGTGGCGCTGAGCTGCCGTCTGAAGACTGGGCGCTCGTCCGCTCGACCGGCAAGGATGGACTTGGAGACTGAATGGATGCCTCTCGCAGGCAGCTTGTGCGCCCAAGTGCCTGTAAGGCCAATCGCTAGTGCAACAAGAGATGTGAATTTCATGACCGGATGGAATCCACGATGAACGAATGAGCGGTAACTGGTGAGTCGATAATTCCCTCGCTGATCCCTCACTCAACCTTTATTGCCTTGGACTAAAAGAAGCATTATTTTGGTGCGGGTTGCCTTGTACCATGGAAATCGGCATGTTTTCGAAAGAAAATGAATGTATCGAACCGTCGTCGCCAAGGCACTACTCAGGGTTGCAATGCAATCGCTCTGCCCATGCGGTCATTGGTCATTTTTCTCATAGCAAGAAAAAGTCAGCCCACCTCTCGCTGACCTGATTACATATGCAAACTGAGTGGATTATGAGGACATCACAAGTGGTGGTTTCTAATTACAATATTTTCGAATGACTCATTCCTGAGACCTTCATACCCAAATTCGGATTTTTCTTTGATCTTGAAAGAAAGAAAAACTAAGCTCATTGACAGTACTGCAGTATAAGTAAACCGGGCATCTTTGGACAAAAGCAGCTGCAGAACTTCCGATCCCATCGGACTGTCCTTAAACACCTCACGTGACCATGTGCCATGCACAGTTACCTGCTCATCCGTACTGGTTCGTCCAAAGGGCGACACAGTATGCGCACACTGAATAATCCACATATATGTTGTTCACACTGTCCGTGTTCTGAAAATTCACATTCAATTCAACGAGTGGAAGAATGGATCTACGAAGCTTCCGAAGCCAATCAGAGGGGAAAAAAAGGCAGGTATACGAAGAAGAATTCATAATCAAAAGAGCGTCATCAGACCACCCACAAAGACAAAGGTGCAAGCAACAAATGCGCCCTTGATACCGAAAGCTACCTTCGCTGTGCCCGAGTGGGTTGCACTAGTAGACGGGCTGCTGGCGCCTCCAGTGTTGGACGCCTTGTTGCTCGAAGTGTTGGCAGCGTTCCCAGCGGTGCTTGTGCCGCTCGGGCCACCCGCGATCGTGCCCGAGGAGCAGATTTGCTCCATCTGACTCTGGGTAAGGTTCGCGTAGGTGAGGACGCACGACAGGCAGGTCGAACTGAGACCGGAGGCAGCGGAACAGAGGCAGGCGGTGTCTTCCGTAGAGCAGGAAAGGAGTGCAGTTACTCCAGACGCGTCACCAGCGCTTGAGCACTGGCTAGTGCACACCGAGCTCGATCCAGTGCTTGTAGATCCAGCAGCCGTGCTGAGCACACTGGGTGGGAGAGAGCTGAGTTGCGCACAAGTCTGCGCCCAGTCTGCAGGAGTGATTTGATCTTCGTTCAAAATGCAAGTTTCGCATCCGGAGGAGAGAAGGGCCATTTGTTGGCAAATGCATTCCCCAGATCCGATCGGATCTGCGCTGCCAGAGGACGCGCATGCCTACAGGGGGAAAAATCAGTTCTGGACGTGCCGAGAAACACGGATGGACATACAGCCATTGCATTTAAAGTGTTGGTGTCTCCGGAGCAGGCACCGGTGCATTGTTCGGTCTGCCGTTTGGAAATGAGAGAATCGCGGACTTTGTTGCGGGGATCAACATGTCCAGATAGGCCACGAACTGCCACTTCCTGGGGACGTGCCTGAGCACCCACCGCGGCAAGGGCAAGAAGGAGGATAGACGATGACAAAAAGTGCATAGTTGGTTTGGTATCGGTAGGTGACAGGGCGGGTCGAGGGTGGGTCTGGATGCTGAACCCAGATTTCTTCGAATGTGCTACCTTTTATCCTCCCCATTCCAGAGAAAGCAGCGTTAAGCTCCGTTGCCACTAATCGGCTGTGTCAATCTCAGAATGGATAAGTAAAATAGCACACCCTGTCCACTTGGTAGTTACCAGACTATGCCAAACCGAGCCCGATTTCTCCATGACAGCCCATCAACATGCACCCATATTTTCAAAGGCTATGTCCCGAAACGGGCGCTGAGCCCCCAAATTCCATGTGGACTATCTAGTCCACCTGGGAAAGGGGGAAGGCATCAAGCGGTGACGGACCTGCCTCAGGGTCGCGAGAGGCATTGGTTCACAGAAATTGGCATTTCCGTCCATCGCGCATCGCTCGGATTTGCACGGCGCTAGTGGTCCATGGAATCTTTGTTGGGGAAAGAAGTGCACAAGTTATGAACACATGAACGCCCTTTCCGGATCCGCAATTCCAGGAGCATTGCAATGTCTGGGTTATCGTGAGCAGAAGCAATATCCGATACCATACTTCTGAACTCCGACACCAGGACAGACCTTGTCCTCAGTGTCATGGGCGCCTTTTGACAGTAAAACTACGTGAATCAGTGGTGTATCGGGAGTTAATTCCACAAAGATGGTCACAGGGACACAGAATGCCAAGCCAAGCCGTCAGGGACCTCCAACCTTCCCGCCTTCTTTAATTTGCTTCCGAGCGCCTTTTCTCCTTCTAACATCTGCACCATCTCACCGGTACCGTCTGAGTGTATTATTGCATTTTCACTCCGCGGTTTTGTCATCCTGAAGATTCCTCGAACCCGCCTCTGTTTGGCAGTGTCAGACTCGTACTTGCCCCAGTTATGACAAGATACATCAGATTCATTGGGTCTCAAAATGATAACGTCCACGTCGACACGTGAAGCTGTGCAAAAGTTGAGGAGAATCCGGCGCAGGAGAGGGACGTAACCGGGTACTCTCGACGGCTATAGAGATCTTCCTGCCCGTCATGTCGGATCAGAAGCGTTTGTCCTGTAATGTCTCCCAACCCACGCTGGCACTCCCCTTACTTCATTTCTTATCGATATGAACTCAATATTATTCCCTCTAGGATCGGACATACCAACAGTAAACTTGTCGCAAGTGCAAGACGACACGTGGTTGATCGAGCTACAAAATGGAGCAGAAAATTGGTTATCACGCTTGTGTATGGAGGAATACATTTTGGTGAGGACAAATATTTGCTGCCTTCGACTACGTTCGACTCACTCTGAGTGTTCAATAGCCGGCACTTGAAGCAGTGAAAACCGAATGGTCGAAAACAAAGGGTTCCGGTGCTGTCATAATCACAGGAAATCGAATGCAAAAGAAAATATTCTCCAATGGTAGGAGGAGATCGCGAGAGTGTCTGCATGCATAAACTGATAGGAAAATCATCAGGTCTCGTCCTCGAAGAGTTGGGTGGAGAGCCTAAACTGTTTGATGGTTAGTCAACAATTGGTACGGTATCCAAATTTTGACGTCGGTACAGTGCTGGACCGGCTCGCTCGTTGCATGTTCACTTACCCATGTGAGCGCGTGCACCTGTTTCGGTCGGAGTCTCACCCTGATTGTTGTGATGTCTCGTGTCCCTAGTGCCCATTATCTGCGCCCTGACCGGACATGCCTTTGGGGCTGGCTTCGTGTTTGCACTGGCTTGTGATTACCGTGTTACGGCCTCTAAGAAGGCATGGTGCTCCCTAAATGAGGTGTGCTTATGTCACCGTTCCATCAAAAGACGCAGCATGAACACTACCTCAACAATGTCAGGTACACTTTGGGGCTCCACTCCCCGCGATAATTACTACAATCCTTCGAGCGAAACTTTCGGATCCCGCGGCTCTCCGGAGATGTGCTTTGGAAGGGCATAGATATACCGCACAAGACTGTGTCGACTTTGGCCTTGTCGACGAGCGGGCGGACCGTGGGTTTGAAGGTGTCCTGTCTGCTGCCATGAGAATGGTGGAGAGAATCAAAGTTCGCGCCAAATGGGTGCGTGGAGTTTGAAAAAGGTAGATCATCAAATTGTCCCATGGTGCTGTCGGGGTCTTAACTTTCCTTTCAGGCAGAAATATATCGCGATGTTGTCAACGCAATTGACGCGGGCCGGCGTGCCAATTTCACATTCACCAAACTATAAATAACTATGTTTGGCTTATCGAGTCGTGTTGGCCACTTGGCATGAATCTGTCAAGAAGGCATGCCACCCAAACAAACACCTCCATTGAAAACATGTCTTAATACTAACTAACACCTCCACTCGGTAGCCTGGACAGTCCCTGGAAAGCGATGATCATTGCCCGACGAACCTGCACGGCCACCGGAATGTTGAAGACTGTATGATACGTGAACATCGGGGTTGATGGCAGCGCGAGTTCAGTTGAGAGAAGAGGGAAGCAGCGATTTGGTAATGAAATCATCGCAAGCGAATGAATTACGTCGGATATGATGTTGATATTCTTAAACATGCCAGTTGTTACTTTTGGGTATCATTATCGCTGATTACTCTCTAGCCTGAACAGGTATACATAGCTCTCAGGGGTTCTTCTTTTCCAGATGTGCCAAGCTGTTCGCCTCCGTGAACTCTCATACGGAGGTTCTAATAATAGCTACCTTTGGAAGTTCTCATCGTTGGGAGCAAGGCACGCGTTGAAAGCCCACGAATGAGCTTATCGGGGTGTTCGATGGTGCAACTATCTGAGCTAATTTTAAGATAAGAAGAAACAAAATGAAAAGGTGCTGTGGTACATTTCAGATTATGCCTGACGTCTGGTCTGAGCAAATCGTATACGGTGAGACCAGCTTGGGTCTTAGGATGTATAAGGGATGGGGCGCATTCAAAATTGGCACATTCACATGACAAATCCGAGTCAACGCTAAGCCTCAGGGTCCAGGGGATGGGCGCGTCGTCATGCGATACATCGTGTTCAGGGGTCTCGCTTCCGGTTTCTTCTCGATTCTCATCGGAGCGCCGAAGTGCAACGATCAACATTCACCAGAGCTCAAGGATATCCTCCAGCCCTGCCAGTGCACGTTGGAGACAGCACACCGGTACGGGAAAACGGTTGTACTCAAAGGCTGTTCGACACAACCAAGGCGCTGTCGCCAAGACAATCACGAGGAGAGCAAGATTGGAAGCCTATTTGTTAGGGGCAAAAGGAACGTGGCGGGGAACATGTGTTTCTGACTCGAGGCCGGAATTGCACCAAAGAGCCAGGCCTTGGCAGGGTCCACAAGCATATCGCGAAGAGGCGGAACAAGAGTCAGTCAACGCCTTCCGACTTGGGCAGGACACGCGCACAGGTTGTCGGACCCAAGAAGACGGGTTACCCCCAAGCATCAAGTACAGGAGTATAAAGCATGAAAAGGCGGATGGAAAGGCGCTTTCCTCGATAGCGACCAAGCTTTCACCCTCGCGCTGTCCTATAACGATCACCGCACAATGGTTTCGTTTGCTACCATCCGTTTAGGTGTTTACAGTAAGCGCTTTGAGAAATATTGGCGAAAAATGGACTCATCAAATGTGAAGTCACCATCGCGCTTTTCTCCCTTGTTGTCCTTGGCCTTGCCGGTCACATCGTCTACGGTCTTGGGATCGCGACTGCAGTTCTGACGCTTGTGGTGATCATCCCAGTGTACGTTCCCGTCGCTCTAGCTGGTGATATGAATAGGCGCCGATACTTCTCGCAGACTCGTCATCGACCACCTCCGTCGTGGCACATTCTTCGTCTGGACCGCCGTCGAGCTTGGCTGGCTCTTCGTCCTCTGGGTGCTATGGATTGCAACTGGTGGTGACGGGGCATCCGCAGCGTCGTTGTGCAATGGTCTCTCATCTTACGATTACCTCGGCTACACTTACTATGGTAAGCGCCTCGCACAAATTTCCATGACGCCTACTCACCATTCTGGGAATACAGTGGGTTTAGCCGAAGGATACTGCCACGAGCTCCAGGCAGCAACCGCATTTGCCTTCCTCAACTGGATTATGATGTTTGGCATGTTCATCTACATCCTGGTCATGGCCGTCCGCGCACAGCAGGCCGGGTATCCGGGCATCTGGCAGGACTCTCTCATGGAGTACAAGGCCAACCCCAACATTGGCACCGCCGGACCTGGGACGACGTACACTCAGCCTACGGCCATGACCAGCATGTCCAACGAGCCGAAGTACGCGACGGGCCCGGCTGGTCCTGGCATGGCGTAATGCGTTCCTTTCTGGCCTTGGAGCCTATGAACGAGTCAGGTTTTTAGTTTTTAACGAACTCTCGAGATATACCTCTTTCTTTGGTGTGATTGTCAATTTCTGTTGAAGAAATGTGATGTTCCAATGTCCCATTTCGTTTGCGTGCGGGATAGGGGTTCCTTTCATTCCGTATACAAGGACAAAATCGTAATCACGCACTTTAATATACATTTGCCAAGTAATTGATCTGTCATAACCGTAAGGCATTAGATCATTCTGGTCGAAACTGCAACCGCAAGACACAAATCCCAGTATGTTGAGATTGTCCGTATCATTGACCGGCAGTAGCTCGAGGTAAGAAAGCAGAATCACGCGTGTCCTTCACCGTGCACAACGCGTCGATCTCTTCACGCGTCTATGCATCTCCATGCAAACACCATGACATGACATCCGTCCGTCTATCTTCTTGTGCATCTCTTTCCATCGCACAGAAACGTATTCTCGCGAAAGGTGCGCCTATTGTACTTATGTGAGATACAAGCTGAGACGATCAAGGCGGATTCGCCAATGATCTGGGGGAGATACTCCTGCTCCCGACGCAGGACGTCGCACGCCGACTGAGGCTGACGGTGCACCAAGTCCAGGAATTGAACGAGGCTGTCGCAAGAGACTTAGCGCCGAAGATCTTACCGCTGGGGAGCAGTGAGGAGGAGAGGAGGTTCTCTGTTGGAGATGAGCGGATGGACGGTTTGCTTGGAGGGGGGATATCCACTGGTCAAATATACGACATCTGCGGAGAGGCGTGCGTCTTCCTTCTACATTCTAGGTGTATGCTAAGGGAAGGACAGAGCCTCAGGCAAGACGCAGCTCGCACTCCAGCTTGCGCTGTTCGTCCAGCTCCCAGCACCACACGGTCTCTCCGGTTCAACAGCATATATCACCACCTCCGGCCAACTACCCACCTCCCGTCTGCTGCAGCTCCTGTCCTCCCACGCTCTACTGCAAGTTCTAGACCCAAAGGATGCCCTCGACCACATACATACCTCAGACGCCAAGACCCCCGATATGCTCGTGCGTGCTCTGACGTCCCCATTACGCAAGCTTGCGGTCTCGCTCAAGGAGTCGACCCATCCGCTCAGGCTCATAGTCGTCGATTCTCTCGCATGGGTATTTCGCACTACGTCAGAAGGTGGTACCTCCCTGTTCGAACGAGCGAAGGTGCTTTCGCATATCGCTTCCCTCCTTCGATCGTTCGCTCGGGACTTCAACCTCGCCGTCGTGGTTGTGAACCACGTCTCGTCGGTATTTGACGACAGGAAACCCGTAGCGCTCTCCCAGTCCTCGTCTACTTCGTCGCAGAACCCCTCTCAGCCGGGAGAATACACCATCAACTATCGGGACCAATCGTACTGGTTCGCCTCCCCTGGCCCTGGATCGGGGTACGAAGCTGCCCTCGGCCTTGTCTGGGCAAACGAGGTGAACGCGCGGGTGATGCTTTCCCGCACGCGGTATCGGCACTATCCTGAAGGGAGGGCGGCAAAACGTCGTCGAACGATGGACAGTACCGGAGATGACGAAGAGTTCGCAAGGGTGAGGAGGATGGACGTCATCTTCCACCCCGATGCCCCGCCCGCGAATCTGGACTATATAATCACTCCCGCAGGCCTGCAGTCCATATCCGACGCAGAACTGGCAAGACGTCGAAAGCCTGAGACGAAGCTCCAACACCCGTCGTCGGATGCTGCGCCAGATACGAGCGGCATATCTGCCGAGGACATGGCGAGGTATGCGGAGGCGATGGACTCGTTTGCTGAAGAGGAACTGTCGGGGGAGGACGAGAAAGGCCCCGATCCGGACGTGACTGGGGTAGATGAGGATGCGCTAGAGGGAGAAGGATGAATGGTCTCTATTGACGATGCTCTAAGATTAGACCGAGTCGGTGCGGTCTGTTTGTAGTTTTACACAAATACAAGAGACAGAGGAGTGCCTTCCGAGCCTCGTCCAGCACAGCACGACAGCGTACATTGTTGAGCTGGGTATGGTCGTACAGATCTATGAGCAGAGTGTTATGGGAACAGGAAAAGGTGATGTCCATAGGTGTACACTTCAAGAACCTGGATCCGCACCTCTTGACGTGCAGCAGTCTCCTCCAGCTTCCGAATCGAACTCCACAACAGGCTGATCTGCCCGAACTCCTCCTGAAGCTTGTCGGTTCTGTTGCCTTGCTCCATAATCTTATCCCACTGGATCCCCAGTTCTGCACGCAGTTCCTTGTGTTCTGCACACAGCTCCATGATTTGTAGCTGTTGCTTCTTCCTCTCCTCCTTCTGAGAGGTCTGTTCGGCTTCGAATGCATCCATTCTTGCAAGCAACTGCTGCATGAGATGCTCTCGGTCTGACAGAGTCGTCGGTCCGCTAGCCTGGAGTCTGCATGCAAGGACTCACTTCCAACCTCTGCATTTAGATGCAGCCCCAAATCAGAAGCATTCTGGTGCTCCATACTGAGCAGGCTGCGTTGTTGACAGATCGCATCACCAACACGGGCGGGAAGCTCGTCGATAGTGCTGGCCGAAGGGGGGGTAGGGGTGAAGAGAATCATAATATTGGCATCAACAGGAATAGGGTCATTCTTTGGCAACTTGAATTTATTTGTGTCGATGACCTCATGTGGCTGTGATGTTTTAGGCTTCTTTTCTCGTATTCTGCCTTCACCACAGTTGACCACTTTGTTCACCAATCCAAATACAATATTTCATCTCACGTTTCGCCGTATCCACTTTCACGTATCCACCTCAGGCCAAGGTGTGCGAGGACCAACGTCCCCTGCGCGATAAGGACTTGGTGCGAATGTCTCGGCGCGCCACATACATCATTCCCCACTTCACTGCTGACGTCACCGCATCACTCCCCCCAGGAATGAGGGATAGGATCGACCTGTCTGAGTGGATCGAGATCGGAAATGAGCAGAAGCTTCACCTTGGGCATGGGACGACGTCCTGCTCTTCACCCGTCGACTCCCGCACCTTGAACACCGTCGTGGAACATCCAACAGAACGAGCACACTCTGCAGGCAACGAACTGAAGATATCAAGAACGTTCTCCTGAACTAATCCTAATCATAGCATGGAGCACGCAGCCCGAGCTGGAGAAGGGTACAGGTACGTCTTCTCACACCTCCTACGTCAGCATGCTTCTGACCCCACGGCAGCGCACAGCACCCCGTCCCTACAATCCAACAATATCAGGCAACTCAAGATGCCCTAGCCCGCCAATCTGAGAATACCTGTATGCAGAATAAACCACCCGTACCACCTAAGGATGACCTGGACACTGGTCCTGCCGCCCAGGGGGCGACCGAGCTCACCGAGAAACAAAAACTGATGGAGAAGATCAAGAAGCATGACAAACCTGCCGAGAGGCTTGAGAAGATGCCGAAAGGCCAACATAAGGTTACAGATCCCGTAACTGGTCTCGAGGTGGTCACCAAGAATGCCGAGTTCAAGGGTGAGTTTGATCAATAGGTGTAGATGTATGCGCCTGCTTACAGGCTTAGATTTTCCCCCGGTGTCGACCCTCGACCCGGGAGACGCGGATGGGCCCGCGCTGCAGCCTGCTACCGGAGGTGAGGGGCAAGACAAGAAACATGCGAAGAGCAAGTTCACCTCCCCCGCTGGCGCAAAGTTTGACCCGAAGCACGAAGCGCCCAACCCTGCCCACGCATCTAACATCAGCTTGCAGCCTTTTCCACCTCCGGCGCCTGTATCTCTCAATCAGGTCATGCGCATGATGGACATCCTCCAGCTTGCTTTGTTCCTTGCTCCGCTCTTCCTCTGGTGGTTGCTGGCTTTCCGCCGCGGATGGCTCAACTTCCTCTTCGTCTCACTCCTCATGCCTACAATCTCGATCGTTCTCACTACCCTTGCCAGTCTCGCCCAGCGCAAGCTAGAAAAAGAAGTCGAACGCGTACGACACGACCTACACACCCAGCGGGGGCTTATGTATTCGCCCCCGACGCCAGAAAGCACAGAATGGCTCAACGCGTTCGTCAGCACCTTCTGGCGGCTCATCCCGCCTGACATGTTCGTCCCTATCGTGGATATGATAGAGGATGTGATGCAGCAGTCTCTACCTGCATTTGTCCAGGCAGTTCGGATCTCCGGTTTGGGCCAAGGTGACAACCCCCTCAGGATCCTGTCAATGCGCGCTCTTCCGGACAGGCCTGGAGATCCCGATTATCCGAAAGAAGAATGGATCGACCAAGGCACCGGGGAGATCCTCAAGCACCAAGCTGAAGACCGTGAAGCCGGAAAGGACGCTGACCAGGCAGGCGACTACGTCAATTACGAAGTCGCATTCGCTTACCAAGCCAGGCCGGGGCAGGGCGATAGGCTTAGGGCGAAGAACATTCATTTGTTGATTGAGTTCTTCTTGGGCGCATTCGATTGGCTGCATATACCCATCCCGATCTGGATACAGGTCGAGGGCATCGCAGGCACTGTAAGGCTCAGGATCCAGTTCATCCCCGAGGCGCCGTTTGTCGGTGATGTGAGTCCTTCCCTCCGAATCTGATGTATATGCTCACAGTCCACAGCTAACGTTTACCTTCATGGGCGTCCCCGCCGTCGAAGTCTCCGCAATACCCATGCTTCGCCAGCTTCCGAACATCCTCGACCTCCCGCTCGTCTCCCGCTTCGTCAAGATGGCCATCGCGGCCGGCACAGCGTCCCTCGTTGCGCCCAATAGTATGACGCTAAGTATCAAGGATCTGATAAGCAGGGCGGTGGTGGGTGACACCCGCGCTGTGGGTGTGCTCTTGATCACTGTACATCATGCGGAAGGCTTGTCGGCGCAGGACTCGAACGGAAAGAGTGATCCGTATATCGTGCTTGCTTACGCTAAGGTTCGTTTCTGCCAATTGAGAGAATGACGCTAACCCCTTGGACAGTTTGGTAAACCCCTCTACTCCACTCGCATCATCCTCGAAGACCTCAACCCGGTATATGAGGAGACCGCCGCCCTGCTCCTTACGCAGGACGAGATCAAAGCTGAAGAGGAGCTTTCCGCTATGCTCTGGGATTCTGACAAGCGATCAAATGATGACCTTATCGGCCGGGTACATATCCCCGTCACGGAGCTGATCAAGAACCCCAACAAGGCCCTGCACCGTACAGACTCACTGGTGGGGTTCGAAGAAGCGGACAAGATGAAGGGCACTCTTTCGTGGTCAATTGGATATTTTACGAAGGTTCCTTTATCGAGGGAGCTCGAGCTTCCGCCTGATGGTCCTCTCCCGCCACCAAGGAAGACCGCAACGGAGATGGAGATGAAGCCTGGTGACAAGGCGCCCAACCCTGCGGCCCGGAACCTCCCCCCGCCCGAGCCGGACGTCCAGCGTACGCCTCCCAACCCGAAATACAAATCTGGCATCTTGTCCGTTATCGTACACCAGATCAATAATTTGGAGAGGCAGGATCTCGGAGGAACTACGGGGAAGGATAGGGAGGGCCGGGCGGGGCAGGATACGGACCAGGCCAGCGAGCAGGAGGGGAACCTCCCTAGCGGGTACTGCGAGATTGTCATCAATGATGATATGGTTCATAAGACGTGAGTTTCTTGCTATCGTTACTGTTCGACCTCTTTGCTAAGCCGCTCGCAGTCGGGTGAAACAATATACAACGATGCCCTTCTTCGAAGCGGGCACCGAGGTGTTTGTCCGCGACTGGGAGAAGTGTGTCGTTCGTGTCGTCGTCCGCGACTCGCGGTTGCGCGAAAAAGACCCCATTCTGGGCATCGTCACCCTCCCCTTGAAGAAAGTGCTCGAACAGGCCTCTGAGGTCACGCGTCTTTATGCGCTAGAGGAAGGCGTTGGGTGGGGCCGTGCGAACATCTCCGTCTTGTTTAAGGCGATCGATGCCAAGCTGCCACCTAACCAGCTTGGATGGGATACGGGCACCGTCGAGCTGTTTGGACCGGTCAAGATCGAGCCCGTGGGCGATGCTAATGCCCAGTGGATGTCGAAGGCCAAACGCCTCGTGGCATCTACGACAGACAGCACCGAGGTCATCCCCAAGTCTGACGCCGTAATCGAGAATAATGTCATCTCGTGGAACTTTGATGACAAGGTCCGCCTGCCGGTCTATGACCGATATGCCTCGAGCTTGTCTTTCGAGATTGGTGGAGGGGGCGTCTCTGTTCCTGGAGTGAGTAGCAAGCCAGATGCAGTTGCGGTTCTTTGGCTACAGGAGCTCGAAGACGATAAGGAAGTGGATATCCGGATCCCGGTCGTCACTGGCAAGGATATCAAGGTGTTGAAACAGAATGTGCTCAACGAGCAGGGCAAGAAGACCCACGAGCTTCAGGTTCTTGGCTACCTCACGACTAGGATCAAGTATGATTCTGGATTGGACGAGGATCATGAATCCAAGTCTTCTTGCCAGGCAAGAAGGCACGCGTTCGAGACCTAGTGAGTATTCGTTCTTGTATTCAGCGATCATGTTTCTGACAAATGAACAGCGATCATGTTGAAGGGGGAGCGATCATCGCCGAGCGCAATGCGCACGCGATGGACGACGGCGTGATTGACCGCAAAGAACAGAAGGCTATCGATCAGGCGCATAAGCGGCAGCTTGAGAACCGGCAGAGGGGAATCGCCAGCTTTAAGCCATACCGTACGCTTAAGTGGATGGAGGAGGGTGTGAAGCGGAGAGTGGTACCGAAAAAGAGCTCGACAAAACGCGAGCCGGTGGTGCAGAGCGAAGCTTAGAAGATATCGACAGGTTTACTCCATCACGCTGAGAAAAACTATTGACGTGGACAGTTGACAGCCTGCGATTTCAGCATTGTTGAATTGTACCATAGTACCATTCTGAGGACATCAGTTTACCAAGTACATGTATCGTTGAACTGAATCAACAAAACACGAACACGAGCAGTCGTAAGTCTGATATCTGCCCAGACCACCTCTGTGATGTATGTATGCTTTCACTAGCGTACAGCGTTGCTTCTCGTAATGCAAAGCAAAACATATGCGATGAGAAAAGAAATAAAGTGATCCGGTAGAGTTCAGCCAGTAGCAAACTGCAAAGAAAGGGAAGTAGCAATAATGTAGATCGAGTCCATGTGAACACGGCAACATCGTGCGGCACCGTAACCGCCATATCGCTCGCTCGTCTACAGCACCCACCAGGCTCCTATAACCACCCCAGCGCCAACAAAACCCATTACCCTCCCCCACTGAGCCAGTGGCCATATCCGCTCTGCACCGCTAGTGACCGCAGGGCCAGTAACAGCTGCAGCTTGCGTGAACGTCCAGTCCTCTGGGGAGATGATCGTCCCCACTTGGGGAGGGATGGTGGGTGATGGTGACTGGTAGGTCGGGGTAAAGGTGGCCTCGTAGACGTTGCCGTCTGCGGAGGTGAACTGAAATCTGTGGGTGGTGTGAGCGCGAATGAACGGTGGAAAGTATGGAACGTACACGATTGTTGCTGCGCCTGTGTTTGTGCCTGGTTGGCCGACGATTCGCGGTGGTCCGGTCGTCGTCGCCGCAGCGAGGAGTTCATCGCCAAACGTCGATCTGCGCGCTCGTCAACACGTGTCTCTCTGAATCCTCATTACGGGAACTCACAAGATTTGTGTGGCGACTGCCGCACCGGCTCGACTGTAGGAGACTCGGTCGAGGTATGTGATTCCTGAGTCTGGGTCTATTTGGGTTTGGGTCACCCATTGGGCGAGGATCTGGGGGAGGAGGGCGAGCAGGATGAGAATGGGGGTGGAGCGGTACATCCTGTTAGGGAAGAGGTTGGAGGGATTGCTCGACGACGTGCAGCGAGTGCTGCCTTTCTGTAGTATGATGCACTACTAGATGGAGTGCCGGGATGATGGGGGGAAGGAAGGAGAATGATGGGTGACAGCGAGCAGGACGGCTCTGACGGTGAAACCGAGGAAGAGAGAAGGGCCGACGATGACGGCCGCACTGAGGACCCCAGATACCGCTTCAGAATACAGCGGAATCAAAGCGTGTCTTCTTTGATAGAAATGCCTCCGCTTTATCATGGATAAACCGAAAAAAAGTTGAACATGCGGTTGCCTTTCACCTTTTGCGAGGGATATACCTGTAGTGCATGAGTTTGTTGTTCTCAACATTTACTCGTTGTACTATTACTTCTCCTCATAGAGCACTCTCATACGTCTGCTTTACGACCATATCCCTTTGCACTTCACGACACTTCTCCAGCACATCACCTGTATATAAGAAGATGCCTCCGAAGAAAGCCGTCGTGGAGAAGAAGGCACTGCTTGGTCGACCATCCAACAACCTTAAGATCGGTATCGTCGGTGAGTCATGCACTTTTTCCACTTTCAATCAGTTAAACCCGCTAACAAGACGTGCTGTGCGGACTAAGGCCTACCTAACGTCGGCAAATCTTCGTTCTTCAACGCACTGTCCGACACCCACCTAGCGAACGCGGCCAACTTCCCTTATGCGACGATCAACCCCGAAGAGGCCCGGATCCCCGTCCCCGACGCACGCTTTGACTGGCTCTGTGACCTGTACAAGCCCGCCTCAAAAGTACCTGCCTTCCTAACCTGCATCGATATTGCCGGTCTGACAGCGGGCGCCTCCACCGGTGCAGGACTTGGCAACGCTTTCCTGAGTCACGTCCGGGCTGTGGATGGGATCTTCCAAGTCGTCCGGGCGTTCGACGATGCCGAGGTCATCCATGTGGAGGGTGATGTCAACCCGCTCCGGGATATGGACATCATTAGTAACGAGCTGAGGCTGAAGGATATGGAGTGGGTCGAGAAGAAGCTCGATGATCTCAAGAAGACGGGGCGTTCGTTAGGGCCCAACAGCGTGGAAGGAAAGAAGAGGCAGGAAGAGATCAACTGCGTGGAGAAAATCTTCGCCCTGTTACAGGATAACAAGGATGTGAGGAAAGGTGAATGGGGGAACAAGGAGGTAAGCATTGTTTCCGCTTTTTTCATTTCTCAGCTTCTGCTTCAAAGGATGAGAAAGCGCTCTTTGCGCGATTTAACCCAGCTCGTCGAACCGGGGAGTAACGCCCCTGGCATGAGATCATGTTCCACGTCTGACCCCTTCTCTCTTCATGCCTCCCTTTTCTGACACATACTGACCCGGTATCCAGATCGACATCGTCAACTCCCTTCAGCTACTAACAGCCAAGCCCGTGACCTACCTCGTCAACCTCTCGGAAAAGGACTACGTGCGGAAGAAGAACAAGTGGTTACCCAAGATCAAAGGCTGGATCGATGAGCACAACCCTGGTGATCCCCTGATCCCCTTTTCCGTCGCGTTGGAAGAGCGATTGGCGGCCATGGACGCTGAGGAGAAGAAAGAGGAAGAGAAGACTATCGGTGCAACTAGCGCGTTGCCGAAGATTACCACGGCGGGGTATGCCAGCTTGCATGTGCGTACTATCCTTTACGCTGTCTGGACGCGGGGCTAATTACTGTGATAGCTTATCCGCTACTTCACTTGCGGGCCTGACGAAGTGCGAGCTTGGACGATCCGGGAGGGGACGAAAGCCCCCCAAGCAGCAGGAGTCATTCACTCAGACTTCGAGAACAAGTTCGTCTGCGGAGAGATCATGACATATGAGGATCTGAAAGAGTATGGGAGTGAGTCGGCCGTCAAGGCAGCAGGGAAGTACAGGCAGCAGGGCAAGCCATACGAGATGCTGGACGGGGATATCGCATACTGGAAAGCGGGTCAATGAGCGTGTGAGCCACTTCTACACCTTGGTTTGGCGTTTTCCTGTTTGCTGGTTCACTGGACGCTGCATGTACGACTGTCGATGTGTGTTGTTGAAGATGAATGGAATAGAAATTGTCATACAATGTTCAGTGCTACAGTTTAGCGGGTCGCCGAACTTCCCGCCCCTCATCGATCGCAATGATCACCTCGCGGTACAGCTCTTCCTGTAACGCTGTCAGCGCATACACGCGGATCCCCGTGCAGTAACGAACCTTGATCTTCCCCCACACCCGTGGTTTAGCCAAGCTCGCCCTACTCTGCGCAAGCTCTATCGCAGCCTGCAGGATATCTCTGCTCTTCCCGTCCACCAGAACATCCACGACCCCTTCGCTCTCGAGTTCTTTCGGGACAAACCTATGCCCTTCGAGTGCACATTTCCTAACGAGCCCAGGATTGACCAACTTGACCTTGATAACCTGAGCGAAAGGCGGCGGGAGGGGGGCACCGAAGAGCACTTCGTTAAAGCAACACCAGGCGCGTCCCGCTGTCAGGACCCGGTAGTCGCAGCACAGTGCAAGTAGGAATCCAGCAGCAAAAGCGTGGCCGTTCATCGCACACACGGTAGGCACTACAACCACAGATTACGGATTAGTAGTATACAAAATATGGGGTTGAGGACGAACTTGGAAAGGTGAGAAGTCGTTTAACCCAGGGGTTAAATACCACTTTTCGAAATGTTGGATCACTGTACATTCTCAGCTGATCAGGACGTACTAGGGAAGAAATCCGCTTGCTTGATCGCATTCTCGTAGTCGAGTCCTAATAGTTGTCAGAACGCGTTTAATGACCAATGAAGCAGTCTCAAATAGCAGACGAACAAGGGGACGGACACACACCGTTAGAGAAGAACTTGTCTTGCTTCGTATTGCCTACAATCACAAGGGCGGCCTCTCCTTTACCAGCCTTCAACTCTCTCCTCCACTCTTCTTCTACCAAGTCGAGCAGCGGCTACTCTCATGCATAGTCTGCTCAGCACAATCCATGAAGATCAGAAGGAGAACTGCGCACCATGAATCCTTCTTCTAGGAATGTTCGCGTGAGCCTGCTGTCATCCCCGTTGTGAAGCTCGATCTGGAAGATCGTGCCGCTCGGACGGGAGAGGGTGAGCATGGGATTGCCTACAGGGAGGGAGATGGGGAAAGGTTGAGTCGACATAGTGGTTGTGTGGAAAGACGGAGGAGGCCCTGATTGTACCAAACTCTTGGGTAATATTAATGAGGGCAGTTATCTCAAGTGTGGGGATCAGGGACCGGACGAATCCGTTCCAAATAACCGGATGCTGACTCATTATAGCCGCTTCACATCATGTGCTTCTAACCTTCACGAGCGCGTCGGGGTGACCCAAAACATCAATAAACGAAGTTTAGAGGATCACTGCTGACTGAGCAGCGACTATTAATAACAGGAATCGGGCCGATATTGTGGGAATGCAGAATGCGATGGTGGTCATACGCTGCGCTACAACAAAGCACAGGACACGGCTGAGGATGTAGGTAACACCGGGACGCTGGAGAATGAAGGCTAGAGTGAAACAGGACGTTGAGGCAGTCAGAGAGAGGGAAAAAATATCTTCCAATTGGGGTTCAGCCAACAGAGGAAGGATGGGGTCGTTATTCAGGAAAGTGAGCAGCAGAAACAAGTAAGGGAATGGGCGGAAACAAGGGCCGGCGGCGGCCCGCATTCAAGCCATGAGGCGTATAAGAACATGTGTGGGAGAAAAGGAGTAAGATACATATTCAACAAGGGGGAATGTTGCATGTGCTGAGCCAAAAGAATCGGGAAAATAATGAGAATGAGTGGATGAGGACGTTGGCGGCTTCTTGCGTGCGACCCCAGGCAGAATATGACAACATTGGCATTATAGGCGTAGGCAGAGAGAGATCATTTCGCGTGTTGGCACCGATGCATCATTGTTCGAGGCACATCAGGCGTTCAGCCCTACGCGTGGTGGCTCGGACAATAGCTTTGTTCATCTCGATGGTCCTGTTCATTTCTTTCTCGTGCTTCTTCGCCCAGTCCCTGGCAAACACGGAGGCCTTCAAGAACTTCTTGATGGCGTACTTCTTGCAGACATAGTAATTTTCAAAGTCCGTCGCAGTGAGGCGCTCGAGGATGAACCTCGCCCCGGGCAAGAGCTGGGACTCGGTGTAGTTCGCGTAGAAGAGCCAGCGGTCGTCCCAGTCTCCACCAAGCATACGGCGGGCAAGGTACATCCCCACGGCGGCGATCATGCTCGGTTTTGCACGGAGGAAGCGCTCGTCAAGGAGGGTGACCTCCATGAGGAACTTGCAGAGCGTTCGCGTGTGGATGTCATAGTCGTCCGCCTTTGAGATCCTGCGGACCCAGGAGTAGGGCGAGCAGTAGTTCGAGATCTTGAAGTCCAGGGTTTGGAGAATGATCCGTTCGCCCTTGATGATTTCTTCCTTGGTGTATCCGTTCTCGGTCATGAACACAAACTCGTCAACAGAAGGCGGGAGGATCTCCTCGTACTTTGCTGCCACGAACATGGCGGTGACACCGACAAGCTGGAGTTTGATGAGGCTGACGACGCGCGCAGAGAGGAACCGGTCCACAATGTTGATCGCGATCCAGAGGGTTTCGGGGAGCATGTGGTACCGCAGATGGACCTGGAGGAGCCAGTCGACCAGGGTTGTGCGCATGGACCATTCAATCTCTGTTTGCGCGTCCATATAGTTAGCTGAGGGCATGACGGATGCCTGTACGCGTTGTCAGTACACAGCTGCTTGGTTTTCAGGGAGATCGCGTACCTCGAGCTCGTTCATGTACTCAAAGATCTCCTCAGAGTACTCAGCCACCAGTGTCGTGTCGAGTGGGTCGATCTGGTCCACCATAGACCGTTTGACCCTGTCAAGTTCCTTCATGACCATCGCGTGCTCCTTGCTGGGGAGGGTGACCCAGTCGTCCTCGTCCCAGTCCACATCATCATCATAATCATCCTCGCTATCCAGTTCGATGACGCCCTCATGTCGCACGGGAGAGGTGCTGAATGGGCTCAATTGGCGGGCAACGACGTCGCGTTCGACAGCCTCCTCCGGGTCGGAAGAAGGTATCTCCTGGATCGGGGTACGTTCCCGGCTGATCTCAACCACTGGGGCAGAGTGGGGGAGCATAGGTTCAGATCGGCTCACAGGGATGGAGACAGCGATCTCGGTCGGGTCAACCTCCATCTCGTCGTCCAGATCCATCATATCTTCCTCCACGGGCTCACCATCCGTGTATATCTTCGTCCCAGCGACATACGCTCCTTGAGGGCGTGCATTGGCGAGGGGGAACGAGGATGTCGCCGCTACCGCCCCCTGGGAGTTGGATCCCGAGGCTGGTCCGGTGGATTGCTCCGTGGTGCCATTGGACACTGGCATGAGAGGGACACGTGCAGCTGTCACCGTTGCAGACCTAGCACGCCCCTTTTCCTCAGGTTTATTTCCCTTACCGAGGCCGTTCTGGGCAGTGTGAGCTGTACGGACAACGAGAATGATGTAGAGCGGCGAACCTGTGGTAACCGCTCTTGGTTGCTCACGTCCCCCAGGGCTCTCCTCGTCGGTACACCTGGCTTAATGCTTGCAGCTGCATTCCCCTCCCCTCCTGGCCGCTGCCCCAGGGGCATACGAACGCGCTGCGCCCCACCACCGAGAGCGCCCTTCCCTGCTGCAGTAGGAATAGGGATGGAGGAAGCTGAGGCGGAGGGAGGGAGGTTCTCGTCTGTTATGCGCGTGCGTTGTGAGACAGAAGCACGCGCTCGGTGAGCGAGGGTTTGCTATGGGTAGTTCCACTTCAGTTACTAGGGCACAGCCCGTTCATGACGGAGAACGTACCCGTTGGATCTGAGCCATTGGATGAGAGCGGGAAGCGCTGGGTGGTCTGGGAGCGCGTGAGGCGGGCGTGATGGGCAACTTGTACGACTAGTGTGCCTTTTCAGGATACACTAGTACTGTTATTGGACCGAGTTGGTGGGATGTTGTTGTTGATGAATGTGTGAATGTTGCTGCTGCTGCTGTTGGCTGAACCAAGTGGTTGTTAGTGGATGGTGGGGAGGGGGGAGGAGGAGGAGGAGATGGAGACGGAGAAGAAGGAGGAGGAGGAGGAGGTATACAAGCCGTGCACCCACACACTTGGTGGTCGACCCAGCAGTTCGGTGATCTCGAACAAAGGCTAACCCGATTGACCAACGACGCACGGACCCTCTTTTTCCCATTCACACTTTTAATTCCGTTCGCGAACCAAAAGGCGCGTCGCATCACGTGAGGTCAGTCAGAAGCGCACGGGACTAGACCATCCTCACTCCTTTGGGTCACATCGTGTTTGGAGTCACGTGCCCATGTTGCAAAAGAGTACATCTCTTCGTCGTACATCACTACACTAGTCCTCACACACACTCTCGGCTTCCTCCCACCCCTCTAAGCTAATAGTGAGGGTCTTCACTTCTAGCGTCCCCGTATGTACCAAAACAAATTTCCCCGTCTTCGAGAATCTAGGGAGCAAGATCACCCTCGACCTTTGGCCTTCCACTCCCCTGACCATACCCGTCTCGAACGCAGGCTGGTTGCCCACAAAGTAGACATCCGGAGTTCGAGGGATGATGAAAGGATCCTTGTCTGCAAACGGGTGACACCAGAGCGTGTCCGGCGCGGTCGGCGCGATGTGTCGCCATAGCAGCGTGCTTCGAGCCATCTCCAGCCGGTCAGACGAGTCCACATACTTGAATATATCATCGATCGTCTGCCCGCCCACACCGAGCATTCTATCACCCTCCATGAGTTAGGCACCATGAGATATTGAGAGGATACGCACAAACATCCCTCCAAGGGAATCCAACATGGATTCGTCTCACATGAAAACCCGCTGGCTCGCCTCACCTCCCCAAACATCGCTTTCGGCAGAGCTTGTTGGGGGAGCGTAGCCCCCGCTGGGTCAGATGCACCGGGCATGAGGTGCACCGGCATCGTCCGAGAAAGATCTAGCAGGTGAGAAGACAGCGTGAGCGTCGGGGTTGCGGAGTAGGAAGATGAATCGTAGCCATATCGTTTCTGTTTAAGATTTCAGTAAAATTCTACCACCGCAAAAGGATCCAAGTGCCTTTGATATTTCCTCTTGTCGAATGGGCGGTGTTAACGAGTTCCCGGCCAATATGAGCCGTGATATCCTCGCCGATTCGCCTTCGTCCTGCCTCATGCATCAGTTTAGTTCACGCTTCGCAGATTACACATACCTCCTCCCCGCCCAGCTCAGAAGTCAAATACTCCACCAGCAGCTGCACCCTCATATCCGCAGGAGCGCTACTCCCTCCAATATCCAGCCCACTGACAAGGGCGACCCACTCCCCCTTCCTCTCCTCTCCGTCCACATCCATCCCATCTTCTGCCCGCTCAGTCTGTGGTGGCATACCAGCAAAGCATACGTCCACAACCTCGAAGTCGCCTTTGGCTGTCTCTGCTCCCAGGGCACCCATGATGACGCCTGTGACGAGGTGGGCTTTGGACACCCGCTCGCCGACTAGTCGTACACGCCCGCTCTCGTCTTCTAGCATGACGCTGTCGTCTGGGGAGAAGATCTTGGGCCGTGGTGGTGGAGCTGCGATCCAGTGCTGTTCAGTTATCAGGCGCTACCGATGACTGCGGAAAGGAGGAAGAGGCGCACGTCCTTGCTGATGTCCTCTAACACGTTCGGCTTTAGAGGCATGTCCATGTATATCGTGCCGATGATAAAGCACAGCTCGCCCTTCTGCACATCCAGCACCCGCTTGCAGTACTTCGGCTCACCTAAACCCGACCAAAATAGTCAATCAAAGTCACAAGCAGGAGAAAATGCGTACCCTCCATCGAGCTCCACTTTTCTCGCGCTCGCTGCTCAACCGCCCGTCGCAACATGGCCAAGCGGATAAAGTATATGCTCGCATACTGCTGCTTGTAGGACTTGGAGCTGCTCCCGAGGTCGAACGCGTTGCTCAGCTCGGATGTGTGTTGAGGAACGGAGAGTCGTGGGATTGGGTGCGGTGGGACTGATCTGTTTTGCTGTTAGATCGGCGAGAATGACCATGTATGGTACCTTACATTGGTGCGAGCATAATGGATTTCTGTGCGGGGACGTTGTTCGGTTTGAGAGAAGGCGCGTCACTGGAACGCGTACAGTTGAGGCACGCATTTGAGGCGCGTCCCTCGAACCAAACATAATTACATAGGGCCTGCAGGTGTGATGACTCCTCAATGTGATGAACTCATGATTTTTGTCCTCCTACCCATCCATATGACCGCTTATGCTACAAAACTACTGTGCTACAACTTGGCTTTCAGCTCGTCGGTGCCCACCAAGGTGGCGCCAGCAGCGGACATGACCGTCGCACCCCGCTCCTTCACCTTGGTCTGGAAGATGACCTTGTCGCCCTCTTTCCACATCTCCGTAATCAACGTCTCGCCAGGGTATACCGAGCCAGAGAAACGAACTTTGATATCCTTGAATGCACCGAACGTCTTCAATACGTGTTTGCCGGAAATCCCGAAGAAACACAGTCCATGAAGAATAGGTCTGTCAAAACCGCCGATCGCCGCAAACTCTGGCTGAATGTGAAGCGGATTGTAGTCGCCGGACAAACGATACAAGGCGGCCTGATTTGGAGATGTGCGCTCTTCCACAACGGCATCCGGTTGTCGCTTGGGTGGGGTGTTGGAAGCGGTTGCTGCCCCACGGTCTTTTCCTCTCTTCTGACCACCAAAACCGCCTGATCCTCGGATGATTGCCGTGCTCTGCGTCTCGAATATAACCTTGCCTGTGCTTGCATCCTTGGTCTCCGTAACTGTTGTCACAGCAGCCTGCTTGCTCTTGTCGAGAGCCTCTAGTAGGCGAGTCGTACTGATAAGCGTTCCACTAGTCGGGATAGGCGCCTTGATCGAGAGGTATTGCTCGCCATGCAACAACTTAGCGGGGTTGAAATTCGGCAGGAAATCAAGGGACATTCCGCTGCTAGAAGCAAATCCAGGGATGACACCAAACGTGAGTAGAGCCTGGAATTCATCATCACCTTCAAAGGTCCATTTGAGCTCCTCCGCGGTTGCGCCGACGCCAAGGTTGTATAGGATGACATCGCGATCCGTGTATGTGTATTCACAAGGCTCAGTGGCATTATTCTTCGCCTCTCTGACGACCTCGGGATCGTCATCGTCTGCCGCAGAAGGCGAGGAGCTGTCCCCTGTGTTGTGGAAGTTGTCGACAATCTGCTGGATGGCTTCCTGGGTGGAAGTGGGATGGGTAGCGCGGCCATCATCAAAGTTCGTGATGACATTCCACTTGGACAAAACATCTTCCGGCTTCAGAGTTCTGTTAGAAGGGAATCCATGACCCCCAGCGCGCTGCCAGCGAGTCTGTGTAGCGCATCCGCCGAACACTTCGAAAAGGCAGCCAGTAGTTTCGGTGTTGGCTTCGCTGACTAGGTAGCCGACGACAGGCGCAACGAAATCAGGCTTGAACATCTCGACCATTTCGGCCGGCCAAATAGTGCTCGTCATCGCCGTACCAGCTGATGGCGCGAGCGTGTTGCAAAGGATGCCGTACCTAGATCCTTCAATAGCGAGAGTACGCGTGAGACCGAGGATAGCTGCCTTCGCGGCTGAATAGTTCGCCTGACCGAAGTTGCCATCTGAAGAAGCTTGTTAGAACTTGTACAAATCAGACGCAACATACTCATACAAATGCCAACTTGAGAAGCAGTGGTGATAATACGGCCATATCGTTGCTTCTGGAAGATGGGCCAGACGGCCTTGGCACACGCGTACGTGCCCTTCAGATGCACCTTGATAACGTCGTCCCACTCGCGCTGGGACATCGCAGTGAAGCTCTTGTCACTGCATTCGATCAGTGCACACTCACAGAATGGCTCTTCTTCACGTACCGAAGGATACCAGCATTGGCAATCAAGACATCGATCCTGCCGAAAGCGTCCATGGCAGCCTTCGCGATCTTGTCCCCCTCTTCGACGGAACAAGCCACAGCGATGGCTTTCCCGCCAGCAGTCTTGATCTCGTCGACAACTTTCTGGGCTGCCTGTGCGTTGACATCGTTGACGACCACCTGTCCCCCGAGTTTGCCGAACATGTGTGAATATGCACGACCAATGCCACCCCCAGCACCAGTGACGATACAGGCTTTACCATCGAAGCGAACCGGAAGCTCGGACTGCTTGTTTGGTGGAAGGGTCTTAGATTGTTTAAGGACACCCATCATGTCGGTGTCTGCCATAGTCATAGGGTATTCCGCCGTATCAAAGGAGGTGACTTCATGCCATCGTTCCTTGACCTAGAATATGGAGAATGAGCCCAAATTTGGAGTGTATGCGGATTGATATTACTCACAGCACTGGGTGTGAACGTGTCGTCTGTCTTGAACACCGCGCCCTTGCTTCTCTCCCACCTGATCTCTCCCATCCAGCCTGCACCAGCTTCAAAGACCTTCCCCGATGCGTTGGGCCCGTCTGGGTGCGTTAGGACGGCGATCAACGGAGCGATGAAAGACGGGTTAAGATGTTGCAGCATTTCCGGAGGCATGATTGTTTCGGTCATTGCAGAGGCAGCCATCTGTTCAAGACTAAGGAGGCTGCGCATGTAATGGGAGAAACAGAGAGCATACAGGTGCGATACACGAGGCGCGAATGTTGTACTTTGCACCTTCAATAGCAAGCGTCTATCTATCTGTCAGTTCCCCGAAGAACCAGCAGGTTATAAATGTCACCTTAGTAAAAGCCACTAATCCCATCTTAGCGGCGCTGTAGTTCGCCTGACCTAAGTTTCCATACAGCCCAGCGGCAGAGGCAGTGTTGATGATCCTTCCGAACTTCTGCGCCCGGAAGTGCGGCCAGACTGCTTTAGAACAGGAAAATGCACCAAACATGTGAACTGCAATGACGAGGTCCCATTCAGCATCAGACATATTCTTAAAGCTGCAGGACCTGTCAGAACCCGCTTGTGAACAAGGTATGCGTCCAGGCTACCTCTTATCTCTATTCCGCACATTAGTATAGGAAGGAAATAGTGACCCAAGACTTACCTGAGAATACCAGCGTTATTGATCAAGACATGAACTTTCCCAAACGTATCCAGCGCGGTCTTGACAATGCCTTCGCCTTCGAGCACACTGTGCGTATCGGCAACGGCTTTGCCTCCGGACTTAGTGATCTCATCAACTACCTTTTGGGCGGCCTCTTTGGAGAGATCGTTGACGACTACATTGGCGCCGCGAGATGCAAAGAATAGGGAGTATCTGATCTAACTTGTAAGCTGACGGCGCAGTGCAGTGGACGAGAACGCCGGACGCACGCGTGACCAATCCCTCCTCCCGCGCCGGTGATGATGAACGTCTGATCTTTGAACGAGAAAGCCATATTTATTTAAGTAGCGATAGATATAGTGGTGGTGGTCAACAAGAGAGAGCAGAGAGAGGAGTGCTGATGGGGTAAAGCACAATTAGGAGGACGATGCGGGGTGTTGGGCTTTGATGAGGCGGGGATCCGGGGAGGACACGGCAATTGGGCGTATTCACCTTCTTACACAATTCACATGCTCGGATGCATTTGCATGTACCGGCACGTGTTTCTCCCTCCCTATTATTAGTTTCCCCTTTGAACCCTCTCCGACACAAGTGGCAGCCTCCGAGTCCAACGTACAGTAATCACGAAAAGGTGACGTCTTGAGGAGCAGCGAATTGCTACTTGATATAACAACAAATGAATCATAATAAACACAACTGAGTCCTAGAAAGTATACCACAGAGTGCGGCGAGGTTTGCTCAGACCTGTCTTCCGTGCCCCTAAGCTCACCAGTCCTTCTGGCTCTTGGGCGCTTATTTCGTATTGATCGAGTGTTCTATCATGACATTGGAGGGGACATGGGAGGCGCCCCATGACCAACCCTAGAAGCTGCGCGTTGCGGCTCCGGCAATCCCGTGTACATCCCATCGTTACCATACGGCATCCCAAGAGGCGGTACGCCATAAAACCCAGTCTGCGAGAACGGCGAAGTGCTGGTAGGCGACGTTGAGATGCCGGGCGATGTGGATGTGCCAGGTCTTGTGGAGTATTGTGACAGACGAGCTTCATCGGCCTTGGCGTACGAAAGGCGGGCAGATTCGGCGCTAGCCGCAGCATTGGCCGCAGCGCTCTTCCTGCGCCATCTCATGATCAAAATTACAAGAAGTGCAATAAGCAGCAGCCCTCCGACACCGCCAACGACACCTCCAACAATCGGGCCGATGTTGGTCCCACTGCTGCCGCTTCCAGAACCTCCAGATTGGTCTCCAGAAGATGCAGAGGCGCTTGCGGATGTACTGGTCGAGGTCGTGGTCATCGCTGCGGAACTGGTGCTGGTCGATGTCACGGATGACGTCGTACTGTAGAGACTTGCGGTGGAGACATACGCATACGCCACATTTGGATTCCAGGCCGCCCCGTTGTTGGGCAAAAATGCCCAACCTGGAATCTGCAGTGCTTCGACAGATGCGCTCGCTACGTTGGACACGCCGTTGGTGCTGTATGATGGACATGCAGCGCGCCACTGGGCTTCTGTGATCCACTACAACGTAGACATCAGTCAAAGAAGATAGAACCACGAAGGGCTATACGCACATCAGAAGTGAGAATAAATGGCTGGCACCAGGTGCACGCGGCCATGAGATTATAGGACACCACATTGCAATTGCAATCGTTGATCTCAGGCTGCTGGTTAGCGCTCGGTGCTGTATAGTGAAAACTGGTTGTGGGTCAGCACCGTTCTGTGGAGACTGCATTGGAAGAAGGACGTACTCGGCTCCTGGTAATGCTGTGACCTCAACTCCGTCGGTGACACACAAGCTCTGCAACTGCGCCCACATCAAGCAGGGTGTATGATCCTGACTATTGAACTCCCATGTTGCCGTGGTGCAGGTTGTGTTGGTCCAGCCGCCCGGTGATTGGGCCCACCCAGATGGCGTGTGCACCACCAGCACAATGAGAGAGAGCAAGATAACAGACGAAGACATGCTGACGGTCTTGCGAGCGAGCTTGGGATAATTATTGCGCGGTAGAGTGATGCTGGAGGGCCGTCGGGTTGGTGAGGCGCCTTTAAGGGGCGACCCGTCATCGCTTTGAACCTATCCAGTTACTCGTGAAATGATCAAAGAGGCGCCTGACGCACTCTTCCGGAACCCTTTCAACAGCGGCAGCCACTCTAAATCTGTCAAGCGCTAATCCCTACCGACATCGTGGTAATGCCAAGTCGACACGGGGAAATTCGTTTTGAAGATTGCAAAAAGAAGGTTTTTAAAAACTGGATTTGTTGTCGTTTTCTTCCTGTATCCTCTCGCTCCCTTGCAGACGTTTGGTCAAGAGAAACCGACGAGTGAATACCATGAAGGTTTGGGCTGACCATGTTTGCCAAGCCTGTGTTCCTGAGAGTGGCGGTGTATCTCTACAAAGGGTCCAACGGATACTTCCGCATTTTCCGGTCCACAAATGCCAAGCCACGTATTGATTTCACACCTGATAGACGCTCACCTTCAAGGGCAGCTAAAGGCGTTATCATCCGAAAGGCACGGGGCTTCTCGGAGTGTTATTATCCGCTTTCCCTGCCGAATCGTCTCCTTCAAGTGTCAAGTGATACCGTCCGCTTTACGTTACCTATTTTCTGCTAGGGATGCCCGCTCGCTTTTCCTATGAGACAACCGATTCGATAAGATGTCAGTGATGCATTGTGCTATAGTTGCGCTGGACCAAGACAGAATACGTTTCCCGCATCCTCCGAGTACCTTTGGCATTGGCGATACGGCCCGTTCCTTCCTCACTTGTCCTCTCAGCAGTGCTCTTCCCTGTCTTCCGATCCTACAGGCGAGCGAGCCAACGTAGATTGACCACGAACTATCATACATTCATGCGACCGAAAAGTTCGCAGAAACTCTCACGCAACCTGCTGCGGGTGACCCTCGATTGTCTTGGCAGTGCGAAGTCAATCTCCGTCCTCCGGTCCACCTTCAATTGTATGCGAGTGTGAGATCCAGAGGTCGTCTGACCAGCAACCCAGTATTGAATAATTCACGAGCTGCGCGATGTAGCATTAGAGAACAGAAAATGCTGTGTCACGACCTCTCCACCTTGTTCTGAGTTATATGTAGCATAAAAAGAAGACCTCGGAACCGAGCCCTCATGAACAAGAATGCACGAGATGCTTGCTTGCTGATAGCATCGATGTTTTTGTTTTCGTTCTGTTTGAACCACCGTCTTACTTTGTCGTCCCCACTTTGGCTGACTGATCATTGGGTGTACAACATGATACATAATATATATATGGATCAAAGGCACATCAATGTTAGATATACAGCTAAACGACCAAGATTGTCAGCAATTAGCATGAAACGATTGAAGTAAAATTGGACGAACGTTTGTGGATCCAGGATACACGTCTGAGCTGCCACACAAGATACAAATCCAGAGGATAAATTGAGACATATAGAAGACTAACAGAAATGACAGTGGTGGCGGGTGAGTCGGTGGGTGGGTGGGGTGGGGAGGAGGCGAGACGGCGCATCAATGTACCTGAACTCACTCGAGCGTGTAGGCCATGCCGTAGAACTCGGCATAGGGATACTTGACGAGGATCTGCTTGATAACCCACCAAAGCGGGGTTGCATAGGTAACATGCCTATGCATGCCTTGATGCATTCCCGAATGTAGCATGGCGAGCGCGTTTCCGTCTCCCGTGAAGATAAGCGAGCCTGAATCACCGGGACACGAAAAGTCTCCGGAAGTCTTGGTATAATTGTACATGGCGACCTCCCTAGATTCAAGGCCGATGTCCTTAGAGATATAGGACTCCATGCCAGAGTAGCGGCCTAAAGTAAGCTTTGTCGTATTCCCATATTTGGCAACGATGTAGCCAGGTTCGCCATTCATGTCCGTTGTGTCAGGATTCAGAGTGAGGCGGCGACTAAGAGCGGCACGGATGGGGAGTTGTAGGTTGCCTGGGATCCTCCGGTCGTCGCGGATGGCAGAGGTGGGCCAAAACAAATCCTCCAGCTGTGTGGCGTGGTACTGATTTCCCAAAACGCGGAATGTTAGGTAGCGAGATTGGAATGAAGGGGTCAGGACGCACCAAGATCAACGATGTTGCTCTCAAAATTCTGAAGCTTCTCCCCATTGACTACGAAGGTCGCGATGTCACGAGTGTAATGGCGATCGTCAACCCTGACGGAGATGTGCGGAGCATAGTCAACAACCCCGAACCTGCGGCCGTTGGTATCTTGCCAGGAGGTTTTGACTTCGGCTTCCAAGGCCTGAAGAGTAACGATGTCCTCGTTCTTCTCCTCCAGAGCGATCTTCCTGCGTCTCAGAGCCGTTGTATTCTCCTCAGGCGTGTTATTGAATTCCCTGGAAAGTCTGGAGGCGTCACGGACGCCCGCGATGGCGGCTTCCTCAATCTCGCTGATGGCACGATCGAGACGACGGTTACCACAAACAAGAATGTACTGAGGGTTGGCCTCGTCAAACACGTAATCGGTGGTGGTGTCGAGGGTGGCAACATGTTTGTTGGTGACGCCAAGGATCCTGTCGGAGGGCTCGCCGGTGCTAGTCTTCATCTCTCGGAACAGGAACGTGACGGTTCCTTGGCCGTCGTCAGACTCTCGGGCGATGGGGATGCCTATGCCAGTGTTAAACGGATGGTTATGGCCGAACTTGGCGCTGGTGTTGTCGACGACCCGCATTAGAGGAGGTCCGACCAAACTGGTGACCAACCCTTCATACCACTCGACAATAACATCAGTGATCTGAACATTGGCAAGGATCTTGAGGATGTCTGGCGTGGCATCACGAACCGCCGCCGCAGTAGTGGTCTTGGGACGAACTGCGATCCACAGAACCACAGGGCCGAACGTTTCCTCCTTGCCATCCTCGACGGTTGAGAAGCGAGCCGTCTTAAGCGCGGAGTATTGGAGGCGGTGGGATTTTATCGACACCAGGATCTGCAGAACGACGGTATCCCACACGGCGTTGAGCGGCGTCTTGGTGGGGATGTTGAAGAAGCGGGCTGCAGGCGGGGGAACAGGAAAGGGGTTGGTCTCGATATCAGAACGCTACATAAGCTTTGGAGCGTCACCGTAGACGCCGTGGGAACAGAAGTTGATCTCATACTTCGAGATCAGGTCGGATCTCGCGATAAATGCTCAGCACTCGTAACAAAGAACGGGAGACACTCACCCGTGTTCAAATAAGCTGGATCCATGGAAGAAGAGATTGGTCCGCGAGAGGGGGTAGTAAGAAAGCAACGCGTCGATAGAGTTGCCAGGAATGTGCACGTGAAGACGGAGAGGGTCCACGGAAGCTTCCACCCTTTGGTGTTCATTATCCGACTCACTGTGGGTGCGGGAACAACTCTCAGTCCTTGCCGGGTAACGAAAGTGGACCTCCTTCAAGTGCGTCGCCAAGTGATAAAAGACCTGGTCTCTGCATGTTATCTTCGGTTGTGATATCTTCCGCTCGCTCTTTCCATGAGATGACTATTTGGAGAGAAAAGGTCGGGCATAAAATATGTGCTGGGTCGAGGCAATAGTCCTCCTCCTGGACGCCTTTAACGCTTATGACGTGGCGGGTCCGTCCTTCATTTCGCCTGAATAATTTGCACTTACATATCTTCCGATTCCCCGGGTGAAAGTGATGGACAGGGAACTTCGATACATCCATACGGTCTGTGCGCAGAAGTATACAACTTAACCGCCTTTCTCCTTCAAGATGTGTGGCGGTGCTAAGTCACGTTCCGCCTTCCGGACCACCGCGCCGTTTTCTGCAAATGAACCGATTGTATGCCAGTATGATATCTAAAGGTCGCCTGACCATCGACTTAGTTTTGAACAATTCGCAAGCCTCGCGGCCCCCTATTGAAGAATACGAAAATGCTACGCCACTACCTATCCGCCTTATTCCGGGCCATGCAACGGACTTAAAGAAGAGCGCGGAACAGATCTCTCAACCAAAATGAACTGCTCCACCCGCAGAAGCATGCCAGCCTAGCATGGGGCAATCGTACTTCGTTACCCAATGCTACCTTCGCAATCCATCCCACAACCATGGAGGTAAACAATAGTGTCAGCTCGAAGGATGCTGCCAGTATCAAAGAGGTCAAGGAACGCATCGAAGTAGCCGGGGTTGCGCCAGAGCCTGTGACAGTAGACGTGAACGTAGAGAAGTCGATTTGTTTGAAGCTTGACACTTGTCTTTTGTACGTTTTTTGTGCCTGACATCCACGCGTACGGAAGTGCTCAAAGCAACATCAGACCTCTCTTGACGCTCATGTATCTATGCAATGCACTCGACAAAGGGAATGTAGCCAATGCTAAGACAGATGGTAAATGGAAATGTATATGAATATACTATCGAACTCAGGCCGATATTATTCTAGGTATGGACATCGACCTTGGCTTCGTGGCAATCAATACAACGTTCTCTTATCCGTATTTTTTGTCCCTTTCGTTCTCTCCGCCTTTCCCGTCACAGTGGTTGGCAAGATCTATGAACCATCGCTAGTATTACCTCTCTTGATGTTGTCCTTTGGCGCGATGACGTTGCTAATGGCCGCAACCCAGAACTTTGTGCGCTTCCTCTGCTGCCTTTGCCTTCCGTCATTGATATTGGATCATAGGCCGGAATGATGACTGTGCGCTGGTTCCTCGGTATGGCCGAAAGCGGTTTCTTCCCGTTGGTGATATACTACTTGACAACATTTTATCGTCGAGGGGAGCTTGCTCGACGCCTTGGCTTCTTCTATGCTGCCTTCAACGTCGCGAGCGCTTTCAGTGGTTTACTCTCGTTCGGCGTATTCCAGCTTCATTCCGGCTCCTTGCAGGCATGGAGATACCTCTTTCTAATCGAAGGTGCAGCTGCCATCCTTATCAGTGCCGTCGCCTATTGCATCCTTCCCCGTTCGCCCGCGACGGCTCGATTCCTCAGTAAAGAAGAAAGAATCCAGGCTACACTTCGCATCCAGCACGACTCATCGGCAATCATTGATGAAAAGCTATCCTTGCGTGACGCACTTCGTGTTTTCCTCCACCCCGTCGCTTGGGTGTGGATGTCCATCGAGATCTTCATGGGCATACCAATGCAATCGGTGGCTTTATTCCTGCCCCAAATCGTGCAGCGCCTCGGATACGGAACAGTCAAAACGAATCTGTTCACTGTTGCACCAAATGTCGCAGGTGCTGTGGCATTGATTGTTCTAGCATACATCTCCGATTACACGCGTCTTCGCTTCGCGTATCTGGCGCTTGCGCTCGTATTCCCGTTCGTCGGCTTCATACTCTATGCGACACTCGATCTGAACAATCAACTGAACATCGCGTATTTTGCGACATTTCTCATGTGCATGGGCTCTAGCGCACCTTCGGTCCTGCTGGCAACATGGTACAACAACAACACGCCCGGAGAAGGGAGATGCAGTGCCCTCACCGCAGTTGGCATCCCACTCGGCAATTTGATGGGCGTCGTTACGAGCAATATCTTCCTTCCGAAGGACGCCCCGACGTATATGCCAGCCCTGGTTACATCGGCCGTCTCCAGTGGTTTGGGTGTGCTGACGGCGTTGCTACTTGGAGTATGGATGCACTGGGACAATTGGCAGAGAAATATCTGTTCGGGAGAGGTGCTGCGAGTAGAGGATGTTTCGACCGAGGCACTTCATGAAGGGCCAGACAACCCTTCCTTTAGATGGTTCCTCTAGTAACTGCCTGCTATTATCGGGGGGACCTTAACAAGTTTCCCCAACACAACGTGGCTATTCATACGTTCGTACATTGCGCATTCGTATTTCATACGATAGGTGGCTTGTTACATGATGACAGAGAAAGCTCATTGTTAACGTATTGTATAACACTTGCACGGTTCCGTATCAGAATGCTCTTCACAAGTGTTCATCTCACCGCACGTTCGTACCACCATATCCCGTGCTCGTCCGCATCTGTCCTCCATCGCTGTCCCCGCCTCTCCTCCTCCTGGGCCCAGCCGTAGCTGGTCCCCTGTCCTCTCCCACCACCACCCTTTCGACTACCCTTGGTGCTCCCCATCCACCTCCCCATCCCAGCCCACTGCCCCACCCAGTATTACCACGCATGTACCTCTCCCTCTCCCAATCATACTCCCTGTTCCGCTGGGACCTGTTGTACATCGCCGCTGCCGCCCCTCCTAGCCCAAGGCCTGTCCAGAAGCCGGGGGTCCAGCTGTCGCCCGTGCCTGAGCCGGAGGTGGTCGGAGGCTTGGGTCGGTATCCGGGATACGGAGGTGGGGGATCCCCTGGATTCCTCGGGGCTCCGCCTCCGCCAAACCATGAGCCTCCATTTCCTCCAGATGGACGAGGCGGGGTCCTGCCTGAGAACGATGATGTAACACCGCTCGGGAAGAACGGTGCTAGTACATGGGTGATGAATTTGTAGGCGATCCAGATGGCGACACCCCAGAACAAGAACCAGAAGATATATTTTTGGACAGTCTCCGCGGTTGTTGGAGGTGTGCCGTAGGTAGCGCTATAAGAAGGTAGTTCGACCAGGCGGTACTCGAGCCCGCAGGAGCCTAAGCAGGTATTAGCAGTGCAAACAACTACGCCCGGCGAACAGCGTACCTTTCAGAACGTATTCGTCGCCGGGGGCTCTCCAACCTTCACAACTGACTTCGACTCCTCCAAGTCTCATACCCTCCGGCAGGTCCGCCTCGCAACGCCACTGCACGTCGTTCCCCGCCCCACCCATGTTGTAGCATTGGATAACGTCGGGCTTGTAGTGCTTGCATGCTGCCCCTTTGCACGTTAGTTGGGGAATTGGCGACGTGCGCCTCGAAAAAGTCTTTCGGTCGGCATGAAAGGTGAGGGTCTTGATATCGGATAGTTTCACGCGAGTGTTTCCCACCATTGTTGGGATGCCTTTGCAGCAGATGCCACAAATGGCGGTTTGACAGTCGAGTTCTGGTCAGAACAAGGTGCTCCTCGCCTCCGTCCAAAGACGATATATGAGTTCGAATTAAGCGCTCGATGGTATACGCGTCGTTCGGCGGTCAACGTGTCGCACGACGTGGAACGGGTCTGTGCGCAGCGCCGTGTATACTTAGCAGCCGAGGCCCGTGTCTGTCGGTGGGCAACTTGGTGCTCATTTTGTTTGACTTACCGCAGTTACTGCCGATAGGTTGAATTGCGCTTGGTAGCTCTTGGTAATTCTTAGAAAGAAAATTCACTTTATCAACTTTCTCAATTTATCTCATTTTATTTACGGACTCACCGGAGCCGACTGGTTTCCCCGAAACTCCTTTGATCACGTGATTTGGGGTTCTGGAAGGTTCGGAGGCTGTTCGGCTTCGGCATGGGACGCCTCCGGAACTGACAACGGTTCGTTCGCTTCTGTCGCCTCTTCGGTCCGTCGTTTCTTTCTTCGAAGCGGATAGCACCTCATCGAGCCATCCTCCACCTGACCATACCTCCACTTTATCAATGCTCTTTGGGGCAAACTACAATTCGAATTCATCAATCGAACACAAACTGGTCTCAAAGCAATTGCGAGTTTTTCCTAAGGGGCGCTCGTGACCCGAAGCGCTACAGCATGCTGGGTTAGGTTCCGCGAACACGGTTGTCAGCTTGGTATAGCATCTATTCTTGGACAGTATAGGAATGCTTCTCGGTATTCGCAAAGTGCCGCTGGTTTCCCACAATTCCTAGGATGCCATACAACCCTAAACCTCAAAATATGGCGGAAGCCGAACATCGATTCTGTTCGACGACAGGAATACTGAACGTAATCACTTGTGGAAGAACTCGAGCGGGGAACCGTGTCTCCGCACTACCTTATGCAACGTCCCGCCGTTCCCCGGTTCCCGGTTGCTTCGGTCTTTCTTCTCGGGAGTCTACTCATCCCGATGCCCACGCAAGATTTGGAGGACTCACGAACGATGCATCGGGCAGATCGTGCCGACTTTCCGGAGTTCTGAACCTATTGTGAGGCAGCAAGGCACCTCGAGCCACATTGATCAGTCGATCCCTGCTCGGAACTTAGCGGTCACCCCAACCGGCCCCGGAAAAGTTCATCTGGCGATATGAACACTCTCGCCCCGCTTTCCGGAACTCCATACCCCATTCGGCAACCACTCCTCTTGGTCCTGTTGCATGTTGCTCCGTATGTTCAGTCCTGCGGGAAGTGAATCCAAGCGAATCGAAAGGGGAATGCAGAAGAATTGCCCCGCAAGGGCCCCACACGGGGCATTCTTTTGCTCGGAACCTCGCTACTGAATAGGAAGGTATTTAACCCAGGCCAAAGAAGCATCACATCGCATTCCGAAAACTGCGTTTCTTATCTCTTCCGGACACACAATCTGATCAACCGGTCGGGACGCTTAAAGACTTTGTGACTTACCTTACGAACCCCACATTCCACTCTGGGACGACCCACGCTCCACTGTCGGCAACTACCCGGTAGAACACCATTATTTGACGCCATCCACAGCCCAGCACTTCGTGTACCTGGCTGCCTGACTTTAACTACTTCGCTGTGACGTACCTTATCTCCTCTAACTGCAACAGCCATGTCTGGTCCTGGAGATAAACAGCAACCGCTGCAATATGAGCACAACGACCTCGCCTCTCCAACGGAAGACCTCAAGGTCGACTATGACGAGAAGTCTAGCCACGACCAGAATGGAGGTACTATCGTCAAAGCGAAGGGAATGGCGGGCTCAGCGCTTGCGGACGCCTTGCTCAAGGAGCCGCCCAATCCTTGGGCGCCTCACATGTTCAAGCTTTATGCTGTTCTTTTTGTTTCTTACCTTTGCGCTACTACGTGAGTAGTCTCTCGATTCTACATGGGTTTGAACGGCACTCATAGAGACTGCAGAAACGGATTTGGTAGGCGTCCTGTGGGAAAGCGAAAAGGGAAGCACTGCTCATGAGGCTCGTAGATGCCAACACCTTTGGTGGTCTTCTTGCTACACCCACATTCACCAGCTACTTCGGTTTGAACAGCGACAACGAAGGTCTTGTCACGGCTATGTACGTCATCGGAAACTGTGTTGGGTGCGTTATTTTTTACTTGTAGAGTCTGCCGTGTTCCTTTGACTGATCACTTTCAAAGGTCTGTCTTCGCAGCAGAGTGCGCTGACCGTTGGGGTCGACGCTTTGGCATGACTCTCGGTTCCTGCATCTGTATCCTCGGTGTCATCCTGCAAGTCTCGTCCGACAACCGTGGCATGCTCATGTCTGGTCGGTTTATCCTCGGCATGGGTGCCGTCATTGTGCACACAGCAGGACCGGCCTACGCTGCGGAGATGAGTCACCCAGCTTACCGTGGCGTGCTCACTGGGATGTACGAGACATGTTTCTTCATCGGTACAATTTTGACCACCTGGACGGAGTATGGTTTGTCGTACATGAACAGCACGTCCTCCTTCCATTGGCGCTTCCGTGAGTCTTCTTGATGATCCTGAACTGTTTCAAGGAGTTCTAATATTTCTCAAGCTCTTTCCCTTCAATCCCTGCCTTCCCTCATCATTCTCACCTTCGTCTGGCGGATCCCTGAGACTCCCCGTTGGTATATGTCTCAAGATAAGGAAGACAAGGCCAAAGAAATTTTGGTGAAATACCATGCTGGTGGGAATGAAGATTCCCTGGTGGTCAAAATCGAGCTCGACGAGATGCGCGAACTCATCTCCGTGAACGGTGCCGACAAACGCTGGTGGGACTGGCGCTGCCTATTCGACACGCGTGCAAACAGGCACCGGTTCGCTTTGGTTGCGGCCATTGCGTTGTTCGGTGAACTCGATCTGCCGCCGACTTCGTATTGTGCGTTTCTCCCAACTTTGGGGTAGACACTTTCTTAATTGTGTCCTTCAGATCTTCCCCTCATGGTTGCCACTGCCGGTATTACAAGCAGCAAGACCCAGCTGCTTTTGAACGCTCTTCAGACACCAATCATGATGATCTCCGCTCTGTCGGGTCTGCGGTGGATCGACCATTTCGGTCGTCGTCCGCTACTGATGATCTCATCCGCCGGCATGGCGGCTTCGGTCTTCATCATCACGGCCTGCACGGCTCATCAGGCTGGCCACCCTGTAATCGGGGGTGTTGGCATCGCGTTTATCGTATGTCGTGTCTTTTTTTGTAATCCATTCCCGATTCTCATCTTCGCACACTAGTATGTCTTCCTTGTCATCTTCGCCTTTGCCTGGACGCCTTGTCAATACTTGTACCCGTCCGAAGTCCTGAGCTTCTACAACCGTGCCAAGGGTCTTGCCGCGCTCAACCTAATGAACAACCTCTGCAAAGTGCTCAACACATACGTGCCACCTATCGCAGTGAAGAATATGAACTACCGCTTCTACATTCTCTACGGCGTTTGGGATGCTGTTGGGTACGTGCTCTAACCCAAATTGTGATGAGGGAAGCCGACTGATCTCGAAACAGTGTCGTGTTCATGTGGTTCTACTTTGTGGAGACCCGCGGCCGGAATCTGGAAGAGATCGACGCGATCTTTGCGGATCCACATCCTGTCAAGGCCTCGCTGAAGATGCAAGTGCACGAGATAGCTGTCGGGGATCAGAGTGCGTATAACCCTTCTCTCCTGGTTACCACACCCTCTAACCCTTAAACAGAGGCGTAATCGCTTTGGGGTTAAGGAATTTCTTCTGGAACGACTGAATGAATGATAATAAATTATGGCCAACGTTTACGGGGTATGTAGACACCCAACATGTACTGAGTTTTTCTGGGAATCTTGTACTGGCACTCCTCCATCTTCTGATAACTGAAGATGTAGTTGCTAGAGTATGCATTGCCCAGAAACAACATCGCACGAGACCATTGACGGTTGATATCGTGCTATACAAGCCAACATCGTACGGCTCCATTGGGTCACATCTTCCATTTCCACCCATCCCTCCTCGCAATCTCGACTCTCAACCAAGCCGCCCCCACCGACGCGGCTCCGAGGACCGCCCCGTTCAGAGCAATACTCTCCACATACCCACTCCCACCCGGGATACCGGCTACGTCCGCCAGCGCCCCCTGGCCTGCATAACCCCGCAGGAGGAGAGAGGTGAGGGGGGTGCCGACTAAGGTGCCCAGGCCGCGGAGACAGTAGAGCAGGCCGTTGATGGAGGCGAAATGCTGCACGCCGAAGAGCTCGACCAGGATGGTAGGGAAGAGGGAGACGTACCCTGCATCCCAAGAACAAACGTAAACCACCTGCAGCAGAACGAGAGGAAGAGACTCACCTCCCGCGGTAAGCCCATACACCACAACGAAACCGTAGAAGAGAGGAGTAGTCTCCTGCCCAGGAAGGGCAGCGCTGGGCATCCAGAGAGCTAGGACACCGGCGGCGCTGACGATACAGCAGAAACAGAGCATGTTGAGCCTGCCGTAGCGGTCTGCCAGTGCGCCGAGGACGATCTTCCCCAGTGCTGAGAGGCCGTTTGACAGCCCGACTTGGGGAGGTCAGCGTTTGCCGGAAGCTGAGAAGGGAGACGTACGCAAGTTAGCTCCTTGCTGTTTCGTTAGCCCGACCTTGTACGCGTAGCTCGCTATGAAGTACAGGGGGAAATAGTACCCCGCTGCTTGGAGCACAGCTGTGCCGCTCTTGATGCCAAACAGTTTCCCTCTCGCCACGCGCCAGTTGACGAGCTGCATCCCGCCTCTCCTCGGCCGCCCGTCCTGGCCAGGGCGGAAACCGGGCGCCCAGTCCAGGAGGAGCGCAGCAAGAGCTATAAGGACGAACCCGACACTGCCGGTGATACGGAGTGCGTTCCTAAACCCAAGGTTTTGGATCATGACATTCGTTAAAGGACTCCAGACGAGCCCGCCTAGACCTGTGCCGCTCAGAACTATCCCCATCGCTAGTGCTCGATTACGGTCGAACCAGCCGGGGGAGACGGTAACGGCTGGGATGTACGAGAGGCAGGTGCCGAGACCGACGGTCACCCCTTGGGTGAGGAGGAACTGCCAGAGGGAGGTACAACTGCCTGCTATGATCATCCCTAGAGAGAATAGAACGGCACCTAGGAGGGTTACGCGGGAAGGGCCGTACTTGGCAGTCCAGTATGATGTCCAGGGAGCGAAGATCGTCATGAGGCTTACTGCTAGTGTTCCCTGAACAACAAACCGGTGTGAGCTATAGCTTTATGTATGGGAACGCACGATTAAATCGACTTTAGCCGCGGCAACTTGTCCCCCAAATGGCCCGTCTACACTCTCATAATGCTCTTGATAGCACCCGAAAGCGAAGTTCAGCCCACAACCAGTGAAAGTACAGCAGGTAGCAGCGAAGATGATCGAAGTACGTCGCCATTGGCTTGCGGAGGGTGTGGCGGGGAGGACATCGACCGCGTTTGAGAGTGTTGGTGATGCGGACGTAGGAATAGGCTGGAGCTCGAGGTCCGCTGACGGGGAGAGGCTGTTGGAGGGCACGATGACTTCTGTCGTTGAGGGCGCTTTGGAATTGTTGCCAGTCATATTCGCTGTCCAAGTATAGCTCAGCAGTTCGATCGTCCCGAATATATAGACACCAGAGCAAGAATACTGCTAAAGACCAATAGACCGAGTCATTACTTTGTTTATTAATGCACTTAGTGTGGAGTATTACACCATATTACATCGGGAGAGTGAGGAAAGTAATAGGCCGAAATGGTCCGATCATCCGCGGAGATAAGCCAAGACTGAACAAGCGCCGAGCACAGCCACATAGGGTTCTCTCAACGCGACTTTGTTCTTCATTGTTCACTTGCAACCAACGACAAGAAATACTATGACAGACGTACGCTCCCTCCTCCGTTCCCACCAGCAGTCGACTACTAGAATAACTCATCCACTCGCATCATATAATGCTGCAGGGGCACTGAGATGTCTAGCATGTGGGACACCCGTTCAGCCTCGAGCGTGGGAGGGACACGTCGTCTCCAAGTCCCATCGAAAACGGGCAGCAACATTGAAAGCGGAAGAAGGGAGGAAGGGAAAGAGGAAACATGAGGAGGAAGAGGAGGTGAGGGAGGATAAGAGACCGAGGCTGATGCCTGAAGAAGAAGCGGAAGATGTAGAGATGAAGGATGCACAAGCTTCACCGCCTACTGCAGCTTTCCCTGCTGGCTTCTTCTCCGACCCATCAAGAGCACCACCACCCCGCGACCATACACCAGACGGCGAACCCCCTCCCCCTCCTAGCACTGCATCTCTCCCTGATATTCCTCTTCCCGCAGCAGCCCCATCAGCGCTAGACGCAGAGTTCGACCTCTTTTTACAAGATGTGCTCGCCCCTTCCGCACCACCACCACCGGAAGAACAGATGTTCGCACGAGCGACTGTGTTTGCCGAGCCTGAGCTTGCGACCCCTGAGCGTCCGGAAGGCTTCCCCCCATCTGCTGCTGTTGCCTCCCACCCCGCCGAACCCATACCCGCTGAACGTGCGCGCCCGCGGACGGACGTACAGACCGCTTCTGGCGAGGCACCGCGTGCAGAAGAGACAGAGTCCGAGAAGAGAGAAAGGAAGGAGAGGGAAGAGAGGGAGCTGATTATGGATCGGTTGAAGGAGGAAGAACGGGCGCAGGAGGAGGCGGATGGGAGGGTGGAGAGGTTGAGGGCGAAATTGGAGGGTATGAGGAAGCTGAGAAGAGAGAAGATGGGTCGGTGAGCTGGGATTTTGTGTGTGGGGGGAGAGAGCAGTATGGACAAGCTGGTTGAGCGAAATGCTATTTGGTGTTCCTCTTACTCTGTAACTGAGTGCACATTCACACAAGAGATGAGGCGCTGAGCACCATGCCATTACCATATGTATGAGTGGTGCGCCCACAGCGCTAGTTTAGTTGTACATTGTGCTCCTTACGCTTTCCATCCTCTTTCCGCATAATGCTATGCGGTCTTTTGCCCCTCCTTCACAGCCCTCTCCTCGTTTACCGCCTTCTTAGGGGCTCCGGCCATCCATTCCCCCCACCAGCTCTCCCGTTTATGGAACATCATCAGCCCAAGAATGACAGGCAACCACCACAGACAGGTCGTCCACAATTTCCGGGCAAGTTTCTCACTCGGGTGCCCGCCCTCGACCGCCTGCCACCAGGTGTACGCCGCCCTGAGGCAAAAAGCATTCGGTACGATGCTCGTGAGCGCGAACGCCCAGGTTGTTAGGCCGCTAAGGGGGATGAGGACTGAGCAGATGGGGAAAAGGAGTGTCGCATGACGAAGGGAGACCATGGCGTTGTGCTTCGGCTCGGTGACGCTTAGCATCTGGTACCCAGCACGGGCGTAGCCGTCCCGCGTCAGGTGGGCAAGGGGGTTGAAGTGGGGGAACTGCCATGAGAAGAGGAGGGCAAAGAGCGCCAGAGCGGCGAGGGGGTTGTCCGCTGCTTGCAGGGTGTCAAGCACTGTGCTGACGGGCAGGATCCCTGAGTCGGGGGGGAGGAAGCCGTCTGGAGGAGGGGTGAAGATGGCTTGGAAGAATGGAGGGAGGTGGAAGGTGATTGGGTGTGCTTGGGAAGGGAAGAGCGCTCCTCCGCAGGCTGTCCAGCCCATTACGGGCGGGATGGCACCCACGACTGCGCCGACCCAGGTATTGGCTATGTGCATCCGTTTCATGGGCGTGTAGAGGCCGGCATAGAGCCAGATGTTAAATGCTCCTAGCGCTGCTGTGAGCGGGTTTACGCAGGCCCAGAGGATACCGATCCCTGCTAGGCCGGAGACGGTGCCGAATGCTGCTGCGTGGGAGGGGGAGACGACACGCCGCACCAAAGGGCGGTTGCGTGTACGCACCATCTGTGCGTCGAACGGCGCTTCACTGAGTTGGTTGAAGGTGTTTGCAGAGGCGGAACAGAGGAATGTGCCCAGGGCGGTGGAGAGGAGGACGGGGACTGTCGCTGGCAAGGGGGAGAGTGCGACGCCCGACATTGCAGTTAGGACGATGAGTGTCGTTAGCCGTGCCTTTGATAGCTGGGAGTAAACACGCAATAGTCGGGGAAACGTTAGAGGTGGGTGCGGCTTGAACTTGTCTAGAGGGATGGGGGAGGACGGCGGTGGTGGTGTGGGTGCAGCGGGACGGTCAACCCGCCGACGAACAGGGTGGGTAGCGTCCAACCTTGACTCCAGATCTACCTCTCGCTCCTCCACGCTCGCGGGCCCGTTGGCGGCAAGGAGTGCTCCCTGCCATCGTACGTTGTCAGAAAAGAATGTGGAGTTGCTCAGGACGCGGTGGACGGCGGAGGTGACGCTCGGTGAGGGGCGGGAGGTGAACAGTGTCCGGGTGGTGGTGAGGCGTGCTGCTGCTCGACTACAGCGGAGGCAGGTGGTTGACCGGAGCAACTCCATCGGGTGTTTATATCCTAGAAATTGCCTGCTCTGTTGGGTGAACGACGAGGAGGGGGGTTGAGACGACGAGGGCGAGGATTGGGACGACGAGCAGACACAGAGAGAGAGGAGGCCGACCAATTACTCTTTTTGGAATAGTGATTGCCTCCGGATTCCCATCAATCAACGGTCATTGCCTCTCCGTCTTTCTTCTTGCTTATTTTTAAATCGAATGGACATCACTCTGCTCGGTTTCAGTCTTCAATTGTCAGTCAACCACTCGCACCTCCGAGGAATCAAAGAGATACATGCATTTTTATTGAACGACAGTTGCTTTCTTGACTATACCAACAACGGGACAGTAGCAAACAGCGCAGGAGGCCGCGAATCCTTGTCATCCTGGCTCCTGGCAGCTCCTACCAAAACAAACCTACGCAATCAAAACCTTATGCTCCTGAGGGTTGGCGAGCTGCGGAAGCTGCAGCGTCAACAGGCCATTCTCGAACTTGGCAGAGATCTTCGCCCCGTCCACGGCCTTCGGGAAAGTGAACGAACGGGTGAACGTGCTCTGATACGTCTGCTCTTCCTCGGTTTTCGCGACTTCCTTGCCTCCAGCAGGAGCGGAAACGGCTTTCGTCGTCGCCTTGCCCTTCTCTTCCTTGTGCTCCGAGATAGTCGCCTGGGGCTCAGGAGCAGTCGCCGTGCGCCGGAAGGTATGACCTTCGATGGTGAGCGTCCTCCCGCCCTCGGTAATCCTCACATCAAGATCTTCCTTCCTCACTCCCGGAAGCTCAGCCTCGACGACGTACTCTCCCTTCTCCTCGGTCACGTGGCAGGGAGGAGTGCGAAGCACGGGGAATCCAGAGCGCTGGATCTCTTGGTCGATGGCGTGGGAGAGCTGCTGCTGCTGACGCCAGAGGCTGTCGAACGGGTCTTGACGGCCGCGCCGAGTGAGGAACTCGTCGCCGAAGAAAGGTTCGTTGAAGAATGAGCGGATGAGGGACATCTTTTTTGCTGTTGATGGAGTGCTGACTGTTAGATCTTGGGGTTTGTTTTTGTCCTTGGTTGCAGACAAGCGCAATTATCGGGGGTTATATACCTTGCACCCCCCCTTCCCCTCGCGAAATCTCTAGAACCGCACCATCCACACACCGATTGACGCAACGTCACAAGGTCACAAGGCCTCCCTTTCAGCACCTTTCATGTACAGAGAGAGGGCGCGCCGAGTCGGTCGGAGAGCGTTCTCGCACGTGATACAAAGTTCTAGAAGCGGGAGCATTATCTGGGCTGGACCAAAGCATATCAAGAACGACGAAGTCCTGAATTCGGCGAAAGTCGCTGAATTGGAATTTCCTTCGGTGCAACTTGTTCCAAGAAGGGCGACGAACATCCCAGTGTTTGCGACGGTGCGAGCGATTCGCCGCCGGCTTTTGGGTCACGTGATCGTTCCCCTCTGGCAGTTATCCGAAGTGACTCACTTAGGCTTTGTAAATCTTGCATCGTCTAGGAAATAATAACACGCGGAATATTGGTTTGACTAACACCCTACAACCTCCCCTGTCCACGTGACACCAGCCAGAGAGGGAAACCACCCGATCTCCGGTGAATGGCTTGCATTCCAGCGCATGACTTCCCGCCGAGAACGGAGGCGGGACTGGGTGCCGGCAGATGCTCGGTCTCTAGAACGACCTCCGGCCGGTGCGGGGAACGTCAATGTCTTGATCTACAGGGAACCCGATCAAGGCTTGTGATATCTCATGTCGTTCTTCGGGACGAGATGTCTCGACCCAGCGGCGCGCCGATGTCCTTTGTAGGAAACGGAACGGTGCCACGGCATGCTGATCCGGTTGTCTCAGTGCAGAGGGAATAGGATGTGGACTGCGAATTGCATAGTATTACAGTGGAATCCTGCACGAGGTGACGCCTACTCCTCTAATAGAAACTCCCCGATGTGCTGCTTCATCTCTTCTTCCCTGACTCTTCTGACCCACACGGGCATGGGCATTCCGGTACTTCCAGACCTGTCTGCATCCTGTGAAGCGATTGACCGCACTTTCCCAGCTCCAGTTCCTCCCCGAGATGTGAGATGCGTATAGCACGAATAGCACAGCCCATCCGCGAGTCCCTGCGCACCAGGCAAGGGCGGCGTCTTGGGCGGAGCGAGGGGGTCGTTTCCCCCATCTGCTAGTGAAGGCAGCACGAGAACCGCCGTCCCCGCTTTCCATCGGGTGGCGTTCTTCTGCGCTGGTCGGAGGCAGTACGCGCACCTGTATGCCGCCGGTTCGGCGGGGACGACCTTTGTCGCTGTCTTGGATATGGTGGAGACTGTGCTTGGGTAATCCCTCTCCAGGCCGAGGACGAAGTCTTCTGTCAGCTTGCTGAGCGTTTTCCCTCCTGAAGGGGCGAGTAGACGATCGGGCTTGCCGTCTACTCCGCGGGGGACGGGGAGCGAGCGGGAGTGCAGCCACCAGCCTAGCTCTTTGAGGCTCCAGTCTCGGAGTGGACGGATGACGTGTACCTCTCCCAGGGGGAGGGAGACGGACTCCTCTCGCTCGGAACCGAGGGAAAAGCCCCCGCCGTATGCGACGTTCTCTAGCAGATCGACGGAAAGTCGGGGAAGGCAGGTGCCGAGCATCAGGACAGAGCAGGAGAGGGCGCACGTTGTGTTCAGTATCAGAAGACGGGTGAGGGTGCGCAGCATTGCTGGGATCGCAGAGGGCGTGGGCAGGCTAGCGAGGTGGGCGCGAAGTGTGGCAATGGGGTCGCTTGGTCCAGCTCCCATAGGGGAGGGGAGAAAAGGGAGGCGGTCAGAGTGTTGGTTGACCAGAAGTTCGCTTGTCGGGCGAGGCATTCCAACTGCACTTGTCCATGCCGCGTCGAATGCCGCTTCTCCCATCACCATGGTTAACTCGATCCCGTACCGCTGGCAAGCTTCCCTCAGAGATTCGACAACGCTCTTCCCTCCCAAGCAGCTCCAGTCCACATATACAGCTCTGACGCTCCCAACCTGCCGGCGCTCGTCCTTCCTTCCCGAGCCCTCGACAGAGAAACACTTCCACACCATGTCGAGGAGGACGGTAGAGCTCGGCCCGCCAGACAGGGCGAGGACAACATCTGGCGGCGGGGTGCGGGAGGGTGTACCTCGAGGGGGTGCTGCTGGGTCGAGTGATGCGGAGAGGGCGCGGCGGAACTTGCGGATGAGCATTGCGGGCAAGCAGGAGAAGCAGTAGACCGCATGCTTAATTACGAGGTTCCCGCGGTGGGACTTGCACTTGATGCATGTCTGGTCGCGGTCGTACCGCGGGCGCTCTGTTTTCTGTTAGTCACAAGTTGTGAATATGAGATGAAACTGTTAGGGCGTACTAGGCATCAAGTCCTCCGCTGATGGGGGCCCCTCGCACGACATGTCGACCTTGACGCTGGATGGATTGACAGAAATATCAACTTGTGTAAGCTCGATTGTTCTTCCGATGGTTGAGCAGGTGGGAAGTGTCCCTGAGAGATGCTTCGCTCGTGTGCCAGGAACTGCCCGGGTAATCAATCAAATCGGCACAGGATTAGACAGAAATTTTGTGGAAGATTGTTGAGCTAGAAAGAGAGATGGCGGAATGTTGTCGGATTAATTGTGCAGACAGTAGATATTGTAGCACTTCAACAACAAGAAAAATATGAGAGCAGCAGATGAATAAATGACAATGACTCGCACATGATTTGAGTTTCGGCGGTAACAAAGGATTAATTGGAATAATTTGGAAGTCAGCCGGAGCGGAATCAATTTCACTCTTGGCTAAGCGGAGGCAATTAGGGGCGTGACGAGTGGACCGTTGGTGGGCCGTTCGTTCCCCCTTCGCTGATCGCACATCTTGCGGCCGGAGCTCATCAAGTCGGCGCATCTCCCTTCCTCCCCACCACCATCCATAACGTACAGCGCGCTCACACGAAGACAGCGACGACACCCTGCATGTCGTTCTTCTGCCAGTGGACTCCATCAAGACCGTAGCTCGCGTAGATCAGCGCCAGCCACAATAACAGCGCAAACTTACTCCTTCTGTACCTGCGGGCCATCTAGCCGTCATCGACGATGAATGCCGATCAGCTACAACCTCAGCCTCAGGCAGGTCCATCGCGTCCGCCTACCCCACCTCCACCTCCAATATACTTCCCACCGTTTCGTGCGTTCTTTTGATGCCGATAAGTGCATATATGCTGACCGGTCGCACAGCGCCACCCGCTCCGACCCCCGTTTCCGGCACCCAAGACTTATTAACACGATATCATCTTTTACCCTATTACGCTCACTACGCAAGACCATTCCTAACTCCCGTCACCCCCGTATCGAGCGATCGAAAACGGAAACGAGATGCGGGAAAGGAAGTCAAGTTCGTTGGCATAGTCGAGCCTGTTCGCCCTGACGGTACACCTCGAGGTGGAACACCCGTTGGATTGGATAGGATGGACGTGGATGAGCCGGAGGGTAAGGGGAAAGAGAGGGAGACGACCGTGAAGATTGAGGAGCCGGATGCAGTGACTGGGAAAGGGAAGGACAAGGAAAAAGAACGACCGAAGGACAAGGGAAAGGGAATGGAGAAGACTGCCACATCCACATCGGTGCCCGGCCCGTCAAATTTGGCCTCTACTCCAGGAGGCAAGAAAAAGATGAAGCGGGACAAGGACAAGAGCAGCATGCCGAAAGTGAAACATGGATATCGCCATTATCTATGGGGTTTGAAAGGCATGTCACGGTCATCGCACACTATATGCACATCATGCTGATCGTATGCAACAGGACGGGTTAATACGAAGAAGGACCGATTCCTCCTGAATCTTATCCAAGCTCCAGCAAAGCAGCAGTTACATGTCAAGCCGCTGGAGCAGAAGACGCTCCGTGATGCTTTCAACCTGAAGGAAGGTGTATTACCAGATGTGAGTAACAAAGCAGACTTGTTTGTCTGTGCAGAGTTTGAACTTGGCGGATGCAGTACGATCCTCTGCGATATACGGATTCCCCATTAATCAGCGAGAAGAAGAAGGTTAGTAGTATTATTAAGCCGGATGACGCATGTGTTAACATGCATCTCAGCGAAAGCTCGCAGAACGAGCCGCTCGATTGGCCGCCCGCGAACGTGCAAAGTCAGCTCGTAGCGCCGGTGCTACGGCCGCACCTTCAGCAGTCCCACCAATGACGTCTAAGGTGGCGTCCACATCAGCCCACCCAGCCATATCAGCGACTGTGCATGTACCCATCGGCGGCGGTGTTCCCACACCAGCAACAACCAATGCTGGCACACCGCCCACGACACCTGGCTCACCCCTACCAGGCACTACTGGCCCTCCGGTCGCCGGACGCAAGCTGATTGGTAGCAGCGGCTTGAAGAGGGCCCATGTCCCTGGCTCGCCATCCCGGGCCTCCCTCACGGCTGGTGGCTCTCCTTTCCCTAAGGTGTCCTCGCCCATGCCTCAGGTGTCTAGCCCCTTACGCCAGGCCGCTCCCGGAACATCGACCACTGTTGTGCGACCCAGTGGCCTAGCGACAAGCACATCACAGCCTCGAACTACCGGTGCCGGACCTGCAAAGCCAGTCGTGCGGCCCTCGGGCGTTGGGGAGAAACGGAAAGAAGCGCCGGGAGAACTGGAGGGAGAGCGCGACCGGCAACGAGCGAAGAAGACCGTTCCCAGTGGTATCCCTGGTGTGGGGAAAGGAGGGAAGAAGCGCAAGGTGAACGGGGCAACTGCTTGATTTGCGTCTCCTTTCAACGTTCTCTTTAATGCCCTAGGACCCTCGCCGGTACTATAACAGATGCGCATGCAGCTCGACATGCGCTTGCTGCTTCTAGGTATCGGCGGCCGGTAACCTCATCGACCTATCGTCACTATCCACCCACGCCTGTATTGCTACTACACACCCCTATTTGCTTTCCTCTTCCCACCGAGTCTTCTCTTCTTTTGCGTTCCTGGTTTACTTGCTTACTTGGCCTCTGCATCACGAAAACGACGACGGTCGTAGCCCAATTATATTTGTAGACTGCTTGGCATGTCTGTTTTGTACTGTTTCTTGTCCTGGTTTCAGCAATTCATCTTCTCTGCTATTTGTGGGCCACGCAAGCGAACAAGAAATGAGATAGGTATTAGATTCAACAGTGACTAGCTGAACTGGTGCAGAATCAACCGCCCAAGTAAAACGCGCGTTGACTTATCATCCAAAAGAGTGAGCTTGCTATCAACATATCCCATATCAGCGAGAGTGTTGAACGAGGTAAATGAGTGAAACGTACAGGCAACGACAATAGGACTGATGGCACCTCCTGTCAGGCCGCAGGTGCCGAAGACGAGGAGCTCGGTGAAGAAATGTACGGCGGCGATCACGTATGTCGCAATAGCGATATCGTATACACTATATAACCCCCATCCCTCAATCAGCCCTCATATCATGAAACAAGAAACGCAATGACGCACGCCGCATTCGTGATGTTGTACGCTGCATACAGCCGTACCACCCCAGCAGTCAGCGTCCACAGCCCGAAGTTCCTCGCCTGCAGTGGGTTCACAAGCCCCTTCTTCGCCCCTTTGATATATACGAGCTTTGACCCAGAGTCTCCGAGGAAATTCTGCAGGCCGTTGATGATCGCTGTTGTGCCGACGAGGAGTGTCCAGGCGGGGAGCAGGCTGGGGATGGGGAGGTCTAGGAAAGAGTCAGCTGCGTAGGGAGGGAAGGGGAGCGCTGTACATTTGGTGACGAACTCTTGTACATGCTCCATGCTTTTTTCAAGAGAAAGAATTTGGTGAAAACTACAGAAGATGGAGGTGCAAAGTGCGAAAGTGCGAAAGGTATTGCAGTTATTATTGCGCCGTGGGTCGGCTTCTCAACATCTATTCAGGGTTCCGGCAGGGTTCTTGCTTCCGTCGATCGGACACACGTGATTGGCCGATCATGACGAGCGCTTGGTCAACACCATTCCACCGACTTCCCTCCTCACCGTCGAGGTCACATCGTCAGCACAGACCGGAGCGGCAGCATGGGGAAGGACAACAACGGGGAACAGCATGGACAGCGGACCGGCTCAACCTCTCTCATTCTCGGCCGGCACACTTCCCCTTGCACTTCCGGATGGGTACCCATAACGGGGGAATAAGCCGGCCATGGTCCGCTTACGAGCGGCTCGAACCTAAACATGCCTAGGGTGGCCATCTAGCTATATATAGCTCTAGGGGAAGGAAGTGAATGTCTCCAAGTACGCGAAGTTGAAAGCCTGAATCTCCAACAGTGTATCGAAATATCATGGCTCCCATCCATGTAGCTGTTCTCGGGTACGGCTTCTCTGCCAATGCCTTCCATATCCCTTATATCGTGCGTCGTCCTTCATTTTGCTCTTTAGCATACCACTAATCCCCGATCTGATCTGGTATAATAGCTCTCCCTTCCTGGAGTATTCGAACTCCGCACCATCCTCGACCGGGAGGTCACCCCTCAGCGCAACCCTGCGAAGGCAAAGTACGGCCCTCTCGGAGTGAAGGTCGTCACTACCCTCGATGAGGTCATCAACGACCCGGAGATCGACCTGGTCGTGGTAGCAGTCAGGGACATGGCGCATGTCCCGTTCACTACTGTAGGCTCTCTATCAGGCTGTCACAGGCTGTGGCTGATGATATTGGAAACAAGGCCGTCCTGAAAGCGGGCAAGCATGTCATCCTCGAGAAGCCTATCACGGCTACTTCCGCCGAAGCACGTGCACTCATCGCCCTAGCCAAAGAGAAGCACCTAATTCTTGCACCATACCTGAATCGGCGGTTTGACGGCGACTTCCGCACTCTAAAAAGTCTGATCGATGCTGGCAAGGTGAGCTTCCTCGTTTTGTGCAAGGGACTGGGACTGATAATGTAGCTCCCGGACATGGTGGATCTGGAGAGTAGATATGATATTCGAGGTGACTGGCCTATGGACCCTCCTGGTGGGAGCTCGGGTATGATCTATGGCCTGTGAGTGTTGGCTTCATCTTTCCAACACAGGGCTCAACAACAACCGCAGCGGAACCCATCTCATCGACCAAGCTATCGCGCTCTACGGAGAACCCAAGACTGTGACTGGGTTCCTGATGAATGGGCGTAGGGAGCCACGTGATCCACCAGAAGTCGACGACTCGGTGCGTTCCCTTTTCCTATTATGATGTTCCTCCCTGATCATTGTGCGAAACAGTGCATCGTCCATCTTACCTACGCTAACAACCCGGTAGTGGTCACGGTTCGCTGCTGTTTGCACTCTGTGGCATCACATCAGATCCGTTACATCGCACGGTCCAAGAACTCCAGCTATGTGAAATACGGACTAGACCCGCAAGGTATGTTCTCCTTTCCATTGTTTACACTTGTATGCTGACATGACGTATAGAATCCCAGGTCATGTTTCAAGGCCTGACGCCGCTTTCCCCCGGGTTTGGCGAAGAGCCGGAGGAGAAAAGGGGCGAATTCGGGATTCAGGTCGATGGCAAGGATACATTCATCAAGTGCGTCTCTGTCTGCTTCACGTATCTCCCACTCACTGAAATCGCATGACAGAGTCAAGACACTCCCAGGGTGCTACCTCGACTACTACAAGAACGTCGCCTCTGCTATCAACGGTACTGGTAGCCTGATTGCCACTCCCGAACAGGCAGAACTGGGGATCAGGATTATCGAGGCTGCCAAGTTGAGCGACAAGGAGAAGAGGACGGTGGATTTTGCGACTTTCGGACTTTGCGACCTTCAAGGCATAAAGCTCAGGCTTGCGAATGCATATGGTTTGTAGCATATGAAAGAAATGGAATTGCATCTATGATCATCAAGACGGCATGTGGGTGTTATTCCCATGAGGATTGCCTGTTGGTACGCAGTAATTAGGTTTCGTTCGTTGCCATATTTGGAAGGCTTATCCGGCGCCTATCATGGTTTCGGATGCACCTGTGGCAATGCACAACGCCGCCCACTCATAGGATGTCCTCAACTCATCCCCCCGTCGACCAATTGCTCGTGCTTTCTTACTACCACCTCCCGCGAACTCTACTACTTCTCCTCGTGAACTGTTCTCTTCCGCAATGGATCCAAACAAGAGTGATTGGCGTTCTTGCTCCCCTTCTTTACGAGTGCGGATCGTTTGTCCCAGAGATTGTCGACATGACCGAAGAGGAACTCGTTGCCCTCGATTTTCTTGGTGAAAGTGAACAGTGTTGTCGTTACCCCACGTTCATCTCTCACTCGTTTTGCCCTTCCGCCTTGTAGATGCTCATGAGGAGGTCAAGGATATCGTCAACACAGCAACGGCTGTCCCTAAATATCTTAGTAGTAAGTATTTCGCTGCGCTTTGATTGTGGCTGTCATTTACCACTTACTCACACGTTCTTCCGTTCTCAGGTGTGAACTGATTTCAAGTTGATTGCCTAAGGCGCAACGTTACTAGACAGCCCGAGCCTCCTACCTCTCCTACCCTCGAGACGCTCTTTTCGCAGCTTATCAGCAACTCGGACGCCCGCACCGTCGTCGCCCCTGACATGATCTCTGAATACGAGAAGACCTTCTATTACCATGGCATCTCTGGACACCCTCCCGAGCTCATGTGGCGTTCTGATTTCGAGTCCAACCCCTTCCCTATCCCCCCTATTGGCACCACATTCGACAAGATTCCCCAGAAGACTATCAACGGTGTCTTTAACACGCCGCTGAACGCCGTGTGGGATACCGTCGCTCCTCAGATTTTGGCGTCAATGAAGGCCCGAGGCCTCAAGTATTCCTCCCTCATGACGGCGCGGTTCTCGATCGTCGAGGAGGACAAGGAGACTCGTGGTCCGATCGTGATCTGGATTGCTGTTCATCCCAACACCACGAATGTCGCGGCCGTTCGCGATGCCACTCTGGACATCCTCGACATCCTTACTCGTGCCCAGATCATTGGTGTTGTCGTGGAGTGGTACGAGGGCTCGATCGTCCGCCTTGTAGATGTTGCCTCAGGGCAGCCCCAACACCAAGTTCTGTCATAGCAACCCAGTAAACACTGGCTGGAGTATGCTCATTGCCAGACAGACTGACGATCCTCAAGTTATTCCCCCGTCCCTGTTCAAGAGGTGAAAACCTAGAGTGGCTAACCAGCGACAGGTTCCTCGCTCTTACCAACAAACAGCAACACCACCATCGGGTTCGTCTTCGACGACCCCTACGCGCAGCACATCCTCGTTTCTAGGTCTCGGTATGGCTCGAGCGATTTCTACGCGTTCGCCGACCGAGTCTTCCTACTGTTGGCATCCTCCTGAACCCCAGCCACCTATTCTCCTGTGTTATGTTCTAGTCGGCTTGTCCTTTCCATCTACTTTGTGTGTTATCGGTTTAGACCTTGGCACTCGAGTCGCTAGACGATGTCTGGCTTTTGCTTACTGGTACTATGCCCAATTTAAACCTGGGGTATAAACCTGTCCTTCACGTGTTGCCAGGGGTCTTAGCGGAGCGGTTACCGCGTTGGTCTTCGGCATTCCCGGGATCGAACGGGCAAGTTGTCAACCAAAGGTCGTCGGTTCGATCCCGGCAGATCTCACGCTTTAAATCTTTTGCAATTAATTCCGTTAACGTAGTTTAGCAGTAAGCGGGTCACAGCAGTGAGTGGGTCACATCACGGACCCTGTAATACATGATCGTCATGCATCTCCGTTGTACCCATGCCTCCCTCCTCCAATGAGCACCGAGTGCTCTTAGCTCTTGCCGCTATGAAGACCAATCCAGCATTGTTTATCCGAGAGGCTGCAAGGCAGTACAACGTGTCGAACTCAACACTGCAGCGCAGAATGGCTGGTGTCAAAGCACGCACAGATACGCATAGTCCGCATGCCAAGTTGACAGCAACCGAGGAGAGGGTGGTCATTGAGTATGTGCTGAGGCTGGAGGAGCAGGGGTTTCCAGTGCGAAAGGGAGATTTGGAAGGGATGGCGGATCTATTGCTTGCAAAGAGAGGAGGGTTGAAGGTCGGGGTGGCATGGGCAGACCGGTTCATCCGACGACGACCAGAGATCAAGACTCGGCTCTCCCGTCCCCTTGACTACCAGAGAGCACGGCAGGAAGATCCACAAGTGTACGCTGCATGGTTCTGGCTTGTGACCAATATGCAATCAAAATATGGTGTTCAGCCAGGCGATTTCTATAACTTCGATGAGACCGGCTTTGCCATGGGCATGATCAGAGCGACAACGGTTGTGATAAGCAGTGAACGGACAGCCCGGGCAAAGGCTATCCAGCCAGGGAACCGGGA